TAATCAAAAACAGCTTACACATTCTTTCTTTAACATAACAAAAATGTTCTCTAATTCAGGGTATGCGTAACATGTGATTGTTTTTTCTAATACATAGCAGGTGTCAATAGAAGATTGTAAAGATAATTCTTTTTTCTGTCTGTATAATATATAAATATAAATAAACACACACACACACACATATATATTTATATATATATATATATATATATATATATATATATATATATATATATATATATATATATATATATATATATATATATATATATATATATATATATATATATATATATATATATAACGAGAAAAATGGCCCGTTGAGGAAGGATACAACGGGCGCTAGGCTGATAGTGCTGTCTCTTTTCTCTAAACTAAAACCACCCCCCCACACACCCCCCCACCCACCCCCCCACACACACCACCCCCCACCCACACACACACCACCCCCACCCCCCACACCCCCACCCCCCACACCCCAAAAAACATGTATACCGTCCCATTCAACGAAATATAATTATATACTTTTTCCAGTGTCCGCCCCCTCCCCGAAAATTCTACCCCCATCCCCGAAAATTTCAAGTACCCCCACCCCTCTCCGGGGAGGAAAAAGTCTAAACTAAAACCACCCCACCCCCCACACACACCACCCCCCCCCACCCCCCACACACACCACCCCCCACACACACCACCCCCCCCACCCCCCACACACACCACCCCCCCACAGACACACACCACCCCCCCCCCCCCCAAAAAAAAAACAACATGTCTACCGTCCCATTCAACAAAATATAATTATACACTTTTTCCAGTGTCCGCACCCTCCCCGAAAATTCTACCCCCGCCCTCGAAAATTTCAAGTACCCTCACCCCTCTCCGTGGAGGAAAAAGTCTGAAAGAAACACTGGTGTCGCACTTAGCCACTACCCGAAGAATTGCATTAAAGAAATTGCAAGAAAACCACTTTTGAGATTAGACACATTAATTAGGCGGTAATTTTATTATAGAGTATCGATGAAGAAATTTCTTTTGAGTTGGGGAGGGGGAGGGGCTCAGACGTTCTTACGCGGGGGGTGGGGCTTCGCCCCTACCCGAAGAATTGTATGCAAGAAACTCTTCACGCAAACCACTTAGATTAGACAACATTTCCTCTTTATTCAATGTTTACGCCAGAATCAATGACGTCATTATATTACTGTGTGCACTTTCCGCCTTGAGATTATTTTCAACTCTGTGCTAAATGTGTCGACGTCATACTTCGTTTTTCGAATTACTATGCATGTTTTTAAATTGCTTGTGTTTTCTCTAGAGCGTTCTTGTCAGACAGATAGATAGATAGATAGATAGATACATAGAGAGACAGCGAAACTATTAGTATTAACGAGAAAAATGGCCCGTTGAGGAGGGGTACAACGGGCGCTAGGCTGATAGTGCTGTCTCTTTTCTCTAAACTAAAACCAACTCACCCCCCCCCCCCCCCCACACCACCCCCACCCCCCCACACCACCCCCCACCCCCCACCCCCACACACACCACCCCCCCACACACCGCCCCCCCACCCCCCCACACACCTGATAGTGCTGTCTCTTTTTTCTAAACTAAAACCAACCCACCCACCCCCACACACCCCCGCCCCCGAAAATTTCAAGTACCCCCACCCCTCTCCGTGGAGGAAAAAGTCTAAACTAAAACCACCCCACCCCACACACAAACCACCCCACCCCACCCCACACACACACCACCCCCCACACACACCACACCCCCCCCCCCACACACACCCCCCTCCCCCCCCCCCACCCCCCCAAAAAAAAATTTCTACCGTCCCATTCAACGAAATATAATTATATACTTTTTCCAGTGTCCGCTCCCCTCCCCGAAAATTCTACCCCCGCCACCGAAAATTTCAAGTACCCCCACCCCTCTCCGGGGAGGAAAAAGTCTGAAAGAAACACTGGTGTCGCGCTTAGCCACTACCCGAAGAATTGCATTAAAGAAATTGCAAGAAAACCACTTTTTAGATTAGACACATTAATTAGGCGGTAATTTTATTATAGAGTATCGATGAAGAAATTTCTTTTGAGTTGGGGAGGGGGGGGGGGGGGGGGGGCTCAGACGTTCTTACGCGTGGGGTGGAGCTTCGCCCCTACACGAAGAACTGTGTGCAAGAAACTCTTCACGCAAACCATTTAGATTAGACAACATTTCCTTTTTATTCAATGTTAGCGCGAAAATCAATGACGTCATATAAATGTGAGCACTCTCTGGGTTTGAGATTATTTTCTACTCTATGCTAAATGTGTCGACGTCATACTTCGTTTTTCGAATTACTATGCATGTTTTTAAATTGCTTGTCTTTTCTCTAGAGCGTTCTTGTCAGACAGATAGATAGATAGATAGATAGATAGATAGATAGATAGATAGATAGATAGATAGATAGATAGATAGATAGATAGATAGATAGATAGATAGATAGATAGATAGATAGATAGATAGATAGATAGATAGATAGATAGATAGATAGATAGATAGATAGATAGATAGATAGATAGATAGATAGATAGATAGATAGATAGATAGATAGATAGATAGATAGATAGATAGATAGATAGATAGATAGATAGATAGATAGATAGATAGATAGATAGATAGATAGATAGATAGATAGATAGATAGATAGATAGATAGATAGATAGATAGATAGATAGATAGATAGATAGATAGATAGATAGATAGATAGATAGATAGATAGATAGATAGATAGATAGATAGATAGATAGATAGATAGATAGATAGATAGATAGATAGATAGATAGATAGATAGATAGATAGATAGATAGATAGATAGATAGATAGATAGATAGATAGATAGATAGATAGATAGATAGATAGATAGATAGATAGATAGATAGATAGATAGATAGATAGATAGATAGATAGATAGATAGATAGATAGATAGATAGATAGATAGATAGATAGATAGATAGATAGATAGATAGATAGATAGATAGATAGATAGATAGATAGATAGATAGATAGATAGATAGATAGATAGACAGACAGCGAAACTATTATTATAGATATATAAAGCTCAGTTCTGTATGTACAAATACATATGTATGTCGTTGGTCTTGGATAAATTTAAGTGTTAGACAATCATCGTGCGCATTTGTCTAAATTTATGAGTTAAAAAATTACCATTAAATTGGGAAATAATTTTCATTTTTCAAATTATAGTAATAATTGTCGGCATGTTCATTCAACACAAGTTTTAAAAAAATATCATCTTTTACAAAAATTCTAATTATGTCTATATTTAGTCCTATAGCACTTACTTCCCTTTGATAAATTAGGGAAAACACAATTACTTCCCTTTATAAAACCATTGCATTTGTGGAAAAAAATTTACTTTTTAATTACTTTGTTATGGTGTTGGGAAAAAAAATAATTACATAATTAGCGGGGATTGATCAAGTGCAAATGTTGTAGGTATTTTACGGATAAGCTAGGAGTATTATAATTGTTCATTAAATTGAAACAGGCGCGTTCGTTTAAGTGAGTGCAAAAGACTATGAATAAGTTGGGGTACTATAGTCGTTCAGGTGATTCCGCCCCGGGCGTTTATGTTCGCGTTAGTGTTTTCTTTGTGTTTAGGTGGGTTTGCGTTAGTGGTTGCGTTTTGATTTGGTTCGTTTTTGTTCTTTCTTTTTTCGTTTTTGTTTGTGTTTTTTTGTTTGTGTTTGTATTTGTGTTTTTGGTTGGTTTTGCGTTTGGATTTGGTTTGTTTTCGTTTGCTTTTTCGTTGTTTTTTTTTGTTGGTATTGGTGTTTGTGGTTGGGTTTGTTGTTAGGTTTTTGTTTTCGTTTGCTTTTTTGTTTGTTTTTTCTTTGTGTTTGTATTGGTGTTTGTGGTTGTGGTTGGGTTTGTTGTTAGGTTTTTGTTTTCGTTTGTATTTGTAATTGTGTTAGCGTTATGTTTGCGTTTTGTTGTTTTGGTTGGTTGTGGTTTGGGTGGGCAATGCCGGGTTTATGATGATTACTAAACACACAGGTAATGGTCTTTAACAGAAAGGTTTTTCACAGAAGCCAGAGCAGGGCCTGGCCGGGACGGCTAGTATATATATATATATATATATATATATATATATATATATATATATATATATATATATATATATATATATATATAAAATGTAGCCTAACAACTGATAAATTGCAGGACCCTAAAAGCAACATCTTTAAAACATGGACCTCTCTCAAAAGTGACTCTGGTGTTGTAGAAGACAGTTTTGACCTAATCGACCAGCCAGTATTCGGTCGTTGGTCGATTACAGCCAAGACCAAAGAGGTTGAGACCGTTTTCGATAAGAGCTATATATTTTATAATATAAGTCGTGTAATATATTGGCTGTTCTTCCAAGCCTAATCGGATGCATTTTTTTTTAAAAAATCTTTTCATTATATCATTGCTAAAATAATGAACCCTATCCCCCATTGGATATATTCTAAAATAAAAGATAGAAAAGTATACTGCAAATAATTGCAAAATATATACTTTGTATTTATAATGTTTTTTTTTCTCCAGAAATATACCAAAACTGTTTACTTTCTTGTTGAAAACTACGGCAAGTTTTTAAATTGTTTTTAAACTCTTTCAAATGTTACTTTGATTAGCAAAGATAGAGCTATTATTTTTAGATATTTTTTTACAACTTTCTACTCTATTGTTTGCCGTTATGAAAATTAATTCAATAATCATTTGTTTTGTTTTTACGATTACTAGACACAATAAACTATTGTAATATTTCCCTTTGCCTGAATAATCATGCGGTTTAATTTTATTGTTGCTGATTATTTATCAACGTAGATGGTTTGCATGAAAATATCTTTTAACGAATTATCTTTTTTAAAAAGATTAAGATCTACTAAGCTAAGAGCTTAAGAAAAAAAAATCCAATTAAAAAACATTTAATTTACATGTTACCTCTCTCCATCTTGTCCCCATGGCAACAGACCTTCCGAGGTATGAAGTGACCGTCAATCTCCAGCCCTACGGTCTACTGACAGACACGCAACTTTCTGGAACTGTCGCCGCCAGGTAGGTGAAGGTCACAGGTTTCGTCAGTCAGGTGTCAAGGTAGACCTAAGACTCACGGCGCCAGGTAGGTCAAAGTCGCGGGTTGTCAGTCAGGTGTCAAGGTAAACCTAAGACTCACGTCACACGTGGCAAGAAAATTGTTTCTGGGTTAGAGAAAACTTTAATCAAACTACGAAACAAATTGGATGATGAGCTAAGTCACAGTGACATTATATCAAGGTGTTCCTTTGAGAAAGATTGACAAAGTCAATTTTAATTTTAATTTCATAATCTTAAAGCAGCTAAGTTTGATTATGATTTGTTTTGGTATGAAGTCAATGATATAGGCTTGCGTGCAGTACCCATTTGTAGAAAGAAAGAAAACGGATTTTTTTAAAGTCAGGTTCAGTGTAAGGTTCATTTAGTCTAGTTATTTTAATGATCACTTACTTTAGGTTTGTGTTAGGTTTTACAATTAGGTTTAAGGATAAGTTAATATTTCGATTAAAGGTCAGGTCAAGGATAATATTTAATGCTGCAACAGAGGCGTAGCGAGGAGGGGGGGGGGGGCGGGGGTGCGGACCGCACCGGGTGACACCATTTAGGGGGGGGTGACACCAAGGCAAAAAATAGCAAAATATATGGAGAAAAACTTGAGGGGGAATGCAAATCGAAAGTTTGAGGGGGGTGCAAATCGAAAACTTTAGGGGGCGGTGCAAATCGAAAGTTTGAGGGGAGGGGGGGGGGGTTGCAAATCGAAAATTTGAAAGTTTGTCCCCGGGAATGGTCGCTACCCCTCTGGGGGGTGACACCATTAAGTGCCGCACCGGGTGACACCCGACCTCGCTACGCCACTGGTTGTCTGTGTTAGACCAATGTTTCTGTGTCCAACAAATAAGTCTGTGTCAGATATGTCTGTGTACAACGAATGTGTCTGTGTATAAGTCAGATATGTCTGTGTACAACGAATGTGTCTGTGTATAACGAATGTGTATGTGCACAACGAATGTGTCTGTGTACAACGAATGTGTCTGTGTACAACGAATGTGTCTGTGTACAACGAATGTGTCTGTGTCAGATGTGTCTGTGTACAGCTAATGTGTCTGTGTACAACTAATGTGTCTGTGTACAACTAATGTGTCTGTGTACAACGAATGTGTCTGTGTCAGATGTGTCTGTGTACAACTAATGTGTCTGTGTACAACGAATGTGTCTGTGTACAACTAATGTGTCTGTGTACAAATAATGTGTCTGTGTACAACGAATGTGTCTGTGTACAACGAATGTGTCTGTGTCAGATGTGTCTGTGTACAACGAATGTGTCTGTGTACAACGAATGTGTCTGTGTACAACTAATGTGTCTGTGTACAACTAATGTGTCTGTGTACAACTAATGTGTCTGTGTACAACGAATGTGTATGTGTACAACTAATGTGTCTGTGTACAACTAATGTATCTGTGTAAAACGAATCGATTATTTCAGATACACCTTTGACCAACCCGTCAACGGCACCGTGGAAATCCAAGTCACGGAAAGTTTACAGCATACGACGCGGATTCAACAGAGGAACTGCAACTACCAACCGCCTTCAGTGAAGACATCTTTCAAGGTACTGGTTCAAAGCGTTTTGAAAAATTGAAATTATACACCAAACTTTAAGCTAGAATTCCAATTAAAGTAATGTTTATGCGCAGTTGTAAAAAAAATAGCCATATATCATTTTGGTTTCAAAAAAATGTTATACCGTTAGTTGTCTGTAGCGACCAACTAAATAGTATGTAAGTACCGAATTTTTATAGTAAAATCAAAGATGTAGCGGATGCCAATCAAGTCACCATAGTTGTTTACAAACCCAAATATAAATGCTGAATGTTGATCGCTATCCTCTAACATGCTATTATAACTGAGAGCTAACCAATTTAAAAAATTAAATACACTTACCCCTGCCCCATGTAATTGTTGTTTCTATATTAATTTTTAAATTCTTTCTTGAATGAGCTTCAGCGAAAAGAGAAGTAATTTTTTTGCATGGTCAATTATTTATATCTACTTATACACATTAATGTTGAGTGTATAAAATTGTTTAAAACATTTGTAAAAAAAAAAAGCGCCCCCCCTCCGACTGACAGAAATCCCCATTCCGCTTGTAGGCATTATAAGACATATTGCAAACAATAAAAATGCTTTAAGTATATTTGATAAGCGTTTGGCATTTTCCAAAATGTATAAACCTTTGTAATTTTCCTATAGTTGTTACGTTTTTTTTTTGTTCTTGCCATTCTACAGATCACGGGGGAGGCGAAGTTTAGCATCCCCATCAATGACATCACAACGGTTTTCAAACTTAGGAATTATTTAAATCTCAAGGTCACGGCCATCGTGACTGAGCACACAACAGGTAGAACGTAGAACGTTAGAGTGTACATTGTTAGGTATGGAGTTGATTGTCATAGGGCGGTCTAGGATAGTGAATATGCGGTTTATTGAATGATAGATTTCGCACTTTACAGTAACACACACACACACAAGCACATGCACACACACACACACGCATATATATATATATATATATATATATATATATATATACATATACATATACATATATATATATATATATATATATATATATAAGGAAAGTGGGTGATGTTTGGGTTTGTTTGTTTGTTACTCACACCATTTAAACCAAGTAGGCTTACATGCGGGTAAGTTGCATAGAAATCTTTCTTGTCAAAGTTAACTGTTTACTGTTCACTCTCTTTTTAACGGGAAAATTAGTCATTTCAATAATCGAGTTTAAAATGACCGAAAACTGACCTAGAGTGACCTCGGCCTTAAATAAACTTTAAAAATTATTTAAATACATTGAATGTGTGTCTATATATGAGTGTATGTTTACAATTCTTCAGGCATTCGTATCAATGGCAGTTCTGACATTACTTACCATAGTGAACAATACGAGGTCGAGTTCCTGGACATTACGCCCGGTGTTTTCAAGCCGGGTCTTCGCTACACGGCCTCAGTAAGTTGACTTTCTTTATTTAGCCCTTCAATCGTGAGGCGAATGTCCTGGTGGTAGGGTGTTCTCATTGTGAGCTCGGGGGGGGGGGGGGGGGGGGCAGAGATCCTCAGGTATCGACGTGAGCGCTGTTTCTGGGATGTGGAGGGGAGGGAAGTGGGTTTAATGGGGGGGGGGCAGAGATCCTCAGGTATCTACGTGAGAACTGTATCTGTGATGTGGAGGGGTTGGGTGGAGAAGTGGGTTTAATGGTGGGGTGTATGTTTTGGGTGGCGTGTGGACAGGACGTAGGACATTACACCTGTATCAGTTACGCAACCAGTCAGCTTACGTCATTACCACTATAATCAAATTACCCTCCTGTAAATTACAATCCCCCAACACACAAAACATAAGGAGGACATTACCCCCGGTTGAATCTAATTAGGGTAGGTTAATGATAGGTTAAAAGTAAGCTAGGTATAGGTATAAATAGGACTGGTGTATTTACGGGGACGGTGATTGGGAAAGGGATAAATAAAAGGATAGGGATAGCCAGCTGAAAAAGAATATATAACGTGTATTCTAAAAGAGGATATTGACAGGTGGGGGGGGGGAATGACATTTTTTTTAGGGGGGGGGGGGTGATGCGACAGGGGGTAATGACCTGGGGCAAAGTCCTAGAGCCTTGTGGACCTTATGGATGGAGTTATTTCATTAAAGACATTAGAACCAGGAATATGGAATAGATTAGAGGGTAAATGTTAGGGACACAGTTAGGAAAGCTTTGGATACTTACCTTGACTACAGGCTGTCGTCGTGCGTCTCGTAAAGGTAACCCTCCACTCTAGATGTGATACGTTTCTGATTTCTCGCTCACCCCCAGGTGAAAGTGAGCACACCTGACGGCAGGCCACCCACAGATCCCAACACTCACCTGTCCGTGTACACACGTGTCATGTATAAAATGACGGTGCCAGACAACCGCCTGTATGACGTCGACGTGTTCACGGGGAACTACCCGCTGCCGCCTGTCAACGCGTCACTTCCCGCTGACGGCATCGTTCATGTTGATATAGACATCCCCAGCAACGCGTCCAGTATTGGTATCAAGGTAACTAATCAGGGCTTCTTTCAGACTGTTTTCTCCGGGGGGGGGGGGGGGGGGCACTTGAAATTTTCGGGGGGGGGGGGGCGGTAGACTTTTTTCGGGGGGGGGGGCGGACACTGTTAAAAGTATATATTCTCTATATACATTTCCTTTCGTTCGGGGGGGGGGGGGGAGGCGGTAGACTTTCTTCTGGGGGCAGAAGCCCCCCCCCCCCCCCCCGAAGAGATGTCTGGAAGAAACTCGGGGGACAATGGGTAAAGCTTATTTTTACAGAAATTTAATACATTTCTGTTACCGAATGGGGGATGGGGGAAGTTCTGTGTCCCCCGAACAAAAGCCTGTAAGAAATATTGTATATATATATATATATATATATATATATATATATATATATATATATATATATATACATACATACATATATGTATGTATATTATCTTTTGCAACGCTCAACGAATTGGCATCAAGGTAGCTAATGGGGTTAAAGAAGTATAAAAATAAGTAAAAACATAAAACAAATGTATCTGAATAAACACCTTACATTGACTTACTTTGACTTTGTCCTCTTAGCTCCTTATGGAACATAGGGCCCCCACCATTTCCTTCCATTTTATTCGATCTCCAGCTATTAATTTTGCCGTCTCCCAATACATCCCTGTTGGCTTCAGTTCATCGAGAACTTACATTACGTGCTGTTTATTGCTTGTTCAGTGTATGTTGCTTGTCTTTATTCGTCTCTCACAGGCAAGTTACGGTAAAGTGTTCAGTTGTAAAAGTGTGGACAAAACACATTCCGTCAGTAAACACTACATGGTTGTGTCGCTGTTGGATAGTTACGTCATGGTAAGGATTAACATATTCTTTATAGTGTTTTAGGATTAAATGTGTGAGGGTGATATAGGGTTAAATGTGTGAGGGTGATGTAGGGGTAAAAGTGTGCGGGTATTTTAGGGTTAAATGTGTGAGTGTGTTTTAAGAACAAAAGTGTATTTTAGGGTTACATATAAACACACGTGATTTAACATATTAAATATTTGCATCCAATAAATTAACCCAACAATTAGGATAAAACTAAACTCTACATTTCGACGATTCGTTTGTATGTATTACTTTCACACAATAAATCTAGTTATAAAAAACCGAGTAAAATGATAATCCCTTGATAATGCCTTGATAATCCCTTGATAATCCCTGATAATCCCTTGATTAGTCAGGTACAAACATTCACGTGAAAGTCTCAGGAACAGAACCGTTGTATACCCTATCGTATGAGGTAAGTTACTCTGTTTTATGCTTTTTTAAATAGCTATAACTGTCGAATGCCAAATTTTCAAAATAGGTATAGTAAAATTATTTGTAGTTTTGCTTATCGAGGAAGGCATAAAAGAGTGCTATGGTGAAAATATTACGACGCAATTACAAGGCTATTCTCTTGAATGGTTAGGTCCAAGGTTCTCAACCTTTTCATATGTGACGAAATCTGATCGTGAATCATATAAGTCGGGTGTATATTGACCTCCGCCAAATCCCTGATACTGACTCAGCGAACCCCTGATACTGACACAGCGAACCCCCGGCATTCGGCCAAGCACAGCTTAAGCACCCTGAATGAAGTAGAAAATCGTCTCACCTAACATTAAGGAAACTTTTGAACGTTGCAAATGAAACAGTGTCCACCCGTTTCTATGACCGCTGCATATATACTTTAACACTAAGATCAGCCGCCTTTACTTTCCCTGACGCCAGACAGGTATCCGTCAGAGTTAGATGGACTTAGGGACAATCTATGAACTCTCGCGATTCGAGCTCGTGACTTCAGGATTAGCAGTCGTTGACTCTACTATACCACCACGCAGTACCTCAACTGTGTACTTTCTTTCAGGTCGTGTCTAAAGGAAGCATTCAACACTCTGGCACCGTCAACGGAAATGGTCAGAAGGAGTTTACCTTCCTGCTACAGGTGACCCCGTCCATGGCACCCACTGCCCACCTGCTGGTATACTACATCAGGGGAGCTAATGATGTCATCGCCGACAGCTTGGCGTTTGTAGTCGGTGGGGCGTTCAACAATAAGGTATGACATTAGTCAGGTGTTTAAGGTATGACATTAATCAGGTGTTTAATGAATGACATTAATCAGATGTTTAAGGTATGACATTAATCAGGTGTTTAGGGAATGACATTAATCAGATGTTTAAGGTATGACATTAATCAAGTGTTTAAGGTATGACATTAATCAGGTGTTTAAGGTATGACATTAATCAGGTATTTAAGGTATGACATTAATCAAGTGTTTAAGGTATGACATTAGTCAGTTGTTTAAGGTATGACATTAATCAGGTGTTTAAGGTATGACATTAATCAGGTATTTAAGGTATGACATTAATCAAGTGTTTAAGGTATGACATTAGTCAGTTGTTTAAGGTATGACATTAACAGGTGTTTAAAGTATGACATTAATCAGGTGTTTAAGGTATGACATTAATCAGGTGTTTAAGGTATTACATTAATCAGGTGTTTAAGGTATGACATTAACCAGGTGTTTAAGGTATGACATTAATCAGGTGTTTAAGGTATTACATTAATCAGGTGTTTAAGGTATGAGATTAACCAGGTGTTTAAGGTATGACATTAATCAGGTGTTTAAGGTATGACATTAACCAGGTGTTTAAAGTATGACATTAATCAGGTGTTTAAGGTATGACATAAATCAGGTGTTTAAAGTATGACATTAATCAGGTGTTTAAGGTATGACATAAATCAGGTGTTCAAAGTATGACATTAATAAGTTGTTTAACAAGAAAGTATGACAATGCTCACATTTTTAAAAATACGTTGTAATCATATAGTCAGGTATTTACCAAAAAAAATGTGACAATGGTCAAGTGTTTAATAATAGCACCTGACAATTGTCATCCTTCGTTAGAGAAGATTGCATGCTGACCTAGCTATCTCAACCTGATTACAATGACCACCGAGTCTAGACCCTGACGTGCTGACGTCATCACCTGTCACTGTCCATCACCTACAGGTGTCGCTGTCCTTCAGTGCCAACCAGAGCCAGCCACGTGACGAGGTTCAGCTGACCGTGACCGCTGACCCAGATTCTCACGTCTTCGTCACGGCTGTTGACCAGAGCGTGTTGCTGCTCAAGTCTTCTAATGACGTCACAACAAAACAGGTAAAACCACGTGATTGCCGTCCAATGGAATCATTGTTCAAACAAAATGCCATATCTTGTTTACTATATAAGGTTGGACACATACACAACCCACTAAAGCCATATTGTAGTGTTCTCCGTGACGTAGTGGGATGGCGTATGTGGCTACCGGTTGCGCTTCCTTTCCAACTTTTTATCCAACGAGTAACACGTCGACCACTGTATATAAAATTAACAGTGAATACTTATCCGCAGCCATGACCCAACAGCTATAATGTCAGTCATGGTGTATTAATTTTAGAACTACCTATACCTTAGAACGTGTCATGATAATTAAATTTCTTGAAAGTAACTTTTTCTGGCATTTTTCTGCGTTAAAAAACAAAAGTTGCCAAGTGGAAAAGTACCAAAAAAAAAACCTCGAGAAAAAAAATTTAAATTTTACCAAGAAATTCTAGTAATCACTAAGGCTTTTTCCAGCTTATAACATTTTACACTTTTACACACAGTAGTTACTTCTCTCCGTGTTAAGTTATTGTTTAGATATATCGTTATTTATGTGACACAGAAGGCAACTCATCCCATTCTTATTTATTATTTGACAACGTTATATGACAACACACTTAGATAGAAATTTAATTTAAATTTTTAGCTTATTATCGTTATTTGTAATGTTTAAATACATACACATTTAATGCAAAGTTATTTTCAAAACTTGTCAATACATAAAAATATATCCACAAAGCACTTTCAACTGACCACAAAATATACCAATATCTAGATTCACAGCACACTTTCAACTGACCACAAAATATACCAATATCTAGATCCACAGCACACTTTCAACTGAACACAAACTATACCAATATCTAGATCCACAACATAGTTTCAACTGACCACAAAATGTACCTATATCTAGATCCACAGCACACTTTCAACTGACCACAACATATACCAATATCTAGATCCACAGCACACTTTCAACTGACCACAACATATACCAATTTCTAGATCCACACCATAGATTCAACTGACCACAAAATATACCAATTTCTAGATCCACAGCGAACTTTCAACTGCCCTGAAAGAAGCCGCACCTTCAAGCCCCGAGTTCGCCTTATCTGAGAGCACCATTCACACGGCTGAGATGTTTCAGGTAAATGGCTCAACACTTTAGCCTATGTAGCATTGTATCAATGTAGCACTGTGATAATCTAGCACGGTATATACTATAGCCATGTAGCACTGTAGCAATGTGGCACTCTGATAATCTAGCTCGGTAGCACTATGACAATTTAGCATTCTAGCATTGTCGCTCGGTAATAATCTAGCATGGTAGTACTATAGCAATGTAGCACTGTAGCAATGTGCACAGTAGTACTGTGATAACCTAGCACGATAGCTCTATAGATTTGTAGCACGTAAACACTCTAGCACTGTGTAATTGTAGCACTGTATCAATGTGATAATGTTTAGAACTGAAGCACACTGGAAAGGTCGCATTGAAAAACTTGTAAATTCTCCAATATATCAAGGTAGCACTGTAGCACTGTCACCATGTAGCACTGCGCTAATATAGCCATGTAACGTCGCAACTTCGTCGTAGCATTGCATTGTAGCATTTTAGTTGTGGAGCATTGTAATGCAGCAAGTTAGTTATTTTTTCAAACATTTTTCAACCAACTATTTGATAGGCAATTGTCCCTTAAGTTGCTCTCTAATTAAAACAAATTTAATAATTGTCCGAAAGTATTCGACCTTTACTGAGAATATAATTCAATATTAAAAAAACGTATTTAATATTTCATTGCGTATATACCAATAACACACACACACACACATATACATATATATATATATATATATATATATATATATATATATATATATATATATATATATATATATATATATACATATATATATATATATATATATATATATATATATATATATATATATATATATATATATAATTATATATCAGAAAATAATTGATTCCTTTCTAAAATAGAATGTTTCATAAAACAATTGAGTAAAATCTTGATTTTCTTCTTATTGCATTGTTTCAAAATGTACAGTTCATTTAATACATGACGGTCGATGGGGCAGTTGAAGTAGAGCCCCTATAATAATGGCCTCGGTGTATGAATAGATCTAGATAGTTTGTCAGCCCTAAGCCCAACCGTATTAACTTTGCCGAATTAATTAAATGTTGAATTATTTTTAAAGGCTATTTACTACTTACAAAACAAAATTCTACGATTTGCTTACTGTTGTTTTAGAACATCAATCTTCATGTAGTAACGGACATGGACGAGTTCAACCCATTTAAAATGTGGGGTGAGTCAAACTATTCTTGGAATTAAAATCGAAAGTAAATTTGTGTACGGATACGTGAAGCGAGAAATATATGTTTGTATGGATATATGTATGTTAGCATGTATAGGTATGTGTGTGTGTCAAGTGTGCATGTGAATACTAAGCTTGCTCACAGTTTTTTACACAACTCTCACCCCCCCCCCCCCCCCAATATATTTCCCCTATCCATCCACCCCCCCCCCCCCTCATTCGCTAACAACAAAAATGCTTTCTCTGGCTACATTAAAACTTTATCCCTAAACACAACATTTAGCCCCAGTTAAACCTCACTGCGCTGTTGTAGAAAAAAGCTGGAGTGATCTCCCCTAAACTTTCTCAAATATTCTCATATAACACTTCGGGGATGGCAACTCGGGATATAGTCATGATTTTTAATCCATTTTTAATTACTTAAACTTTTTAAAATAGAATAGTCTCGTAAAAAAAGGAATTGCGCACCAAGTAGAATAAGTTCCACATCCGGTTACCGGAAATCGCTGAAAAGTTGATACGGGACTACAAATTAAATATAATACTTATATATGAAATTCCATCAATCTAGCTGTAACGGTACTCAAGCTATCGTGTTCACAGACAAACATACACAAACAAATAAACACATACACATACGGAAAAAAAATTGCAAAACTATGTTTCCACAACTCAGGGAGATGTAAAACGATAAGATTTGTGAAAATCTCTATTTCGATTACAAGACTTCCTCTATACTTCGTCTACGAGAAAGTAAAAAGCTAAAAATATTTCAGGATCACGTGGAACGGTAGACGCCTCCGAACAGGGTTTCGTGTCTAAGTTGGGCCTGACGCCCCAATTTAATGACGGCTACCTAGAGCCCAGCTTTGAAGACTCTGTACGGAAATTGTTTCCGGAAGTTTGGATCTGGTCCACTTCTAAGTCCGGGTAACATTTTGTTTTACATCGTGATTTGTGTGGGAAATACTTTTTGTGTAATATTTGAAGACTCTGTACGGAAATTGTTTCCGGAAGTATGGATCTGGTCCACTTTTAAGTCCGGGTAACATTTTGTTTTACGTCGTGATTTGTGTGGGAAATACTTTTGTGTGTGTAATAATTGAAAGCGATTGGACGGTGTGGCCTAGTGGTAGCACGCTAGACTGCTAACCCGAAAGTCTTGAGTTCGAATCCGAGTTGGAATCAGTGGAAGTCCACCAAGCTTTGATGGGTATCTGACTCACGTTAGGGAAAATTAAGGCGGCTGTCCCTTCATATGCCAAGGCCATAGAAACAGATGACACACCCCTTTCCAAAAATTGGCATTTTCTGTTTTTATTTTTTCAACTGGATTAAAAAAAAGATTCGTCAGTAAATCTTACCATTAAAAGAAAAGATGTCATTCTTTAAACGTTATCATACCGTGCTACCCACATCCCCGTCCACGCCACGTAACGCAACTACTTGAAATGCTTTTATTATTTCAGTAAAGACGGAAAATCTACCCTGAGGTCTACAGTACCTGACACCTTAACTTCCTGGGTCGCCAGTGCATTCGCCACAAACCAGATCTCAGGACTGGGGGTCGCTCCCTCCACGTCAAAGGTAACACAGGATACCTTTACTAGCTCGTGACTAGTCAAAGGTAACATGATACCTTTACTAGCTCGTGACATGTCAAAGGTAACAGGATACCTTTACTAGCTCGTGACATGTCAAAGGTAACAGGATACCTTTACTAGCTCGTGACATGTCAAAGGTAACACGATACCTTTACTAGCTCGTGACACGTCAAAGGTAACACAGTATACCTTTACTAGCTCCCTCCACGTCAAAGGTAACACAGGATACCTTTACTAGCTCCCTCCACGTCAAAGGTAACACAGGATACCTTTACTTGCACGTGACACGTCAAAGGTAAAACAGGATAACTTTACTAGCTCCCTCCACGTCAAAGGTAACACGGGATACCTTTACTAGCTCGTGAGTTTACTAGCTACTTCATCCATGTCAAAGGTAACACAGGATACTTTTACTATTTAGCACTACACTAGATACTGGTTTGAAAGGTCTAAAAATACAAAATAGTTATCATTTTGAATAGTCCACCCCTTCCCCCTAGTACACGATATAGGCTACCTATGTATTGGTCTATGACAAGTGATGTGTGATTGCTCAGTGTGTACATGACACGTCTAATTTCTTTTACCAACCTAACGTAAAACATCTATCTACCCACCTCCCTACCACCACCTACAGCTGAGGGCGTTGAAACCTTTCTTTGTGAGCCTCAACCACCCTTTTAATGTAGCTGAAACTATTTCAATAAAGACATTTCATAGTATTTCGATAGCCACCTTTATAACTGTGAAATATCCCTCCACTTTTACAGCTGACGGTGTTCAAACCTTTCTTTGTGAGCCTCAACCACCCTTTTAATGTAGTTGAGACTATATCAATAAAAACATTTCATGGCATTTATCACCAATATAACTGTGAAATACCCCCCCCCCCCCACCTACAGCTGACGGTGTTCAAACCTTTCTTTGTGAGCCTCACCCACCCACGCTCTGTGACAAGACATGAACAATTTGTTCTACAGGCGACTGTCTACAACTATCTGCAAGAGGACCTCACGGTGGGTGAATTATACATATATATATATATATATATATATATATATATATATATATATATATATATATATATATATATATATATATATACTAGGCATACTGCCTAGCTTCGCTTAGGTTTTTAAAAAACATTTGAGAATTTGAATAGTTAATTATTTAGTGATGGATTGGGTGTGGAGTGCTTTAATAAGTTTAATTTAAACAGTAATGCTAACTTTAGAAAATAATGTTTTTGTTCGTCATTTACATTCCGTTCCAGGATAATTTCTGGAAAGTACGCAATGTATAACTAAAATGGAATTAGAACTACACAGGTTTCATGAACAGTATATCTCATAGTTTATATTACACTGCCTTTTGAAATTAATTAATTTATTTAATTAGGTTACTTAACTTAATTAACAACTCAATTTTGTACTAAAACAAATGCTATACTTCGTCATTTTCTGTTTCTGTTTAAAATAGTATACAATTATTTGAAAAAAAAATAATTTCAAAAACGTTACCTCCCTTGAAAACTGAACGTATGACGTATGTCATTGTTTACTTATATTGTTTGCTTATATAAGAAATTACGTTATATGAACATATTTAACGACTATAATGGCTGTTTCCGACGGGATTAAAGTTTTTTTGTTACCCTCCATGGTCGGTCTACGACGTCACATAATATTAAGGGGATCGTTCGTCAATTTATTTATATATATATCTCATATAAGGAGAATTTCACTCAAGATCATCTTTTAGCCCTCGTCGAGGGCTTTGAGTCTGACCAACAGTTTTTCCATACGGCCTAGTCATCTATATTAGTGTATGCAAAAACTTAGCATGATGTACAGACATTAAGTAACCTAAAAATTGTGTTAAAATTTCCCTGTTTTTCCCATAAAATACATAGATTATATAGGGAAATACAACTGGTCAGTTTTGACCGCTTTACGAAGTTTTCCCAGATATGCCGAGTTTTTTGTGACACCCCTAGGTGTTCTTCTACCACCTCACAAAATATCAAGGGGGGTCGTCGGAGGAATTTTTTTTTCGTAATAGAGCTCATATAAAGAGAATTTCACTCGCGGTCACATTTTAGCCCTCGTCGAGGGCTTTGAGTGTAACCGACAGATTTCCCTAAAGGTCAAGCCATTGACCTAGGAGCATGCAAAAAATTAGCCAGATATACTGAGCTTAAGTACCCTAAAGTCTGCGTTGAAATGACCCTCTGTTTTTCCCATAAAATACAAAGATTATATAGGGAAATACAACTGGTCAGTTTTGACCCCTTTACGAAGTTTTCCCAGATATGCCGAGTTTTTTGTGACACCCCAAGGTGTTCTCCTACCACCTCACAAAATTTCAAGGGGGGTCGTCGGAGGAAATTTTTTTTCGTAATAGAGCTCATATAAAGAGAATTTCACTCGCGGTCACTTTTTAGCCCTCGTCGAGGGCTTTGAGTGAAACCGACAGTTTTTCCTAAAGGTCAAGCCATTGACCTAGGAGCATGCAAAAAATTAGCCAGATATACTGAGCTTAAGTACCCTAAAGTCTGCGTTGAAATGACCCTCTGTTTTTCCCATAAAATACAAAGATTATATAGGGAAATACAACTGGTCAGTTTTGACCCCTTTACGAAGTTTTCCCAGATATGCCGAGTTTTTTGTGACACCCCAAGGTGTTCTCCTACCACCTCACAAAATTTCAAGGGGGGTCGTCGGAGGAAATTGTTTTTCGTAATAGAGCTCATATAAAGAGAATTTCACTCGCGGTCACTTTTTAGCCCTCGTCGAGGGCTTTGAGTGTAACCGACAGTTTTCCCTAAAGGTCAAGCCATTGACCTAGGAGCATGCAAAAAATTAGCCAGATATTCTGAGCTTAAGTACCCTAAAGTCTGCGTTGAAATGACCCTCTGTTTTACCCATAAAATACAAAGATTATATAGGGAAATACAACTGGTCAGTTTTGACCCCTTTACGAAGTTTTCCCAGATATGCCGAGTTTTTTGTGACACCCCAAGGTGTTCTCCTACCACCTCACAAAATTTCAAGGGGGGTCGTCGGAGGAAATTTTTTTTCGTAATAGAGCTCATATAAAGAGAATTTCACTCGCGGTCTTTTTTTAGCCCTCGTCGAGGGCTTTGAGTGAGACCGACAGGTCTGTCCTACGGTCAAGCCATTTTCCTATAAACATGCCAAAAATTAGCCAGATGTAAAGAGGGTAAGTGCCCTAAAATCCGTTTTGAAATGACCCTCCGTTTTTCCCATAAAATACAAAGATTATATAGGGAAATACGACTGGTCAGTTTTGACCCATTTCCCGATTTTTCCCGGACATGGCGAGTTTTTTGTGACACCCCAATGCGTTCTCCTACCACCTCACAAAATATCAAGGGGGGTCGTCGGAGGAAATTTTTTTTCGTAATAGAGCTCATATAAAGAGAATTTCACTCGCGGTCACTTTTTAGCCCTCGTCGAGTGCTTTGAGTCAAACCAACAGGTCCACCCTACGGCCAAGCCATTTACCTATAAACATGCCAAAAATTAGCCAGATGTAAACAGGGTAAGTGCCCTAAAATCCGTTTTGAAATGACCCTCTGTTTTTCCCATAAAATACAAAGATTATATAGGGAAATACGACTGGTCAGTTTTGACCAATTTCCCGATTTTTCCCGGACATGGCGAGTTTTTTGTGACACCCCAAGGTGTTCTCCTACCACCTCACAAAATTTCAAGGGGGGTCGTCGGAGGAAATTTTTTTTCGTAATATAGCCCATATAAGGCGCCGGTCAGTCGAGGTCAGTTTTGACCCCTTCTCTGTAGACTTTTCGGCCAACCGTCACCGGCCTTCGTGTTCTATCGCCCGAAGGCACCATCGTGCCAAATTTGACGCGCCTGCGGCGCCGGGAAGTGCCCTATCGGGCACCCGACCACTTTGCTTTATATATATAGATATATATATATATATATATATATATATATATATATATATATATATATATATATATGTCTGTGTGTGTGTATACAGTAGATACTTAGAAATGTTTTTTATATTTGGTTTATTTTCAACTGTTTAAGCAAGTTAGGAATGGCGCTGTCTAAAAATGTTCTGATGATTTTCAGTTTATTTAAGAATTCGTTGACAAATGGACGAAATGATCCATTATTGTTTTGTAATATTGCAGTTTGAGTATATCTTTTCTCATTCATGTTTAGGTGTCTGTTACCTTAAAATCTTGCCCTAATTTCAAACTGGTGAAGTTCACTGACAACAGATCGGAGTATTTAGAGGCAGACTTTACAGTAACGACCATTCAGGTAACATTTTTATTTAATTTCTAACACAATTTTAATATTAATGACATTTTTTTGTGAAAATTTCTTCAGATGTTTTCAGTATTGAAATTTTTATTTTTATTTTTACCTGACTATTTTGACAACTTTATCCAGGTGGGGTCCAACCAGCAAGGTGTGACCTACTTCCCAATCCTGGCATCTGTGGCTGGGGCACTGGACCTGGACGTGTCTGCCAAATCTTCAATGGCGGCTGACGCTGTACGAGGTCAGGTCAATGTCAAGGTGAGTGGTCAACCAATTCACCTAATAAGTTTGCTTTATTTTCTCATCTGACTCAAGTTAGTATAGTGAAACTACACTAGTTATTATATTATTTTAAGGATTTTTTCGTTAAATTTTTGTTGTACTAGTTGTCAGATCAATATTTACATTATGGTTAGGGCCAGGCTTTAACGTGGGTTTGGTTTAGTGCTAGGGTTATTTTGCCTTTTGGAAGATATATTAGGTTATTGTTTTCTACAATAAGCCAAGAACCTCTTTTTGCTCTGGAATTATTAGTTCTAAACAAGCACATACACACATACGCACGCACACGTACACAATACAAATGCAACCTGAAAAGTAGGTAAACGTGGACACGATGTAAAGGTAAAAATAAAATATACAGGACATATATATGATTTAATTACACATTAATTAATTAACCCTATAAATCAGCTGGAAGGAGCGCCAATTACCGTCAACCAGCCTGTCTACATTAGCCTTAATTCAACGGTTCCAGTCTTCAAGTCCCTGAACATCACCTTTCCCACAACAGTGGTAGCTGGCTCCAAAAAAACCAGAGCTACGTTCACAGGTGAGTCAGGTGATCAGTGGCACTTTCACGGGTGAGTCAGGGGATCATTGGCACTTTAACAGGTGAGTCAGGTGATCGTTGGCACTTTCACAGGTGAGTCAGTGTTCATTGGCATTTTCACAGGTAACTGTTGGGTTAGGTGACCATTGGCACTTTCACAGGTGTGTCAGGTGATCATTGGCACTTTCACAGTTAAGTCAGGTGATCATTGGCACTTTTACACGTGGGTCAGGTTATCATTAGCAGTTTCACAGGTGAGTTAGGGGATCATTGGCACTTTCACAGGTGATTCAGGTGATTATTGGCACTTTCACAGGTGAGTCAGTGTTCATTGGCATTTTCACAGGTAACGGTTGGGTTAGGTGATCATTGGCACTTTCACAGGTGTGTCAGGGGATCATTGGCACTTTCAAAGGTTATTCAGTGGATAATTTGCACTTTCACAGGTGAGTCAGGTAACTGTTGGGTCAGGAAACTGTTGGGTCAGGTCATCATTGGCACTTTCACAGGGGTGTCAGGTGATTGTTGGCACTTTCACAGGTGAGTCAGGTGATCATTGGCACTTTCACAGGTAAGTGTTGGGTCAGGGGATTATTGGCACTTTCACAGGTGTGTCTTGCGATCATTGCCAGTTTCACAGGTGAGTCAGATGAACATTGGCACTTTCACAGGTGAGTCAGATGAACATTGGCACTTTCACAGGTGAGTCAGATGAACATTGGCACTTTCACAGGTGAGTCAGATGAACATTGGCACTTTCACAGGTGAGTCAGATGAACATTGGCACTTTCACAGGTGAGTTTAAGTTTAAATAAGTTTAAGCCAGTCATTTTGCAATCTATCATATAGTCTTGTAGCCTGAGTCAGTCAATGTTATTTGGTAGATTTTAATACAAAATAGTTTTGTTCCCATGTCAGTACTTACACGACCGGTACCATTTCTTGTGTAAGATTTCACATTTTTATCTGACAGGTGATTTATTGGGGTCAAGTTTAAACAGTTTGACCTCTCTGCTGACCTTGCCCACCGGATATGGTGAGTCGAACATACTCAAGTTTGCTCCACATCTGTACGTGGCTAAATACTTGCGTGCGACCAAGCAGACCAAGACACCTTACTACGAGGAATCCATCAGGAATTTACAAGCAGGTAAAGGGAGAGTAATCTTAATTCATGAATTTTCTCTAAAATAATTTTTTATCGAGGGTAAAAATGGTTATTAATAACCCAAAGTGTTATTAGGGAGTAAGATAATCAATAAATTAAGAATAGTAGAATTATAGGTCTTTCTTAGATTTTAAGAAATATAAAAACCTTAATGGGGAAATCGCTTAACCAACTACCGAACTCGATTCATACTCTAGCCATAATAATAATAATAATAATAATAATAATAATAATAATAATAATAATAATAATTATATATATATATATATATATATATATATATATATATATATATATATATATATATATATATATATATATATATATATATATATATATATATATATATATATATATATATATATATGAATATAAATAATGTAGGTTATCAGGGTCTACTGACATATAAAAGACGTGAAAACAGCTACAATGACGATGCTGATGATAACATTGGAAGTGTTTGGTGAGTTGTGTGTTGGTTCATTGAAGGTTTTTTATGATTGTATCGTGTTGGTCAGATTGTATGCTGGTCAGTGAACAAACATACACACATGTGCTTATAAACATTGAGTCATACAGCTACTTTTAAACGAATAAACCGACCTGTTGATACAATTACTAACCTTTAAATGGGCTTTAAACACCATATCATTGTAAACCATCCCCAGGCTTACCGCCCTTGTCAGCCGGTTGCTCCACGAATCACGTGACTTCATGCAGGTACCTGAGACTTACCTGCAAGGCGCCGTATCGTGGCTGGTGGACAGGCAGAATGAAGATGGTTCTTTTAAAGAGTTTTCTACAGTACAAGATGAGGCCATACAAGTAAAGATATAATTAAATTTATTTTACCATTTAGGTTAGTTGGTGTAGAATTGTATGGGCGTCGACCATTGATTCGTAATAATCTACATATTGGGTAAGACTTTAAAAACATAATTTTACTGCTAATCTTTTAAAAGATGACTTTTGACTTTAATTTTATTGAACTTTGACATGTACTGACTTTTAACCTTTATTGACAATACAATTCTCTAGGGCTCCGGACCTGTCCTCACTTCCCACGTTCTGTTGAGTTTTGTGGAGAATACGGAGTGGGCTCTAGACCAACAGCTTACAGAGAACGCCAAGGTATATATGGACACACTTGATATATAGGCGTGTATTGAAAGCCGTACTTAATGTAGCAGTGTGTGTAACTGTAGATAGCCGGTTGATTTTATTCTCGTGATCAAGGCGTGGGTCGTACATATTGTGTGAATATAGAGATGCGTGGGGTAAAAAAAGGAGTTAAATGTTTAGATGTAGTTTGTCGTAGTTAGGGAAATTAAAGCAGAGTTAGTTTAGATCATCTGCTTGCGCCAAGTCTCCTCTAAAGCTGGATGCGTCCATTGATGTCCTGGTGACGACCGGACTGAACTTCGGGTTAGCTAGTGAGAGCTCTGCTACTCGACCACACCTGCTCTGATTGCTATTTGTAACGTCTATTGCATTATATTCTTACAATTTAATTTTTTTTTAAATTCTTGATGTCGTCGTTTATCATGAAGGCGTGTTTAATAATGTATACATGTTTATTTTTAGTTGGGTATTGTGTGAGTAATGTAAATAGTTTGTTTTAGACGTTATCCAGATCTACAATGTGATGTATGCACAATTTTATGTATTTTAGTTTTAATGTTTATTTGAGGTCTGTATTCTTGTGGGTGTCGTTAGTGCATCAAAAACCATATCAGGATTATTTTTTCTGAAGTATGCTCATATAATGCATCATTATGAAATGACGCAGACTGAAATGAATGGTCGCATTGTTCAGCAGTTGCTGACCCAGGCTACACTGAAAGCTAGAACATACCTGGAGAAGACGGTGGAGATGGATGTACTTGTTGACCCCTATACTCTGGCTGTGGTCAGCTATGCTCTCGCCATGTCAAACAGCTCAGCCTCAACTTTAGCCCTAAACAAACTGTTGACTTACGCCAAACGTGAAGGTACACACTTCCTAGGTTCATTAATTAACTTCTAGGCAAACATTTAATGAGTTCAACTATAATTTAATTTATTGGTACAAATCTCTCCTAAGTCTTGATTAAATTAATCAGTGTTCTGCTTAATTGCTTTTATATTTAGGCGGCCTTCTCTACTGGAGAGCGGACAGTTCAGACGAAGAGCAGCAAGAACATCCGCCAAGATGGCGTCCAGTCCACAAGCAGGCCAGGTCTGCTGACGTCATCATCACATCCTACGCCGTGTTGACCTTCGTGGCCCTGGGTCGTCTGGAGGAGGCGGTCCCTGCAGTCACGTGGCTGACGTCACAGAGAAACCCACAAGGAGGCTTCGTCTCCACCCAGGTTAGAATTGTTAGAAAGTTAAATGTCTCTTTTTCCATCAAAGTTAGGAAAGTACATGTTTGTAATGTGTAGATAGATCATACACCAATGGTGATGCAAGTGTTATTATAGATGTGTTCTTACAAATATTTAAAAGAGTTTTTGAAAGTATTGATTGTAGCCTACACATCTTTAAAGCTTTAACTCATGATTTTATTTATTCAAGACAATGATTTGTGATATATATACATATATATATATATATATATATATATATATATATATATATATATATATATATATATATATATATATACACGCATTTATATGGTGCCCTAGGACACGACAGTGGGACTCCAGGCTCTCTCAGAGTTTGCGACCCTGTCCTTAAGACCAGACACATCTGTGTCTGTTACAGTGGACGACACACAGTCCATCAGGAGGTTCAACATCACACGGGACAACGCTCTGACCCTACAGACTCAAGAGGTTTTAGTTGTTGTTTTATCATGATCTATGCTATATGTGATGATATTATCAAATGATACATTCTGATTGTGTCTCATTTTAAGTTATGTTTAATTGTATCAATTTACACACGCTAAGAGTATTAATGTTTATGTATTACGTTCTTATTGCATAAAGTTTAAAGTTTTTAAGAATTTTATCATGGTTTAAGCTCTGAACGTAGAAAATGTTATGTGATATATTCTGAATGTATCAAATTTTGTATGAGTACAATCTGTAAATACACACACATTTGTGATTCACATTCCAACAAATTAGTGATCGGAAAAATGTATGTGCATATTGTATAAAGTCAAAGACTGGCAAGTGTTTTTAACATTTTAGCCAGACAATAAAATCTATAATTCTATATTATTCAATATTATCATTTAGCAAAAAATAGGTACTAAGTTAAAAATATTTATTTAATACATTTTATGATTTTTGAAGTTTTTAAGCTATGTGATATTTCTTCAGTTGAATGACTCACCAAGCAATGTCATGATAAAAGCTACTGGTACTGGTATAGCTCTAGTTGAGGTAAGGTTTGACAATGGACTTAGTATTAAAAACTTAAATCGGATGTGGTTTTACATAATAACCAATCTTGGGTTTTTGGTATAGTCAATACTAAGTTACTAAGGAGTTTTTGATGATTTACTGAAGGTCCTAGGTGCTTTGACCACATGTGCTTTGACCATAGGGGGTTTGACCATAGGGGGTTTGACCACAGCGGGGTTTTGACCACAACGGGGCTTTGACCACAGGGGGGGGGGGATAATATATAACATTTAAAATAGAAATTATAAAATGCTATTTTAATTTTAATTTACCCGTTGACAAACCACCTGTGATCAAAGACCCCCTGCTGAGAAAACACCTGTGGTCAAAATCCCTATGGTCAAAGCCCCTATGGTCAAAGCCCCTATGGTCAAAGCCCCTCTGTGGTCAAACCACCTATGGTCAAACCCCCTATGGTCAAAGCATCTGTGGTCAAAGGTCCGCGCACCTTACTGAATGACTGAATGCTTAATTTGTGTGTCCCTGTGTCAACATGACTGAATATTTATACGAGTCTGCGTCTAACAGTGAGTGTCTATGTCCGTTTGTCTAGAATCAATATATACGACAAAATGTGTCTGTGTACACATGACTCAGTGTTTAACTGAGCATGTTTGTGTGTATGTCTGTGTGAGTCTGTGCTTATAAGAGTAGGCCTATGCGTGTCTAGACGTATGAGGAAATATGTATCTGTATGTCCAGGTGTCCAACAGTTTTCATGTGGAGGAGGAGCTGACCAGTCCGTCATTTGACGTCACGGTGGTGTTGCTGGAGGATGAGTTAGATCGTATTAAGATGATGGTGTGTACAAAGTGAGTACTTGTTGGTGATGGCGTGTACAAAGTGAGTAGCCTACATGGTGGTGATGGTGTGTACAAAGTAAGTACTTGTTGGTGATGGTGTGTACAAAGTGAGTATATGTTGGTGATGGTGTGTACAAAGTGAGTAGCCCACATGTTGGTGATGGTGTGTACAAAGTGAGTACTTGTTGGTGATGGTGTGTACAAAGTGAGTACATGTTGGTGATGGTGTGTACACAGTGAGTATTTGTTGGTGATGGTGTGTACAAAGTGAGTACTTGTTGGTGATGGTGTGTACAAAGTGAGTACATGTTGGTGATGGTGTGTACAAAAAGAGTACTTGTTGGTGATGGTGTGTACAAAGTGAGTAGCCTACATGTTGGTGATGGTGTGTACAAAAAGAGTACTTGTTGGTGATGGTGTGTACAAAGTGAGTAGCCTACATGTTGGTGATGGTGTGTACAAAGTGAGTACTTGTTTGTGATGGTGTGTACACAGTGAGTACTTGTTGGTGATGGTGTGTACAAAGTGAGTACTTGTTGGTGATGGTGTGTACAAAGTGAGTATTTGGTGATGGTGTGTACAAAGTGAGTAGCCTACATGTTGGTGATGGTGTGTACAAAGTGAGTAGCCTACATGTTGGTGATGGTGTGTATAAAGTGAGTAGCCTACTTGTTGGTGATGATGTGTACAAAGTGAGTACTTGTTGGTGATGGTGTGTACAAAGTGAGTAGCCTACATGTTGGTGATGGTGTGTACAAAGTGAGTAGCCTACATGTTGGTGATGGTGTGTACAAAGTGAGTACTTGTTGGTGATGTTGTGTACAAAGTGAGTACTTGTTGGTGATGTTGTGTACAATAGTGAGTACTTGTTGGTGATGGTGTGTACAAAGTGAGCAGCCTACATGTTGGTGATGGTGTGTACAAAGTGAGTACTTGTTGGGGATGGTGTGTACAAAGTGAGTACTTGTTGGTGATGGTGTGTACAAAGTGAGTAGTCTACATGTTGGTGATGGTGTGTACAAAGTGAGTACTTGTTGGTGATGGTGTGTACAAAGTGAGTACTTGTTGGTGATGTTGTGTACAAAGTGAGTACTTGTTGGTGATGGTGTGTACAAAGTGAGTACTTGTTGGTGATGGTGTGTACAAAGTGAGTACTTGTTGGTGATGGTGTGTACAAAGTGAGTACTTGTTGGTGATGGTGTGTACAAAGTGAGTATATGTGTCTAGCTTTTCATATCATTCAAAAGTGTTTTAAAAAGTAATATTAGCTTCATCTCCATTTAAGTTTTAACGCAAATAATAAAATTAGGTTCCTAAAAATTGACTTTTTCCTGAGAAAAACAGGATCGTCAATATAAGATATGAAATGTCTTCATTACGCCAGAAAAAGCGTAACATGTCTTACTGATTATAGAAGTGTTTATGTTGCCATGACATCAATCACGTGTCTTGTTGAAGTTACTAATCACAGTTTATCATCCACTCCCCCAGATTATTGAGTCAGAGAAGCGCCGGTCTGGTAGTCCAAGAAGTGGGAATACCTTCAGGGTTCCAGCCAGATCTCACGGCTGTAGACAACGTCGCTGGGCTCGTCAAGACGGAGGTCAAGGGAAACTTTCTCAACGTCTACTTGGATGAGGTGGGTTCGTTGTGGCATTTTGATGTTTCACGTTGTTTATTGTTGTTACTTTGGTGGCTGTTGGCATTTAGATATTGGAGTTTATATGTAGTCATTTTGAATGTTTCCTTGCGATGTTGTTAGCTTTAAAAACTATTATAAAAATATGACAGAAAAAAACATAATGTGTTGAATAGATAAAGTATTAATTTAACATGAATACATAAATAATATGTGCTGAATAGAAAAACTATTATTTTAACATGATTACACAAATATAATGTGTTGAATACAAGAAATATTATTTTAACATGAATACATAATATAATGTGTTGAATAGAATAAATAATATATATTGGACGGGGTTGATTTTATGTATTCAACATTTAAAAATTACATTTTCTACCTTTAAATAAACCGGGAGTGATCTCCCCTAAACTTTCTCGAATATTCTTATATAAAACAACAGGGGATGGGAACTCGGGATATAGTTATGATTTTTAATCCATTTTAAATACATAAACTTTTTAAAATAAAATAGAATCTCATAGAAAAAGTATTGCACACCAAGTGAACGCCGAATAAAGATGCTCATAATGGTGCGCAATATTATTAGTACTTTATAAATTTAGATGCGTTTTTGAGAAATCGGAAATAGCGTAAATTAGTACTTCCCGTCAACGGGAATTACTCAAAATTTAACAGAAGGTAGAGAATTAGATCTTTTACTTACATGCGAAATTTCATTTATCTATCTGAAATAGTACTCAAGTTATAGGCTTTTGAAAAATTCAAAGTAGAAAAAGTACCACTTCCGGTTATCGGAAATCGCTCAAAAGTTGATATGGATCTACGATTTCGATAAAATACTTATATATGAAATTTCATCAACCTAGCTGTAACGGTACCTAAGTAATCGTATTTACACACACACACACAGACACACACACACACACAGAGACACACAGACATACGGACAAGATTGCAAAATTATGTTTTTCCGTATCAGTGAGGTGTAAAACGTCGAGATTTGTAAAAATCTCGATTTTTTTTTGCACGATTACAATACTTTCTCTATACTATGTATATACGAGAAAGTAAAAAAGCAACCGACTTCGACTTTGGATATTTACTCAGTAAAAATATACATTCAAAGTTAAATCAAACACAAGGAATTTTGAGATCAATTTATTTTTAAATTTCCTTTTTTTTTCCAAAAAATAAATAAAACGGAAAATTATTAAACGAACTGTAACGCAATATTTGAAAAAAAAAACCACTCTATTATTTTTATTGATAATGTATAAGCTGCTAATTTGATTTCATTAATTGATCTGACCAGATAAGCGTGTCTTCTGTCTGCTACACGCTGAAAATGTTTCGTGAGGCCAAAGTGGCAAGGTCACAAAAATATTACGTCAAAACATACGATTACTATGAGCCAGGTAAGCAAGGTCACAAAAATACCAGGTAATATTTGCTTTAATATCTGTAAAATAAACATTTATTGTATTAAGCCAGCATGTGGTGCAATATAGGGTGTTCTTTATACCTCCTATTTTAGAGTTTTAATATTCGATGTTAATTATACATCCTATTTTAGAGTTGTAATATTGGATGTTCTTTATACATTTTGTATTTCGTGCTGAAGGCACTGATGTTGTTTATACTACATTTGACTGTGTCCTTATATGTCTTTCTCTACATAACAGACACACTTCCATTCATAATATAAATTTATTCATTTAAATATTCAAGTCTCTTTCAATTTGATTTTATCTTTACTTTTCAACTACCAAACCAGCCTTAAAACTGAGAAAACGATTGGTCCTAGTTCAAAAGTTAATTTAATAATAGTATCATGTATGTTACCAATGTGGTAAGATGGTAGCGCATACGACTGCTAACCCGGAAGTCTCGATTTCGAAACCCTGAATCTACCCAGCATTGTTGGGTACCTGACTAACGTAAGGGGAAGTAAAAACTACTGGGCACAGTGCTGACCACAATGTACTTTCATTTGCATAGGTCAAATAAACGGGTGAATTCTACTTCATTTGCTCCCTTACAGGTCTATATCTTGTCTTTTATTTGTTCTAACATTAAAGACTTACTCTAAAATTAACATAGTGCTCTGTCTGACCTCTACAGTAAACCAGGCTACCGTGTTCTATCACCCGAAAGCCATTAGAGAATCTAAAATTTGTGACGTCTGCCCGGGTTGCTGCCCCTAGTAACTCTTTTTTCATCTAGAATATTCTAGAATCACCGATTCAATGAACGTGGACGATGAAGTCAACACTTATTTAAATTAAGATTATAATTTGTTTTTCAAAATTATTTCCTTTATTATCTCTGGAATTAGATTAAAAAAAATAAAAGACAAAATTCATAAAGCTTTACACTTTTGTTTTTTTTTATTCATTTATTTCAGAATTCTATAATTATTTTATTGTCTAGTTACTCGGCATTTGTCAAAATCTTTTTATTTTAAATTAGCCATAAAAAATAGCTTTTTGGCTACCTAAAAAGGAGCCTGCAAATAAAAATATTAAAATAATTAATAAGCTTTAGACCTCAAGAGTTTCCTGTTTCCATTTATCGTTTCACTGAACTGAAACCTGGGGTTGAAGCTCTACATGTATTATTTATACCAGCATAAGTTTTTATCAAAGTTGTGACTTTTTTATTTAAACTAATTTCTTACAGTAAATTAGAGTGTTTTATAGCTAAAGCAAAAGGGGTCGGCGTGGTCGAGTCGGTAAAACTCATGGTTGCTAAACCGAAAAGTCATGAGTGCGAACCCTTGGGCAGATGAGGCTCGATCCCTTTAAACTCACAAAAAATTAAGAACGAAGAAGAAGAATGCAAAAACTCACAACACATCTTTAGGATTTCAGTCATTTTTTAAAATGTTCCACAAATCCTTTCGTTGATGCTGGTTGTGTATGACACCAAATACAATCATAAAGCATAATAATATTTGTCTTTAAACTTCGATAAGGTTTATATCAAAACTGAAATCTTTAAAATTAACTTTAAAAAATATTTAAGCTGCACACTTCAATAATTTGAGTTAGTTTTTTATGACGTAACACATTGTAACAAATATTTTAAAAGTACAAAAAATACAACCCTTTAAAAATGTAGTGGCTAAGAATTGGTAAAAGTATAAAAATACTAATGGCCAAAAAGAAAATTAAAATTTTATATTTACCGCACTTATCCGCTACAAATTACGAAGAGTATTTTCTGGGGTATGTTTTATTTTAATTTATGGTTCATCTCGGCACATCTCTCTGTACACATCTTGTACGTAATGTATTCATGTGCTATTTGGATGTTGCAGTCAACTATCTTTACTTTTTGTTAAGTGTGCTGTTATAGGCATTTCTCTTGAGGTTTTGCTCGTTTTGAAAATGTATTCAGTGCTTTGGCGAGCTCATACTATTTTTGTGTGGAGAAATTTCTTTGTCTGTTGGTTTTTAATTTAAAACTTGTTTTTTTTTTAAACGAATCAAAATGGATAACATAACAAAAGAGAATTTACAATCCAATAATAAATTATGCAACACATTATTGTTTAATATAGTTTGTTTAATTGACTTATATAATGATAGTAACTTTCATCACAGACTAGATGCCAGAAGATGTAGAGATGGATATAGCTTACAATATTTCAGTAAAACTTAACCAACCACGGGATGGTGAGAGTTAGAGGGATGAGTACATAGGCCATATGCCAAGTATGGTGAATGATACAGACCAAAATGGTGTGTGGTTATGTGAAAAAGCACAGCATATGAGGGTGTTGGGTGTTGAATACATACAAACATGACAGAGAAAGTAGCAGTCGTTCGCTAACTGTGGTTTGGGGAATCATTGACTTGAGTTTGGGAATAAACGATGTGAAGTGACTTACGGAATTCAGGAAGTAAATGTGACTTGACTTAGGGAATACACATTTCAAATGACATTAAGTAAAAAACGGTTTTGGTAGTGAAGTCATTCAGACTTTTTGTTTCAATTGCCAGTTAAACTACAGTTGACTGTTGTTTTGAGTTTAATTACATCACGCTTTAAAATTTTATTACACTTCATGTGGGGGTCGATTTATAATCAGATTGAAGGATTAATGAAACTTTCAAAAGTTTGAAACAACTAATTAAAACTATCTTAGAATGAAAATGCGTCGTATGTCAATTTAAAAATTAATTCTAATAAGTCTTTTGCAAGTCAAAATCTAGAACGTTAGATATTTTTGTTTTAACTTTAAAAATACAGTTATCTATGTGTGTAAATTAAAACAAAACAAAAATGCTTGCACGACTTCGACTAATTCAAGGAAACGAACAAATATCCTACCAGAACACCCGAAGATCGTAATGGGAAGCTATCTAAATCTCGGAAATTTCGACTTTCTCAAAGGCAATGAATTATTTTTTAAATGTGTAGTTAAACGTATTGACAGTTGTGTAAAAAGTGAAATTAAACAAAAAGTGAGTGGAACAAATTTAAATGAAGTTTCGCCATAGCTAGCAGTTGAAGGCAACTTAATAACAAATGCAGAACTAAGTACACTACAAAACATGAAGTCACATTGATGATGGGAGGCCACACTACAGAAACATAAAGTCACATTGATGATGGGAGGCCGCACTACAAAAACATAGTCACATTGATGATGGGAGGCCGCACTACAAAAACATAAAGTCACATTGATGATGGGAGGCCGCACTACAAAAACATAAAGTCACATTGATGATGGGAGGCCACACTACAGAAACATAAAGTCACATTGATGATGGGAGGCCGCACTACAAAAACATAAAGTCACATTGATGATGGGAGGCCGCACTACAAAAACATAAAGTCACATTGATGATGGGAGGCCACACTACAAAACATGAAGTCACAGTGATGTTGGGAGGATACACTACAAAAACATAAAGCCACACTACAGTTACAATGGGGACTTGTCGTTAATTCGTATCGTTAAACACTAACTCATCCACAATCTCTGGTTGTCCGGCGTAGCGAATGCGAGTGTCGTATCCGCTTAACTTCTCCTCCAAGGCCTCCGGGAAGAAGGGAAGATATTCCGGGGCGAGGTACAGAACCTAGTGATGGTGGGGATCGAGGTCATGATGGGGTCGTCAGGTGGGGGTCATGTAAACAGAGGCAGAGACAGGATCAAACAGGATGACGAGTGAGGCGCGGCTCCTAGCTTTATTTTTATTTATTTCTGCATTTATATGATACACGTAGCTATCTTTTTAAAATTGAACTTGAAAAACTGACTAATCAGTTATATAAATTAATATTGTTATTTGTTTTGTAAAAGGTTTGAACTGAAACCGTTCACCTTGCATAAATCTCGTCTTTTTTTTTTAAATAGAAAATAATTCTTAATTTTATGCATCAGTAATGACTTAATAAAGATGGACACGCATGAATTGAACTATTCTCGTAAGAAGAAAAAAAAACTGTTTTGATCATTGGTTTGGCATGGCAGTGGTGTTGGTAGTGATATCGGTACTGTTTGTACTGTTTGTTTGGGTTGAAGAGTTGGACGGTGAGTAAATATTTTCGGCCGGAGCGGCGGCATTTTCCGCGTTGCTATTGCTAGCCCCCTCCTCATCGTCATCCCCTTTGATGTGCACCCAGACGAGGAAGAAGATGGTGAGAGCAAGGACGACAATGGTGATGACGATACACAGCCACCATCGCCACCGGTTATCTTTGGATTTATGCAGCTCGGAGGCCGGCCTACCAGGTATGAATGGGTACTCTTCTGGGGGGCGGTGGATCACCTGGCAGGGGGAAGGATAGTCAGGTGGTGGTGTGGCGTGGTGGTCAACAGGTGGATGATGAGGTGAGTAGGTGGGTGGCGTGGTGTGGCGTGGTGGTGTGGCGTGGCGTGGTGGTCAACAGGTGGGTGATGAGGTGAGTAGGTGCGTGGCGTGGTGTGGCGTGGTGGTGTGGTGACTAGGTGGTTGATGTGGTATGTACATATGCGCTATGGTAAACTGAGATGATGATGCGTGTGGAAGACGAGAGAATGTTTGATGACAAATATTGTGACAGACGTTGTCACAGACTTTGTCACAGACGTATTGACAGATGCTGTTGTGGATGAACTTTTGTTAGGTGTGGTGCATTCGCCTAAAGCGGGGCACCTGGCTTCTATGTACTGAGTTTTTTTTTTCAATTGTTTATGTAAATATTCTAGCCTTATATTCTAAATCAATGGGGTGTAACATAGCAAATAAGATCCAGAAGAAACACGACGAAAGTAAGATAAACTTAGATTTAATAAACAGAGCTAGAGGATTTATGAAAAAGCAAAGGTGAACTATGCCATAGATATATAGTAAGATGCCCTGAATACTATACATAACATCACGATAACACTGCTATACAAAATAGGATTTAGCTATGAGACAAAAGAGCTCGGGGTTATCCTCGAGATATTGTGATGTAACTCAACGAAACTGTAAAATTATGACACAACTTGAAGAAAGTATGGCATTAAGAGAACTATGGCATGAGAAAGACTGACAGTTCCTAGAGATATTGTGATGTAACTCAAAGAAACTGTAGAATTGTGACACAACTTGAAGAAAGTATGACATTAAAGAAACTATTACATAAGAAAAACTGACAGTTTCTTATCATAAAGAAACTATGACAGGCTAAATGGGAACTACGACATAAGAAAAAATCTTTCAATACAGAAACCAGCCTTAGGAAACTCTAAGAAAATAAAGAAGGACAGTTTCTCATCGTAAGGAAACGACGATAAAGCCTAAAGGACCTATGACGTAATACCCACCTCTCTGTTGTTCACGATGTCGGCAGCTTCACTGGGCAGCATGAACCACCTGAGCTCCTCAGCCTCAGCCGTGTACTCGAATGTCTGGTCAGGTAAGTCGAACACACCTGGCTGGAAGAAAACAGGTAAAAGTGACACGCCTCAAAATGTGTTATATAGCAGTTTTAAAGTCTATTTAATGTTTTTGCTGTTAAGAATAGACTTTTTTTTCTCACATCTTCTTCTTTTTTGTTCTTAATTTTAGTGTTGGAACAATTAAGTATACGTGTCAACTGGTTATGCGCCATTGAGGGCAATGACTCCGATTTCAGCCTGCTTTTCTTTTTGGATTTGCTTCCATAACCATTATCACTCGATCTTATAATAACACAAATGTTTGTTGATCACCACCATTGTATTCCGTAAGATACCTAGTCACTTTTCCGTCCCACTATTACCCAAACACAAAAATGTGGTATATTCGAAAAAAAAATGTTGTATACTAGAAAAAAATGTATACTAGAAAAAAAATGTTGTATACTAGAAAAAAATGCTGTACACTAGAAAAACTGTGATTTTGTCATAGCTATTATGAAAATCTTAAATAATCCTAAGGAAAAATGCTAATTTAGCTTATATCTTAATTAAATATTCAGGATTTTTATGCTTTGTTTAAAATTCAGAATACGGAACCTAGTCATATCCACTGACCTCAGCCCACCATTTTAGGTAGAAGACAACAAGCAAGAAATAAATTATTAACGTTTTTATTATATTTCTGATCTATTCTCACCCTCGACACACTGTGATAAAATGATAATCCCCAACTGATTCGTGGTTTACTATAGGTTCACGAATGTGTCTATCGCAAGACTATTCAGATTCAAGCGTTATATCTACATTTCGTATGTCAAGGTAAAATAAAACAGGTTTACCTTGTTAGCCTGTTCAAATATCTTTTTCGCTCGTTGTAAAATTTCCTGTGGGGTGTCAAATGTTTTGGGTTAGTCAAGCATGTATGGTATGGAGGGACTAGTATGGAAAGTATAGAATATGGGGTGTATTTTAGCGACTATAGCGAATATAATTGAGTGAGTTAAGAAAAACGAGTAAAGTGTTGCGAGTAAAGTAAAGCGATGGAGGTTTACAGCTATCAATACAAAAAAAATTAATTAATAGAACACAGAATGAACGATTATTGACAGAATTTTAAAACATGCAGCTCAACACCTACCCCCAGGAAGTTGCAGAAGCATTTGGCTTTTTAAATTATATCTTCGAGACAATGCCAGGACAATAGGGCTGGTAAGTAGGTCACCAACCAGTTCTACGGCTCAATAAAACATGCATGAGCCATATAACTGGTTGGTGACCTACTTACCAGCCCTATAACGTTAACAAAATATTGAAAGGCTCTTAGACAACTACATAAAATAGCAGTAGGACATCTCATGTGAATCACAGTACAACATTTCCATCACATACATATGACATTTATAAACCAATAGCACACACATATAACAAGGTTGTCCAAACACACAGCCCAAACACCAGTGGCACACAAGTCGGTCACCTCATAGTGAAAGCCCTTGAAGTCATTGCCCTCACTCTGAAGACTGTCTGCAGAAGAAACCTCTCTACGGCCCAGGTCAAACTTGGTGATGTTCGTTGGCTTCCTCGGCGGTGCCTCCACGTCTAGTTTGCCTTTTTTGAACGACACGTCTTTCAAGCTTTTTGCTGGCTTGCAGTTCTGGTGGTAAAGAGATGCTAATTGTGAGGAACATGTTAGTCACCGGGGTTAGGGTTAAAATAACTCGCTAAACGTACTAGTAACAGTATTAGGGTTAAAATAATTCGCTAAACGTACTAGTGACAGTGTTAGGGTTAAAATAACTCGCTAAACGTACTAGTAACAGTATTAGGGTTAAAATAATTCGCTAAACGTACTAGTAACAGTATTAGGATTAAAATAACTCGCTAAACGTACTAGTAACAGTGTTAGGGTTAAAATAACTCGCTAAACGTACTAGTAACCGTGTTAGGGTTAAAATAACTCGCTAAACGTACTAGTAACCGTGGTGTTAGGGTTAAAATAACTCGCTAAACGTACTAGTGACCGTGTTAGGGTTAAAATAACTCGCTAAACGTACTAGTAACCGTGGTGTTAGGGTTAAAATAACTCGCTAAACGTACTAGTAACCGTGTTAGGGTTTAAATAACTCGCTAAACGTACTAGTAACCGTGGTGTTAGGGTTAAAATAACTCGCTAAACGTACTAGTAACAGTATTAGGGTTAAAATAACTCTCTAAACGTATTAGTGACCGTGGTTAGGGTTAAAATAACTCGCTAAACGTATTAGTGACTGTGTTGAGGATTAAGATAACTCGCTAAACGTACTAGTGACCGTGGTTAGGGTTAAAATAACTCGCTAAACGTACTAGTGACCGTAGTTAGGGTTTAAATAACTCGCTAAAGGTACTAGTGACCGTGGTTAGGGTTAAAATAACTCTCTAAACGTACTAGTGACCGTGGTGTTAGGGTTAAAATAACTCGCTAAACGTACTAGTGACCGTGTTAGGGTTAAAATAACTCACTAAACGTACTAGTAACCGTGTTAGGGTTTAAACAACTCGCTAAACGTACTAGTAACCGTGGTGTTAGGGTTAAAATAACTCGCTAAACGTACTAGTAACAGTATTAGGGTTAAAATAACTCTCTAAACGTATTAGTGACCGTGGTTAGGGTTAAAATAACTCGCTAAACGTACTAGTAACCGTGTTAGGGATTAAAATAACTCGCTAAATGTAATAGTGACCGTGGCTACAGTTAAAATAACTCGCTAAACGTACTAGTAACAGTATTAGGGTTAAAATAACTCGCTAAACGTATTAGTGACCGTGGTTAGGGTTAAAATAACTCGCTAAACGTATTAGTGACTGTGTTGAGGATTAAGATAACTCGCTAAACGTACTAGTGACCGTGGTTAGTCATAGGCTCAGGTTATAAGACATTTATAAACTGTGTTTTTGATAGGTAGTGATGGCTAAATCCTTGAAAAATCCGTTTCTAAATTTAGATTGCCGAATGAGTCCTTAGGTGACTGTCTTTTTAATAAAAAAAATAACCTAGTTCAGGTGTAGTTTATTAACTTTGTTTTTTTTTATCTTTATCAAAATTGCGTTCCTAATCGAACATGGATAATCTTTTAATGATAGCAGTCAGGACTTAGTGTTTAGTTTAGTGAAGTATCACTGTTTCTATTAATTAGATTTAGTAATTATAGAGATACAAACCAACATACACACAGATAGTTAATGACCCCGCAGATATCAAACAACAAACACACACATTGAGTTAATGATTCTACGGCGATATGACATCACAAACAAACACTTACCTCTTCGCCTCGGTACCACCATTTGCCCGTTTTCCTATCAAAATCGTACTGCAAAAACAAAACCACAACAAATTAAACTTATAAAAATAATTTACAAGCTACAAAACCAATTTTACTAATAATTAGCATTTATTTGTGTGCAAATGACCATGTAAGTAGCGACCCATACAGGTGCTGGGGACAAACTATCTATTACAGACATTTATTCAAGTTGGCAAAGAAGAGCCCCCACCCACTCTCCCAAAATGGATAGATTGAGGACGTTTTTACCAATCACTGTTTTATAAAAATCTTAACTTTGTTGTCAATCAAAACAATTAAATCAGTCTGTAAATCCTTGATAGCCAAGATATCCCACAAAAAATAAAAAATAAATACATAATAAATAAATACATAATTTAAAAAAAAAAACGAAGTTTACTTACTAAAGGCAACAACACCCACGCATTCTCGGCCGTGAGGATAATAGCCTTGATGACAAAATCAAAGCATTCGTGACTAATGAAGTACGGAAAATTTAGACGCACGAAACCTGGTCTGGAAATAAAAGTAAATAATTTGCTCCTCAATACAGATCATTTTAGAAGAATGAAGTCTGGTGTGTACTTGTCTTAAATCATCTTTAAGGTGTAATTGCCTAACCTAAACTTGATGTGTACCTGTCTTAAGTCAACTTGATGTGTCCCTGTCTTAAGTCAGATCCGTTTTAATAACTTAAAAGACCTCTATGTGTGAATGTCTAAAGTCAGCTGTATGTGTCAACATACAATATTGAATAACACATTATTACGCTGTTTCAGGTACTGGTGCTATGTTTGTGGCTCACACCTTTACAACTCAAAAACCACACACACCACAAAAACAACACACACACAATCTAAAATCTAAACCTCACATACCACAAACACACAATCTAAACCTCACAAACCACACAAACCACACACACCACACAAACCACACACACAAAATCTAAATCTCACAAACCACACTAACCTCACACACCACACAACCACACTAACATCAAAGTCCACACAAACCACACACACCACACAACCACACTAACATCAAAGTCCACACAAACCACACACACACACACCACACTAAACTCATACAACACACACCACACAAACCACACGAACCCCACAAACCGCCCCACACAGCCAACAAAGTCCACCTACTTGAAAATGATGTTATCGGTTGTATCGCCTTCCCACTGCACCCCCTCCAAGTCTTCAGGTAGAGGTTTAGATTTGGCTTTCTTGGCGTAGTTGGGCGTCTTGTCTGGCGGCGGGTTGGTTACAAACTGGTGGTACCGTGTTGCCATTTGCTCCGTCATTCCTATCAAATCCTGACAACAACAAAAGACAATTGGTTTTGTTTTTGTAGAGATCGCGATTCTAATAAATATTACTCTTGGCTGGTTTACTTGTAATCGAAAGCTAATGTAAAATCAAACATATAATAGATTTGAAATTGTTTTCCCAAATTTAAATAATTTTTTTTTTATACAACAGAAATTATTTTTTAAAAATATTGTAGATTTAACAATGATTACTGCAGATCTAAAAAATGTTTATTGTAGATATAACAAATGATTATCGTATATTTTACACATGATTAAAATAAATCTAACAAATGATTAATGTAGATCTAACTAATGATTAATGTAGATCAAACAAATGATTAATATAGGTCTAACAAATGATTAATATAGGTCTAACAAATGATTAATATAGATCTAACAAATGATTAATATAGATCTAACAAATTTAGCTCGGAGTTTCTCCACAAAAGCCTCACCAGACCATAGGGGGCTGCGCATGCGCAACCGCTGCGGACCTGGATGCCGAAGAGGTCGTTGAGTACCATGGCGATGAAGTCGTGGTGAAGTAGTCGTCCGGTCACGCGGTTCAGGAAGAGCATGGAGAAGATGGGCAGACGATCGGACTGGAGGTTGCCCAGGATGATGATGTCTGGGTGGTCAGCCCAGGCCTTGATTGCCAACCTGGGTTGTAAGCATGTCGATTAGCCGTACCCTCGTGAGTTAAACCTTCAACACAAACATTATTCTAGCCCAAGCTAGAATGATGTTTGTGGAACTCCTAGCCTTGAATAAAAGTCATTCTAAAACTAATTAGCCTTAATTAAAGATGTATTACTTTTGACAATAGGGCATGTTACGATCGACCTTTCGTTAACTCCAAACACGATTCAAGTCGTAGTTGAAACATTTATTTAGCTTGTCGTCTTCATCGTTACACCACAAGCCCTCGACCCTAGCCGCAACTAACAAAAGCCCCTTACAATCATTCACTCCAACATTTATACACGCACTCGACCCTGGGATCCCAATACCTAAACACCCCAGGGTTAACTCAACTCTCACACACCGCTCCCATACGTTCTAGACTAATCTAGCCTATTCTAATCTAACCTACAACTGATCCGTATCAGGGCATACATGCAGATATTACGCTTAACATTATTTAACGATAGTTTTTTTAATATCGGATTTTATTAATTCTTTTTTTTTCTAGGATTAATGGGGAAAAATTAAAAAGTATAACATAGTATAACATAGTATAAAATAGGATAGGAGTTATAAGTTATTATGTTTCTAACTAATTTAACAAAGCGTATCGGCCTATAAAACAGAATTAAGCTTAGATTCATCCAACACATTTGACAGATACATATATGCCTCCAACAAACATGACAGACAAACGTATAAATGCATCACACAGCAGACCAACACACGTGACAGACCAACATATGCATCCAACACACATAACATTACTCCATCATCTCCATCTCTTTGGCCATGATGAACTTGGTGGTTAAGGTGTCTTTGAGCTTGAACACCAGCCCCGCCCGTATCGACTCAATGATGGCAGGGGTGCCGCCCTCCTCTCGTACTTCCGCATCTTCATAGTATGTGTGTCCCTGGCGTCGTACCTGGGGGGAGAGAATCAGAATTATAGCCCTGCCCCTGCCAATCAACAAACTCATTCCTGGTAATATTCGTTGTGGATGGTTATGATATTTTTAACCCAAAATAGATAGTCGCATTGAGGTTTATGATTGTAAAAAAAAGAAATAACAAAACTAGGTTGTGTTACTATCTTTACAAAAACTACGATAAGTAAATACTTATTTTTATACAGTGAGTTTACATGTAACCAAAAACTTAAATTGACTCATGCAATGAATGAACTAATCTCTAAAAACGTTAAAAACGTTAATGCACTAGGGATGATGATCAAAAAGCTGGTCTTACAAAAACAACGGTCCCTCCTCCGACATCATGTGGTACTTTGTTTTTGAACATCCATCTCTTTGCTACTAGGACACCTGGTAAAACAGAATAGTGTACAGTTGCAGACTTATGACATTATGGGGATTAAATATAAAAGAGTCGTATTCTAGGCTATATATTTGTTGTCGTAAGGATACATCAATATAGACTAAAGTGTTTTAGATACGTCTATCTAGGACGCTAAAGACCTCCTACACATTGGTATTGGTATCGTGGTATTAGATTTCTGTCAGTAGTCTGGGATCGTCCGACTCATTCAAAACTGGAATCGATGCTGGAAACTGGGATCACGTGACTGATTTAAAACTGAAATCGATGCACTAACCTGGGATCGTCCGACTGATTTAAAACAGGGATCGATGCACTAGCCTGGTATCGTCCGACTGATTTAAAATTGATATCGATGCTGGGTACTGGTATCGTCCGACTGATTTAAAACTGGGATCGATGCACTAACCTGGGATCGTCCGACTGATTTAAAACTGGGATCGATGCACTAACCTGGGATCGTCAGACTGATTTAAAACTGAGATCGATGCTGGGTACTGGTATCGTCCGACTGATTTAAAACTGGGATCGATGCACTAACCTGGGGTCTGGGGTCCTCCAACGAACTTGTGTGGTGAGATAAACACGGCGTCTTTGTAGGCCATCTCTCTGCCAGGGTGAGATATTGATGTAGTTAATATCATTCTTAGCTAGTTCTTTAATTAGCTAGGCTAGGCTTAACAAATTGACCAGTGGCAAATATATTTTGTAATGACATGACGGAATAACTATTTTACCACATTTATTAATATTACTAATAACGATTAGTCCAACGAACATAGACATACCCTTTGTCTAAGCAGTTCATATCTATGTCAACATAGGGTCCCGCGCATGCGTAGTCAAAGAAACAAAAGCCTTTAAACTGGTGCATGAGATTAGCCAGGGCTATGGTGTCAGTCAGGATGCCGGTGACGTTGGAGGCTGCTGAAAAGGAGCCAATCAAAACTCGCTCTGGGCCGCACCGGCATTTCTGGAGAGAGATTACAATATTTACAAGCATACGTGTCATCATTGGGATGGAGAGTACTAAATTGTGATCCGTCATGTTATATTTGGGTAGGTGGCGTAACACATGACAATTAGCAATTTCTCTTGAGTCAAGTCACCTATGAGCTGTTGGCACGTTTCGTTTTTAATTTGTGAAAACAGACATGTAATATTTGAAGACGACATTGGGCACTTTGTAAACAGTCATGTCATATTTGGGGCTGACGTCGGCAAGCAAATGACATTTAACAGTTTATTATCAGTCAAGCCTACCTAGCACATGACATGTCGCAGTGATTTCGTAAGTCATGTCCTATTTACGTTTATGTCAGCTAGCAAATGACAGTTTATCACCAGTAACGTCATTTTTAGACTGAGGTTATCAATAGTCATAAGGGGTAGCACATGGCATTTAGTATGTTGTCGTCCAGCATGTCATCTTTAGGCTACTGATGGTACGGCTAATAGGTAACATCTTCCACCTGACATCTAGGTATCTGTCACCACCAGTTATAGATTCTGACATGCTTATACAATGATATCTAATAACAACAGTCTACACATCTACAAAATAAGCCGCACTTATTTCTGTGAGGTTCATTATTAACTGTTCATTTTTACAACACGGTAAATTTGAAATTTAAGCAAGTTAAAGACACCAGATTTCATGAAAATAACTCACTATAAAAACCCTGTCAAAACATGCACATACGTGTTCTTTAAACCATACACTTTGGTAAGACGAACCTAATACTAGTGCCCATTTTGAAAAAGACGTTGATTAAAACTATTTATTTTCAAAACTACTCTTGTATTACCTATCAATCTTTTCTATCTACATCTGTAGAATGTTTTATAACCCGGCGCACTGAACACACACAATATTCTCAGTCAGTGTTTCTTCCAGACTTTTTTCTCCAAGAGGGGGGGGGGGGGGATGGGGGCACTTGAAATTATCGGGGGGGGGGAGGACTAAAATTCCTGGGGGGGGGGGGAGGGGCGATCACTGTTAAATGTATATATTTTCTATATAAATTCCATTTCGTTCGAGGGTAGCGGTAGACTTTCTTCGGAGGGGGAGGGCGGTGGGCAGAGGAAGAGATGCCTGGAGGAAACTCTGTTCTCAGTTAGTGACGTGCTTTATTAGAGTCACCTCTAGTACAGTTGTGTTTCGACTAACTTAGAGCTATTCTGATCATTATCATCTCCATCACGCTTTTTTTTACAATTTCCGGGTACCCGTTAGAGCTGAGTCGACTCAGCGCTCAACCAACAAACACAAACTCACCACCAATTCACTCTTCAAATGCTCCAGATCCGTGAGACCTTCGGATGTCTGTCCTATCCTAATCACCTGTACAATAATTAGCACACATATCAGCGTTTATAAACTTTGTAGTCATGTTACAATTGTAAAGTGCTAAAATTGTAGTGCACAGAGAAGTAAATATACCTACATTTGCGCGTATCTCCAACCATGGCAAGATATTTGAGTGATGTTCATAGGGGCCGACAAAAACAGTCTAAGATAGAGATAGCAGATCAACTCTTACATAAGTAATGAATCGTGTAGGCTATAAAAACATACAGCAATGAGGACTTATGGCACCAAGTCTTAATATAAACACATTCATATTGTTTTCCCTCTTTAGATAATGTAGTAAAACTGTTGGTTGCTTCTACATACTTTTTCAAAATAATTTAACGTCCTCTAATTTAATTATAATTATTTTAAAATTAATTTTAAATAACTGGGTTTCTGTCTAATTATATGAAAAGTTAGATGTAATTGAATTATATTCGGTAATAATAATGTGCAAACCCAAAGATATTTTGACTGAAAAAGGCTGGTAAAAAAAAGCAACCTATGCAGAATTCTCATTTTATTTCTTCTAAATCTTTGTTCTTAAATGACATATTCGTAGGGATTTCCTTCACCACGATTTATTTACGTATAACATATTAAAATGCACCATACGGCACGTTGACTACGACATCAGGCTGCTTTTCTTCCAGGATTTCCTTCCATGGCCTGTGTTCAGCTACGAGCAATCAGCAAGGCGTCTTTTGATTGGTATTTGAATTCGCTCCCCTATATGGGTAGCTGTCAGGCGTACGAACTCGGGACTTTTAATAAGTTAGAAACATACGCTTTATCGTCCGACCACGTTGACGTTATTCACTGTCTGATTCAAAGTTAAAAAAAACAACAACACAAAGAGACAAGTGTAATCCTACCGGCCCAAGCATGGAGGTGACCGTTCGTTTGAGACCCATCGCGTGGATAATTTTGTGGATGGCGGCTGTGGATCCACTACCGCAGAAGATGACGGCGTCGTCGTTGCCTGCCTTAACGGATTCACGGATTATACCTCTGGGGAAACATCACGGCAGTACATTCATACATGATTAGGGTAAATGCACGGATTATAGGCTACTAAAAAAAATCACAAAAATATATATTGACACAGCAATATTTAAATAATTCATTAGGTCACATGGGCTAGGGACCAAAAAAAAAAGGAAACAACGCACGTATATATTTAAGTCAATGACATTAAAATTAAAATTTGAAACGAAAGTGTCTAGCCCAAACACTAAGCATAAATAGACGTAACATGAAATGCACAGTAGTTAAGTCTTTATCTTATATTGGAAATGATAGCAAAACGTCCCAAAACTACTTGGCCGAGTAGAACACAATAGTGTAATTTTAATGAGGCCTTTCCACAAGATGTATTTCGAAAAAGTGCATATTACTTTAATTTTAAAAAATAGTCTTACACAACTTACAGATAATTTGTTGAATCTTACAAAACCGCATTTGAAGTCCCATAACTTGGTATGACTAGTTTTAGCTTACCTGGTCACACGTAATTGATTTGTTTTTGGCATGATTGACCACAATTTACCTGGCCTCCTCCCGTAATTTGGTTGTTTGTGCAGCGTTGTAGTGAACTTCTGTGTGTGTGTTGGCGTAGGTCGGCATCACGTGATAGCGGATGTAAGTTTCGATACATTTCAGTGGCCTGTGTATACATGGTTTGAAAAGATTACTCTTAAAGACTGTACAAAAAAACACAATGCTTTCAGCCGTATTTAGAATATTACATGTGATTTACATAGCATAGTGTTAGCTCAAAGTCGAAGATGGGATTGGTGTTCTCAGAGGGTCGGAGTTCGGTTCCACTATCTGTTCCTAGTTACACCTATGATGCACACTCAGCCCTGCCGCGTACCTAATATGAACGTGAGTATTGTTTTTTATGGGACGGCGTGGTCGACTAGGTGAGCGTTTGGCTGTTTTCCCTAAGGTCTCGAGTTCGGTTCTGGATTCGGATTGTTGAAATTACATTAGGGAAAATAAAGGCTCGGCACCATCCATACAAAAATGCCGAAGTCAAGAAACATATAAACTCTAATTCATCTGTCCAATAAACCGCTAAAGAGGAATCCTTACTTTTTTTTTTGCATAGTTGGCCATATTTAGTCTAATTCAAAACAGAATGCAACCACAGAATTCTTTTAAATCAAAAAATGAAGTACCAAAACTTGATCTTCCTTTATTAATAAATACCTGCTTATTTATTTTAAGTTTCAATCAAGAACTATGCACTAAACTACAAGTAACCAAACCCACAATTCAATACAAGCCATTCATGTTATGTAACAATAAGAATAAAAACTGAATTACGACACGAATCGACGTAGGTATACTCCCACAGACGTAGCGTATCGAAACAATACTTTACTCACCGTCCAGAGGCAACGTAGTCTAGGTAGGTGACTAGATGAAAGAAGAAAAAAAAAACCTTTGATTTGATGATAAAAAATATTGCACATGGTTATCACGGGAAATTATAATAACCAACGGGCTGATTAATCACGCGAGTTAACGATCACCAACGGGTGCCGTGGTCGAATGGTATACCATGAGACTGCTAACGCGAGAGTCACGATTTCAGATCCAGGGCTTAAGTCTGTAGCACGTCCCTGGTTCCTGACATTCCCTAACAGGAGCCAGGCATTCTGTAGTAAAGAGATCCGAACGCAAGACTTTCGGGTTAGCAGTCGTGCGCTCTACCATCCGACCACGAAAACTCCTGAGCGGAGGTAAATAAACATGAGCCTAGTGGGGTCTAGAATAGATGTAGAGTTAAATGCTTTGTATTTAATATCGTAATAATGGCTACACGTTTACTTGGGTACGGCTGAGCAAATAGTACTGAAGTCTCAAAGTCAAAACCAACGTACAACATCAGCTGAAAACATTTTAATACTATTTCTACCTAATGTATAAACTGTAAACATTTTACTAGTATTTCTACCTAATGTATAAACTAAAAATTTTATTAATATTTTTTCCTAATGGACCTAAATATTTAAAATCCAAATCAACTGACTACCCAATGTACATTTGTTTTAAAACTCATAAACATTTTACTTATGTTTCAAATGGACCTATACGTTTAAAGTTGAAAACAAACTACTACTAAATGGTTGATAATAGAAAACAACCTGTTAATGTTTCTTCAAAAAGTTACTTTACGATTAAAATTAAAATTGACACTACCAAAATGACCTTTACGTTAAGAGCTGACAACAACATTCTGTTACATTACATTGACCTTTAAGGTTTAAAAAAAAAAACACTTACTAATATTTCTCCCGAATGGACCTCTGTATATGAAATCGAAGCCGACCACGTTCTTGAAGATGAAGTCACAGAGCGCCTCCTTCACGTCGTTGCTGATCTCTTCCTTGGACCTGTACTTGTTGAAGACATTGCTCGAGTCACTGAAGAGCGAGGCCAGGCCGGTGCTGGGCTTCGAGTCAACGTCCGTGGATGTCCTCTGCGTGTACTCATTCCAGATCTGGTTGAGGGTCGAGACGCTGACCCCTCCCAGGCCCTCGTTGTACACCGGCCCCGCCTCGTTGGTGTTGAGCCGATAGCGGACCTCCTCGTCGTAGGCCTGGTCGTACTTGTGCTGGATGTCCAAGACGGACTTGTAGGAGGACGTGCTCCCATGGCCGCCGGCCGTTGTCTTGGACGCTTTCTTCGACATGCCGCCTACACGCCGGACCGGCTAGACGTCTTGTGCTTTCTTTCTGCTGGCGGAGCCAAGTTTGTGTACGATGGGAACATCATCGTTGTGGTTGTAAAGATATCAGATGATCACAACGTGTTATTCCTAATCAAACCCACAACAGATAGTATATTATGAAAGGAAAGAAAATATGTACACTGTTATACTTCTTAGTCAAATAGTAATAAATAAATTCGATATTTAAAGAAAACTGGCTTTTATACTCAATCTGGTTTGACAAGCTTAAATCTAAGTTTTAATATTTTACCGTCCTTAAAAATTGAATTGTATCATCTAGATTTATATTAGATCTAGATCTAGATCTAGTATAAATACATTATTTCTGTAAATGGATATAAGACAAGGTACTTAACAGATGAAAACCAACATAGAACCTCAAACTGCCGTGGAAAACATCACGGTCAGATTTGCTACGATGAAGAGAATAGCAAAAAATCTTGTTTACGTTCTGCGCGAGTTGAACTGAACGCGCCTGCACCGTTCAGCACCCGTACACACAATACAGGCGCTTCGGGAATTATTTTCATAAACATTTTTTTAACTAGATGATTTTTTGTTTTAAGTAAAAGAAAAAACAAAAGTAACTCATAAATAAAACAATTTATTTTATTTTAAATAGGCATAAAACATTTACTTTATATAATCGTGTAAAACATGAGTAATATCAAGTATACAAGGTGTGTACAGTACATTCTCGATAAGAGAAAGATGATGACAACAGTGGTGAATGCCATTGCTTATAACCTATTATATAAAGGAAAACAACAAACATATGCAATAACAATTCGTGGCATAAAAAATAAAAATTTAAATTGTAATATTGAAGAGAGTTGCAGCCCTTTGTTTCAGAAGGGTTTTAAAAGATCAATTAAGTCATGTCACTTTCAATTCATAAAATATAAACCCCATAGAAATAAAAGCACCGTAATAATCCTAATAGTTCGGAAAGACCAATGAATTTATGACAATAGTCAATTTAAAAGTTTGTCATTGAGCACACATTACAAACATTTAAATTAAAGATAATTAGAATATAATTAACTATAGTGAAAAAAACGTTCTGGAAAAAATATGTCAAAATACATCAAAGCAATAAGGTTTTATTACATACGTATTCTCGGTTAATTATTGCTTTTTTATATCATCCATATCTCGATATTTATTGACATATCTATGGACGATTCGGTCTCACAATTCAAAACTTATGAGTGTACTACGTTTCCGATGTTTCAACATCGCATTTGTCTGAACCCTCGAACTTCTGCTATCGCATATTCTTTTGATTAATCCTCCTGACTCGACTTTCGAACGTCTGTTACATCGACCTTAACCTTGTCCTTCAAACATATACTTGTTTTTTATCAGCCCTGTCGTGACCTTCGAACTTCTCAGCCAGGGCAGGTGGGACGAAAGGTAGATCATCAAGGTCAAGTCGAACAACCTATATATGAATAGACAAGGTCGTTGAAAAACGCATATTTGATTAGACAAGGTCAAGTCGAACAACCTATAAAGGATTAGAAAACACGATTAATCGGTAAGATTTTAAAAATAATTACCCCCCCCCCCCCACCCAAGACAACATGTTAGAAAATTAAGTTAATTCATTTTAAAAGGATACATTTGACAGAATAAGCGTCTAGTAGCAATAGTGGTGATATCATAGGTCGGAATGTTTCATCCATATGAAACAACAACGACGTAGCTACTTAATTTGTCGAGCAATTATTTATTCTACTATAAGGGACAGACCTGAGCATTCCTATAGGAATAACACCACATTTTCCCGTGTATTTTACATTTAAAGGGTAAATGTGATTGTACGGATTTCGCAGTTTCCCGTAGACCGCACACTAAGAAATCGCCGCCGCCTGTAGACAGTACGCTATAACGACTGACTGAAATAAGGAAGAAAAAAAAACTCTTCTTTCTTCCTCTTCGTTCTTAATTTTAGTGTTGGAAGGGATCCCCTCCAACATAATTAGTATACGTGTCAACTGGTTATGCGCCATTGAGGCCATTGATTCCGAGTTCAGCCTGCTTTTCTTTTTGGATTTGCTTCCATAGCCTTTGTCCAACCAAGAACACATTGATTTTGGAGTTGTCTCTCATAGAAGAGTGGCTGTCCCTAGCTAACGAGCCTCATCTACCCGTGGGTTAGAACTCGGGACTTTTCGGTTTAGCAACCATGAGCTTTACCGACTCGGCCACGCCGACAACCTCAAGAAAGTTTACTGACCTCTCTCTGATTGATGACGTCAGCAGCCTCACTCGGCAACATGAACCACCTGAGTTCCTCAGCCTCACCTGTAAACTCAGGTGTCTGGTCAGGTAAGTCAAACACACCTGGCTGTGTGGGTCAGGGATAAGAATCATTATACAACCATGATATTACTGGGTAGACAATTTATTTTTTGATACGTTTACGTGATGCAATTATTGATGTATTGGTTAGTATTAGTTCATATTTTATTTCAGATGTCAACTCGTTCAATAATGAAATAAAATATGTATACAAATGGAGAAAATTTAAGACAATATTTACATACTGTTTAATTTCTGACAAAATTGACGATATACAAGAAATAACAAAATTACAATATGCTTTAAAACACAATACAGGACTGTTTAAGACACAATGTTTCGACAGAAACAGATAATTTAGAACATTACAAAGCACACGGAAAACATAGAGCATTACAGAACACACGGAAAACATAGAGCATTATAGAACACACGGAAAACGTAGAACATTACAGAGCACACGGAAATCATACAGCATTACAGAACACACGGAAAACGTAGAACATTACAGAGCACACGGAAATCATACAGCATTACAGAACACACGGAAAACGTAGAGCATTACAGAACACACGGAAAACGTAGAACATTACAGAGCACACGGAAATCATACAGCATTACAGAACACACGGAAAACGTAGAGCATTACAGAACACACGGAAAACGTAGAGCATTACAGAGCACACGGAAATCATACAGCATTACAGAACACACGGAAAATGTAGAACATTACAGAACACACGGAAAACGTAGAGCATTACAGAACACACGGAAAATGTAGAACATTACAGAACTCACGGAAAACGTTGAGCATTACAAAACAATTTAACGTAAAATTTAAATTCGCTTTTCGAACCTGATGGTTCACGGGGCAGGTGAAGTATCATTCACCTGTTTCTGTGACCTTGGCATATGAAAGGATAGTGTGGTCAGGACAATGCCTGACCGCCTTTAATATGCCTAACGTGAGTCGGGTACCCATCACAGAACACATGGGTTGAATATAAAACAGCACGAGATAGCACTGGCCGCAACACGACTAAACAGGACCAGTGTTTCTTCCAGACTTTTTTCTCCGGGGGGGGGGGGGGGGGGGCACTTGAAATTTTCGATGGGGGGGGGGGGGCGGTAGACTTTCTTCGGGGGGAGGGGGGACGGACACTGTTAAAAGTATATATTTTCTATATAAATTATATACATTTCATTTCGTTCGGGGGGAGGGGGGGGCGGTGGAAGAGATGCCTGGAAGAAACTCTGAACAGGACAGATTAAAAGACAACATGGACAACACTAAACAACTCACCTGACTTGCTCTTTCAAACAGAAACTTGGCTCGGTCTAGAATTTCCTGTGGTGAAACAATTGACAAGTTTCCAGAATAGCAAATATTCCACCTGACTCTAAATTATTAAACATTTTAGACTTTTTAAAAGACTAACAAGTAAATAGCGGTTAGTGTTTATAACCGTTAGCTATGTTAACAAACGGGACTGTAGCATACTTCTGGTGTTCATACGCTTAATAAGAAATTATGTTAAATAATTTTTAGAAAATTATACTTGTCATTTAGATCTAAATTTTGCTATAAATATTTTTTTCGAATTATCCGTCGTGCTGATATAATATTTGTGTCCACAAATATATTAAACATACATTTTGTTTATAGATTATCTTCTGGCAAAGAAATTTTATGTATCAACAGAAAGTTAGTCAGCTATATAATTAGCATTAACATGTTTTTATAGAGGTATTTTTCAAGTCATAATTGTATTAACTGATGAAAAAGACAACTAAAATGGGCAAATAGTTTTGGGTGTGTAGTCTATTCCTTGTCCTATCAACTAAAAAAAAAAAAACAAAAAAACTGGCAGATTCATTACGTCATAGTCTGTGCCTGGCAGGAAATCGTATTGTAAGCTCAGGCGGTCGCTGTTATCAACCGAGAGAGGAGTGCTAGGGATCGAATCCCGCGGAGATCGGATGTCGCAAAACCCTCTGGAAAATTCCACGTCTTGCAAGGTATTTGGTGGTTCAAAGTCCTGCAAATAAAGAACAAGATGACGTCATTACCACAGTCCAAACGTCCAATTGCCAGCCGGTGGGGTAAAACTTCCGGCAACCTTTTCATCTCATACAACATAACATACATCATAAAATCTCACGCACATCAAAACATAAATATTTCATCTACCACGACATAAAATAACAATACAACCAATCATACACCACTAGATATAAAATGTTGTTACCTTGTTATGTCTGTACCACCATCTACCACTTTGTCTGTCAAAATCATACTGTGAAAATAAAATTTTGTTCAGTTAAGAATCCTCTTTAGACCTAACGATCAATTGAGCAGATGAAAGAATTTACATGTTTCTTGACCTAGGAATATGAAGGGAAGGTGTGGTCAGCACTATGCCCAGCCGACTTTACTTTCCTTAGCATGAATTAGGTACCCATAAGAGCTGAGTGGACTATCTACCTTCTATTGTCTTGGGCTGGGCTCAACAGCTTAGAGCCGTCGCCGAGAAAACACGATAACTTAGATTATTTATCTTAGATAAAAGTAGCTAACATTTTACAAAACACGTGAAATTTAAATACAAAACGTAAAATAATTATAACCTACATTTTATACATTCTTATAAACCAATATTTGATTAAATGTTTTTTTTTTCCTTTTTCAACATGAATAGTTTTTTTTTTTAAATACAACTTTCCATATTTACCATGGGAAGCAGACGCCAGCCATCGTCTGCTGTCATCTGGATGGCTTTGATCACGAAGTCCACGCATGAGTCAGTAACGATAAATGGAAGGTTGAGTCTTACAAACCCTGGTCTTAATAAAAGAATAAATGGAAGGTTGAGTCTTACAAACCCTGGTCTTAATAAAAGAATAAATGGAAGGTTGAGTCTTACAAACCCTGGTCTAAATATAAGAATAAATGGAAGGTTGAGTCTTACAAACCCTGGTCTTAATAAAAGAATAAATGGAAGGTTGAGTCTTACAAACCCTGGTCTAAATATAAGAATAAATGGAAGGTTGAGTCTTACAAACCCTGGTCTTAATAATAGAATAAATGGAAGGTTGAGTCTTACAAACCCTGGTCTAAATATAAGAATAAATGGAAGGTTGAGTCTTACAAACCCTGGTCTTAATAAAAGAATAAATGGAAGGTTGAGTCTTACAAACCCTGGTCTAAATATAAGAATAAATGGAAGGTTGAGTCTTACCAACCCTGGTCTTAATAAAAGAATAAATGGAAGGTTGAGTCTTACAAACCCTGGTCTAAATATAAGAATAAATGGAAGGTTGAGTCTTACAAACCCTGGTCTTAATAAAAGAATAAATGGAAGGTTGAGTCTTACAAACCATGGTCTTAATACAAGAATAAATGGAAGGTTGAGTCTTACAAACCATGGTCTTAATAAAAGAATAAATGGAAGGTTGAGTCTTACAAACCCTGGTCTTAAGACAAGAATAAATGGAAGGTTGAGTCTTACAAACCCTTGTCTTAATATAAGAATAAATGGAAGGTTGAGTCTTACAAACCCTGGTCTTAAGACAAGAATAAATGGAAGGTTGAGTTTTACAAACCCTGGTCTTAATACAAGAATAAATGGAAGGTTGAGTCTTACAAACCCTGGTCTTAAGACAAGAATAAATGGAAGGTTGAGTTTTACAAACCCTGGTCTTAATACAAGAATAAATGGAAAGTTGAGTCTTACAAACCCTGGTCTTAAGACAAGAATAAATGGAAGGTTTAGTCTTACAAACCCTGGTCTTAATACAAGAAAAAATTTAAGGTTGACTTACAAACCCTGGTCTTAGAACAATAATAAATGCAAGGTTGAGTCTTACAAACCCTGGTCTTAATATAAGAATAAATGGAAGGTTGAGTCTTACAAACCCTGGTCTTAATATAAGAATAAATGGAAGGTTGAGTCTTACAAACCCTGGTCTTAATATAAGAATAAATGGAAGGTTGAGTCTTACAAACCCTGGTCTTAATATAAGAATAAATGGAAGGTTGAGTCTTACAAACCCTGGTCTTAATATAAGAATAAATGGAAGGTTGAGTCTTACAAACCCTGGTCTTAATATAAGAATAAATGGAAGGTTGAGTCTTACAAACCCTGGTCTTAAGACAAGAATAAATGGAAGGTTGAGTCTTACAAACCCTGGGCTTAATAAAAGAATAGATGGAAGGTTGAGTCTTACAAACCCTGGTCTTAATATAAGAATAAATGGAAGGTTGAGTCTTACAAACCCTGGTCTTAATACAAGAATAAATGGAAGGTTGAGTCTTACAAACCCTGGTCTTAATACAACAATAAATCGGAAGTTAACTCTTCCAAACCCTATTCTTAATACAAGAATAAATGGAAGGTTGAGTCTTACAAACCCTGGTCTTAATACAAGAATAAATGGAAGGTTGAGTCTTACAAACCCTGGTCTTAATACAACAAAAAATCGGAAGTTAACTCTTCCAAACCCTATTCTTAATACAAGAATAAATGGAAGGTTGAGTCTTACAAACCCTGGTCTTAATACAAGAATAAATGGAAGGTTGAGTCTTACAAACCCTGGTCTTAATACAAGAATAAATGGAAGGTTGAGTCTTACAAACCCTGGTCTTAATACAAGAATAAATGGAAGGTTGAGTCTTACAAACCCTGGTCTTAATACAACAATAAATCGGAAGTTAACTCTTCCAAACCCTATTCTTAATACAAGAATAAATGGAAGGTTGAGTCTTACAAACCCTGGTCTTAATACAAGAATAAATGGAAGGTTGAGTCTTACAAACCCTGGTCTTAATACAAGAATAAATGGAAGGTTGAGTCTTACAAACCCTGGTCTTAATACAAGAATAAATGGAAGGTTGAGTCTTACAAACCCTGGTCTTAATACAACAATAAATCGGAAGTTAACTCTTCCAAACCCTATTCTTAATACAAGAATAAATGGAAGGTTGAGTCTTACAAACCCTGGTCTTAATACAAGAATAAATGGAAGGTTGAGTCTTACAAACCCTGGTCTTAAGACAAGAATAAATGGAAGGTTGAGTCTTACAAACCCTGGGCTTAATAAAAGAATAGATGGAAGGTTGAGTCTTACAAACCCTGGTCTTAATATAAGAATAAATGGAAGGTTGAGTCTTACAAACCCTGGTCTTAATACAAGAATAAATGGAAGGTTGAGTCTTACAAACCCTGGTCTTAATACAACAATAAATCGGAAGTTAACTCTTCCAAACCCTATTCTTAATACAAGAATAAATGGAAGGTTGAGTCTTACAAACCCTGGTCTTAATACAAGAATAAATGGAAGGTTGAGTCTTACAAACCCTGGTCTTAATACAACAATAAATCGGAAGTTAACTCTTCCAAACCCTATTCTTAATACAAGAATAAATGGAAGGTTGAGTCTTACAAACCCTGGTCTTAATACAAGAATAAATGGAAGGTTGAGTCTTACAAACCCTGGTCTTAATACAAGAATAAATGGAAGGTTGAGTCTTACAAACCCTGGTCTTAATACAAGAATAAATGGAAGGTTGAGTCTTACAAACCCTGGTCTTAATACAACAATAAATCGGAAGTTAACTCTTCCAAACCCTATTCTTAATACAAGAATAAATGGAAGGTTGAGTCTTACAAACCCTGGTCTTAATACAAGAATAAATGGAAGGTTGAGTCTTACAAACCCTGGTCTTAATACAAGAATAAATGGAAGGTTGAGTCTTACAAACCCTGGTCTTAATACAAGAATAAATGGAAGGTTGAGTCTTACAAACCCTGGTCTTAATACAACAATAAATCGGAAGTTAACTCTTCCAAACCCTATTCTTAATACAAGAATAAATGGAAGGTTGAGTCTTACAAACCCTGGTCTTAATACAAGGATAAATGGAAGGTTGAGTCTTACAAACCCTGGTCTTAATACAAGAATAAATGGAAGGTTGAGTCTTACAAACCCTGGTCTTAATACAAGAATAAATGGAAGGTTGAGTCTTACAAACCCTGGTCTTAATACAACAATAAATCGGAAGTTAACTCTTCCAAACCCTATTCTTAATACAAGAATAAATGGAAGGTTGAGTCTTACAAACCCTGGTCTTAATACAAGAATAAATGGAAGGTTGAGTCTTACAAGCCCTGGTCTTAAAACAAAAAAAAATCGGAAGTTAACTCTTACAAACCCTGGTCTTAATACAAGGATAAATGGAAGGTTGAGTCTTACAAACCCTGGTCTTAATACAAGAATAAATGGAAGGTTGAGTCTTACAAACCCTGGTCTTAATACAAGAATAAATGGAAGGTTGAGTCTTACAAACCCTGGTCTTAATACAAGAATAAATTGAAGGTTGAGTCTTACAAACCCTGGTCTTAATACAAGAATAAATGGAAGGTTGAGTCTTACAAACCCTGGTCTTAATACAAGAATAAATGGAAGGTTGAGTCTTACAAACCCTGGTCTTAATACAAGAATAAATGGAAGGTTGAGTCTTACAAACCCTGGTCTTAAGACAGGAATAAATGGAAGGTTGAGTCTTACAAACCCTGGTCTTAATACAAGAATAAATGGAAGGTTGAGTCTCACAAACCCTGGTCTTAATACAAGAATAAATGGAAGGTTGAGTCTTACAAACCCTGGTCTAAATACAAGAATAAATGGAAGGTTGAGTCTAACAAACCCTGGTCTTAATACAAGAATAAATGGAAGGTTGAGTCTCACAAACCCTGGTCTTAATACAAGAATAAATGGAAGGTTGAGTCTTACAAACCCTGGTCTAAATACAAGAATAAATGGAAGGTTGAGTCTAACAAACCCTGGTCTTAATATAAGAATAAATGGAAGGTTGAGTCTTACAAACCCTGGTCTAAATACAAGAATAAATGGAAGGTTGAGTCTAACAAACCCTGGTCTTAATACAAGAGAAAATGGAAGGTTGAGTCTTACAAACCCTGGTCTTAATATAAGAATAAATGGGAAGTTAACTCTTACAAACCCTGGTCTTAATACAAGAATGAATGGAAGGTTAAGACACTTCAAATTTAAAAAGATAATTAATTGAAGATTAATTCACATAAAGCCTTGTCTTACAACTCGAAATTTTGTAGCTATACCGACTTTTTCCATTTGAGAATAAAAAACACACATCTAGGCAATATCAATGTCTAGTCTACTAGATTAACGTTTCTATGATGCCACTGAGTCTTTAGTAAACACAACATCTCAAAATATATAGTCTAGACATACAAACTTGTCTAGACATCATAACATGTAGTCTAGACACCCGAACATGTACTCCAGACACCCCACGTCTAGACAACCAAATATGTCTAGACACCCCACGTCTAGACAACCCAATATGTCTAGACACCCCACGTCTAGACAACCCAATATACACTCCAGACACTCCACGTCTAGACAACCCAATATGTACTCCAGGTACCCCACGTCTAGATAAGCCAATGTGTCTAGACACATCAACAGTAAGTCTAGACACCAGCATATCTCGATACTTACTTGAATATAACGTTATCAACATGAGCCCCGTTGCCACAGCAACCGTGTGATGTGAAATCCTCAAGGGATCTTTTGTCCATCTTAAACTCTGTGATCAGTGCCTCGTAGCGCTTAGCTGTCTCCTCAGACATACCCATCAGCTCCTAGAGAGACATCACAATGTCGCACGGTCAATACATAACGTGTTATAGTCAGAGACGGCATAATCTCAGTCATTTTCACGTCACGTTTTAGGTAAAAATTTTAACATTTTCTGTCCAGATGAATTTGTTTTAGAACATAGCGGCCATCTAGACAGGTGAAGTAGAGTTAACCTGTTTATGTGACCTATGAAGGGATAGTATGATCACCACTTTTATTATCCGTGGCCTCCACTGTCCCTACGTGGACGTGCTACGATTAGGGCCGAACTCGAGACTTTCGAGGTAGCAGCCGAGTGCTCTACCGTTCGACCACGCCGTCACATCATCATGAGATATGGTTTATGTTTTCGTTCACTGTGTGTGAAGCTAACTTAAAACTGACTTCTGGAACTGTACAACACAACTGTTGTGCTTATATTTTTTCTCAATAATAAATAACTCGTGGACATGGAAAGGAATTATCTGTGTGGAATGTATAGTATCAGATTAGGATGGATTGTTTAAAATAATACTCAAAGTAAACTCTGGTATAATGGCAATAGCTACGTGATGAAATCAGGCGCATATGTGTGAAACGTGGGAAGAACATGTGTGTGTGTGGGGGAGGGGATGATTGTGAGTGTATGTGATGGAAGGCGACATTTCGTAGGTCATGTGTACCCAGACTAACATATCTTAAACCCATATTTCAAAAATCAAAGGCAACTATGAATACTTTAACGTCTTTGGTATGTCGATCGATTGATTGTAATCCAAATTTGAAAAGGTACAAGTTCGCTCCAACTCAAGTCGTCATTTGTTTCGATTTGGCCAACATTTCCTGCACCACTAATCAAAACAAAAACAAGAATGAGCTTCGTGCCGCGCCTATCTTGTTCGGATCGCCTATTCCTAATTTGTGTTATTTTTTTTTACGCACGAATGGCATCGGTGGAAACGTTTGATCGTGGTCGATTACTATAATCAATAATTCGGTTAGCTTTAATCAAAATAGTCTGTGTTCACGTCGTGTTGTTGAAGATAAAGAGTAGAGGTCGTGAACTTTTTATGAGTACCAGTACATACATACTTCAAATAGAATAACTTCGACTTAAATAAAAATACTTCAAGTGTATCAACAATCTCACCAGCCCATATAAAGCCGCGCATGCGCAACCGCTGCGGACCTGTAGCCCGAAAAGATCGTTCAACAACATGGCGACGAAATCGTGGTGAAGCAGACGGCCGGTTTGTCTGTTGTAAAACAGCATGGGGAAGATGGGCAGACGATCGACGGTCAGGTTCCCCAGGATGATGAGGTTGGGGTTGGGACGCCATGCCGCTTTAGCGCGCCTGAATGGAGAAGATTGGATGAAAAACATTGGAAAACAGTTTTTACAAGTTTTTTTCTAAAGAAAGTATTGAAATACAAAGAAAAAAAATAATATTGTTCAACTTATGGGAATAGTTCGAGTGATGCCCCCTCCTTCCCCATCCAATCCCTTTTGAATAAAACTTCAATAAAAACGCATGCATTTGTTGTTGAATTTTTGGTTTAAAATAATTTTAGATGAGTTAGAATAAAAGACAATACACACAAAAATTAATATTGAACAACGTATTAAGTGATTAAAAAAAAGCCCTATTCCTTTTTTCTTTCGCCTAGTTCTTTTTAACAAAATTTCTCATTTAGCTATAAAACATCATCGTCATTACAAACGAAACCTAATAGATTTACATTTTACCGACTGTCTTAAAAATATTATGGTTTAAAATATGTTTTCCGCTTTAAAGGATTACATTATAGTTTTTATCAGCACTTGTCCAAAGTTATGGTATTTATCTCAGCATTACTTCTATTATCTCACCACCAAAATAATATCAATAGTGCCGCCTGTAGGATTATTGTGATATCATCATTACCGCTATTATTATTATCTATTACCCAAACAATGCAGCCTCTCTCTCCATAATAAACTGTGATGTGAATGTTTCCTTCAGCTTAAAGACCAGGCCTGCCCGAATGGTCTCTATGATGGCTGGTGTTCCACCTTCTTCTCGGTGCTCTGGTTCTGCATGGTACCTGTGGCGTTGGCGCCGTACCTACAGGTGAGGGAAGAGGTCAAGGTCTAGATGTTGAGGGTAGAGGTCAGTGTATAGACAGGTGAGGGTAGAGGTCAGTGTATAGACAGGTGAGGGTAGAGGTCAGTGTATAGACAGGTGAGGGTAGAGGTCAGTGTATAGACAGGTGAGGGTAGAGGTCAGTGTATAGACAGGTGAGGGTAGAGGTCAGTGTTACAGGTTTGGGTAGAGGTCAGTATATAGACAGGTGGGGGTAGAGGTCAGTGTATAGACAGGTGAGGGTAGAGGTCAAGGTATCGACAGGTGGGGGTAGAGGTCAGTGTTACAGATGAGGTTAGAGGTCAGTGTATAGACAGTTGAGGGTAGAGGTCAGTGTATAGACAGGTGAGGGTAGAGGTCAGTGTTACAGGTGAAGTTAGAGGTCAGTGTATAGACAGGTGAGGGTAGAGGTCAGTGTATAGACAGGCGAGGGTAGAGGTCAGTGTAGTTAGTAGGTTTTTAGTTTGAAGAGCCATAACGGAAGAAATAATTTATAACAAACATAATAGTGACAAGTAAAATAAATATTGAGTTAAATTTACTTTTTTTCCATAGAATATATTTAATATATTTTTAAATGGGAGACAATTAGCACATAAAATACGACTGTGTTTTGTAATGGGAGACAACTTACAAACACAACAGTGCCGCCGCCAACACCGTGCGGTACTTCATTTTTAAACACCCATTTCTTGGCCACAAGAATACCTAGAGAAATAAAAACATACACATATTACAACACTTATTTGTTTTAGACACAAAAATACATATTAAAATGTTATGCAGGTGCTCATCTGTTAAACCTGTCGTGCCTTACAGCAGTCTTTGACTTGCAAATGCCACAATCCACATTTTCTGGTTCTGAACACCTGCGTGACGTCAGAAATAAGGCACTTACCTGGCGTCTGGGGCCCGCCCAGGAACTTGTGGGTCGAGAGAAAAATACCGTCTTTGTAAGCCAGTGGCCTGCGGAAGGGTCAAACTAATTAGGCGTCGTAATAATTAGCCCCCGTGAATTGATTAGTGTTAATAAGGATTAATATTGACGTATACAGCAATGCTTATCAGTCTGGGTCCAGTCAACTTGAGAAATCCTTCAGCCATGATAGGATTCAGTCATGTGGTAAATCCGCCTACGCGAGGATTTAACCGGCTGGTGCATTGTGTAAGGAGTAAATCATTATGTAAGGAGAGAATCATTAGGTAAGGAGACAATTATTATGTAAAGAGGAAGGCATTATGTAAGGAGACAATCATTATGTAAGGGGAAAATTATTGTGTAAGGGGAGAATCATTATGTAAGGGGAAAATCATTATGTAAGGGGAAAACATTATGTAAGGTGACAATCATTATGTAAGGGGAAAAGCATTATGTAAGGAGACAATCATTATGTTATGAGAAAATTATTGTGTAAGGGGAGAACTATTATGTGAGGGGAAAATCATTATGTAAGGAGACAATCATTATGTAGGGATCAGTAGATTATGTAAGGAGTAACTATTATGTCAGCAGAAATCCATTAAATAGGGAGCAGAAGAGTATGTTAGTAGTTAATTATGTAAGGAGTAGTACGATGTGTATGGATTAATATATTGTGAAAAAATTAATCAATTGTGTAAATAGTCCATTATGTAAGGATTAATGAATTGTGTATAAAGTATTGCTCTGTGATAGGAATCATGCATTGTGTAAGAATGAATCACTTGTGTAAGGTGTAGTTTATTATTGATAAAAGTTGTAAGCAGTCATGTATTGTGTAAGCAGTAATACATTGTGTAAGGATCACATAACTCTGTAATTACGACGTGCCCTTTGACAGACAAACCTACCCTTTGTCCGAGCAGTTCATGTCTATCTCAACATAAGGTCCCGCGCATGCGTAGTCGAAGAAGCAGAAGCCCTTGTATCGGTGCATGAGATTGGCCAGGGCCACGGTGTCCGTCAATATGCCGGTGACGTTCGAGGCGGCGGAGAAGGAGCCAATCAACGTTCTCTCTGGCTCGTTCTCGGTTTCCTGCGGAAGTGACGTAATCAGGTGACTTTGCTACACGTTGGACAGTTGGTGACGTAATCAGGTGACCATCTTACGTTTTGTACATACACCCACATATATCTGTACATACATACACACACAAACAAACGCACATGTAAAATATATTCCTGTGTACTATTCAGCAAATGTAAAGCTTTGGTATGCTTCGCATTTAATCTTGGCAGAGGCGTACCGAGGGGGATGGGTAGGGGCGGGGGGTGCGGACCGCACCGGGTGACACCATTTAGGGGGGTGGCAACAACAAGGCAAAAAATAGAAAAATATATAGAGAAAAATGATAGTGTTTTAAGAGGTGCAAATCGAAAGTTTGAAGGGGGGGGGGTGCAAATCGAAAGTTTTAGGGGAGGGGTGCAAATCGAAAATTGAAAGTTTGTCCCCGGGAAGTGTCGCTACGGCTCTGGGGGGGGGGGGGTGTCACCATTAAGTGCCGCACCGGGTGACACCCGACCTCGCTACGCCACTGAATCTTGGTACATACTAATGTTCTGGTATAACCAAGTTCTTCTTTAATGTTAATCTCAGGAGTACCTTGTGCTTGACTTCAAAAGTTTACGGCAAGGGGCCTAGATCTTACCTGCAACTCTTGTTCCAGGTGATCCAAGTCAATGGTTTCGTTAGACTTCTGTTTGATGTGGATCACCTGTTGGACACGTTTCAAACATTAAGAAAAATTATTAATACGGGCTCGTTCGTTAAGTGAAGCTTTTCTTTGATCCTGTAGTAGGCGTCTTAAAGACATGATTTAAAACTAAACATGTTTGACATAATTTTATGGCGGCTTCCAGCAACAAAGTTGTTTTAAGTTTTTGATGTGACAAATTTCTGCATGAGAATAATCTCTTTGAGGCGCGATTATATAAGCCCTTTCAGAAAATTTAAAACAAATCTGTTTGTAGATAATTTACTACATGCTTAAGTGTTATTTTTAAATCATGTATTCAACATTTAGTTTCGTTTGTTACAAATCCTTCACCGTAAATTAAGTTTATATATATATATATATATATATATATATATATATATATATATATATATATATATATATATATATATATATATATATATATACTTGTATATATAACGTTAGAATTTATTGTTAACTTGTATTCTGGTATTCCTACAAATTATACATTTTTCAACTTATAAGCAATTATAAATAATAACCAACCAATAATGAAAATGGTGCCTGCATAATTTGAACTGAAGCAGCAACACATACATATAACTATTTCGTTTTATATGGATCAGAACGGTATATGTTTGTAAAAATGTAGCGTGGTATGACACCTTAGTTATATCAGCTCAACCTGAATGTTAACCTGTCATTTAACCCCTATATTAGCTTTAGATAACTTCAAAGTTTTACGGTTTGTCGGTCAGTAAAGATTTCTATAACAACAGCCATCTTGATACGATTGTGTAATGTAACCATTTCTTCCTGGATTGACATCGCATTGTGTGACAGTAGTCATAGTCTCACCCACATTTTCCTATCATCTTCCAAGCATAATTCTGACAACTCAGCTCCAAAAATTTAACCTTCGTCTCACAAACCATGATTATTCAGTCTCTAGAGTGCAAAACCCGCGTTACATCCATTATAACACCACACATCTCCGCTTTAGCTTTGATCTTCCAACCTCGATCTACGACCCGATCCACGACCCCAAATCAACGACCCCGATTCATTACACCAATCCACGACCCCAATCCACGACCCCGATCCATTACCTCGATGCATGACTCCAATCCACAACCCCGATCCACGACCCCTGAAATCCCCGACCCACACATCTCCACTTACTTTAGCTTTCATCTCTAGCCACGGAAGAATATTCGAATGGTGCTCGTAAGGTCCCAAAAATACAATCTGTTCATAATGAAAAAAATACAATCAGTTCATAATGAAAAAAATACAATCAGTTCATAGTGAAAAAAAAAACCAACCAATCATTAGCTTACACCTTTATCCAAACAGAATTAAACATGTCTGTGAAAAAAAAATCATTCGATAAATAACTGTCTACGCTAATTGATACAATAAAATAAAAGAATTGTATTTAAGATTGTCGGTGTCGAAGGTGGGCGGGGTGGGAGGGCGGGGGGGGGGGGGGGGGGAGGTACGAGTTTCATGTAAAAAAAAATCCCTGGTCTATTCAGCGTTGTCAAAATGTTCATGATATGCCTAATTAGTTCAGTTCAGTGACTGAAGTTTGTGCTATAGAATATGAAGCCATTCACAACACCTGCCCATCAATGTGTTAATCATTCTGTCGAGAGACTCTAGAATCACGATGTATTACACTAGGTCTGATTCTATACTGCCTTACAAACAAGGCATTACATTTGTTGTGTTCGAGAATAATTACGGTTTAAAAGCTAATTATAATCGTCGAAGAAGATATCAAAATTGGATATAAAAATCAATTTCTAGATCTGATATTTCATATGTTAAATGCTAGGATGATTCATTACCGTTCATAAGTTCATTTATAAAAATCGTCGATGAAATCTCATAATTGGATACAAAAAAAAATCATTTTTTTATTTTAACTTATTTGTATTTCACGAAGTAAGTTGCGCATTTCATAGGCAGAACTTGTGACAAACAGCCTATAAATTATTTATCGATTGAATCGTTCAAGTAAGTGGGAAGTGGCGGTGAGGAAGGAGAGGGTTGGGGGTGGGGGGGGGGGGGAGGGGTCGGTGTGGGGGTGGGAGGGGGTGTTGGAACCAGCAATTACACAGAACACCCAAATGATAAAAATTCCTACCCAATGGCACAAAGCATAAGGAATATTGATAGATTATCATTTGTGAAGGCATTTTGACAGTTCATGACATAAGAAGCGATAACTGTAGGCTGTACATCTTAGTTTTCTGTCCCTTTTCAACTTTATTGAAGGCATATTCACCTCAGAACATATTGGGTAATTTGAAACCCAAGTGCTCATGTAGGAAAAATATTGGGCTTTGATCGATTGAAATAATATGCTTAGAATATATATATATATATATATATATATATATATATATATATATATATATATATATATATATATATCTAATATATAAAGCTCAGTTCTGTATGTAATGCATTTGTATGTCGTTGGAATTGTACGATTTTAAGTGTTAGAAAAATTATCGTGCGCATTTGTCTAAATTTATGAGCTAAAAAATTACTATTGAAAGTGTTGGGAAATAATTTTCATTTTTCAAATTATAGTAATAATTGTCGGCATGTTCATTAAACACAAGTTTTAAAAAAAATATCATCTTTTACAAAAATTCTAATTATGTCTTTATTTAGTCCTATAGCACTTACTTCCCTTTGATAAATTAGGAAAAACACAATTACTTCCCTTTATAAAACCATTGCATTCCGTGAAAATAATTTACTTTTTAATTACTTTGTTTTGGTGTTGGGAAAAAAAATAATTACATAATTAGCGGGGATTGATCAAGTGCAAATGTTGTAGGTATTTTACGGATAAGCTTGGAGTATTAAAATTGTTTATTAAATTGAAACAGGCGCGTTCGTTTAAGTGAGTGCAAAAGACTGTGAATAAGTTGGGGTACTATAGTCGTTCATTAAGCTAAAACAGGTGATTCCGCACCGGGCGTTTATGTTCGCGTTAGTGTTTTCTTTGTGTTTAGGTGGGTTTGCGTTAGTGGTTGCGTTTTAATTTGGTTCGTTTTTGTTCTTTCTTTTTTCGTTTTTGTTTGTGTTTTTTTTGTTTGGGTTTGTATTTGTGTTTTTGGTTGGTTTTGCGTTTGGATTTGGTTTGTTTTCGTTTGCTTTTTTCGTTGATTTTTTTTTTGTTGGTATTGGTGTTTGTGGTTGGGTTTGTTGTTAGGTTTTTGTTTTCGTTTGCTTTTTTGTTTGTTTTTTCTTTGTGTTTGTATTGGTGTTTGTGGGTGTGGTTGTGTTTGTTGTTAAGTTTTTGTTTTCGTTTGTATTTGTAATTGTGTTAGCGTTATGTTTGCTTTTTGTTGTTTTGGTTTTGGTTGGTTGTGGTTTGGGTGGGCAATGCCGGGTTTATGATGATTACTAAACACACAGGTAATGGTCTTTAACAGAAAGGTTTTTCACAGAAGCCAGAGCAGGGCCTGGCCGGGACGGCTAGTATATATATATATATATATATATATATATATATATATATAATATATTTATATATATATATATATATATATATATATATATATATATATATATATATATATATATATATATATATATATATATAATTATACTGAATATTTTTAAAAATATATATGTAACATTAAATGCAACGTAAAATAAACTTCTAGAAATTAAAGGACCCTCGAGTAATCAACAATTTTTCCATTCACCTTAACCGTCCCCACCGACAGTATAGGAAACAAGTAGGAATAGCGTGTATTCAAAGTGGTCAACTGAACTCAAGACTGTTAATTAATCTAACAATGGAGTTCTCATTACTTGACTCTTTGCTCCCACTGAGCATATGATAAAAACAATTGGATACATTTTTGTGCTAGACTCACGGGACTTAAGTGATAATGTCTATTTTTTAGATCCATCGCGTGGATAAGTTTGTGGATGGCTGAGGTTGATCCACTCCCACAAAAGATGACGGCGTCGTCTTCAGTGGCGTGGACGGATTCCTTGATGATGTCTCTGTGGGGAGAGATAAAAATAGATTCATTGATGATGTTTGTGTGGGGAGAGATAAAAATAGATTCGTTGGTGGTGTTTTTGTGGGGAGGGATAAAAATAGATTCGTTGATGTCTCTGTGGGGAGAGATAAAAATAGATTCGTTGATTATGTTCTGTGGGGAGGGATAAAAATAGATTCCTCGATGATGTCCCTGTGGGGGGGGGGGCAGAGTTTCTTCCAGGCATCTCTTCGGCCCCCCGAAAAATTTTTACCGCCCCCCCCCCCCCCCCGAACGAAATGAAATTTATATAATTTATATAGAAAATATATACTTTTAACAGTGTCCGCCCCCCCCCCCGAAGAAAGTTTACCGCCCCCCCGAAAATTTCAAGTGCCCCCCCGGAGAAAAAAGTCTGGAAGAAACACTGGGGGGGGGGGGGGATAAAAAATAGATTCCTTAATGATGTTTGTGTTGGGAGACTTACCTCGCTTCCTCGCGAAGTTTGTCTGTGAAGACTTACCTCGCTTCCTCGCGAAGTTTGTCTGTGAAGACTTACCTCGCTTCCTCGCGAAGTTTGTCTGTGAAGACTTACCTCGCTTCCTCGCGAAGTTTGTCTGTGAAGACTTACCTCGCTTCCTCGCGAAGTTTGTCTGTGAAGACTTACCTCGCTTCCTCGCGAAGTTTGTCTGTGAAGACTTACCTCGCTTCCTCGCGAAGTTTGTCTGTGAAGACTTACCTCGCTTCCTCGCGAAGTTTGTCTGTGAAGACTTACCTCGCTTCCTCGCGAAGTTTGTTTGTTTGTGCCGCGTAGTAGCTGACTTCGGTGTGAGTGTTGGCATAAAACGGCATAACATGACGTCTGATATAGTTCTCAATACACCTCAGTGGTCTGTAATACAGTAAGTTGAGTTCTTAAACTTTCGCATTTGTCTTAACTACTACTACACCGTGTTATAAGCATCTTAAACTTATACACATATATGATTATATAGAGAAAAAATCCATACCTGCCGGATGCTACGTAGTCTAGGTAAGTTGCTAAGATAGAGAACAAAAAAAAACATTCTTATGCAACATATAGAATTAAATAAGGAAAGATATTACATAGTATGATTCCGTGCGGTACGGGTTATATGTGCTAGTAAGTATTTCAATCCTTTTTTCTTTGGCAAAATATTTACTTAATTTACCCCGAGCTCGTTGATAGAAAATTATTTTAACTTTAATGCAAACAAGGTGGTTCATAATTAATGCTAACTAAGGCTAATTACATTAAGCGTATTCTTCTTTTCTTGCACTTGGTTTTATTATAAATATTTAAAGCCTATATGTAGTAGTGAAGTAAATCTCTCTTTTTGAACCTGACGGTATATAATGCAAGTGAAGTAGAGTTCACCTACTTCTATGACCTAGTCATATGAAGGATTAGTGTGGTCAGCAGAATGCCCAGCCGTCTTTACTTTCCCTAACTTGCGTTCGGTACCCCCATTAGAGACAAACCTAGACCGACGAGGAATAATATTTGGACATTATTTCTCAGAGCTGTAAAAATATACGCAACTTTATCTGACATTTATGATACCAATCTTTAATACTTATCATTACTGCACTCTGAGAGTTGCACGTGATTACCGCCCCTTCGCTAAAGAGATTTAAGAAACTAAGCGTAAAATCCCCCATTTTGGCGCTACTTCAGCAGAGTCTTAAAACGCCCTAAATGAACATTGACAGTTTTAGGGAAGGTAACGAAATACTATGTATTACAGCAATAGTATTGATAACAAGTATAGTATCGATTCTTCGAACATGTCGTTTTTAATGCGCAAACGTTGACGCACGGATAAGTTAAGTACGTGCGTATTTCAGAGTGTTATCAGAAACCGTATTTGCGCAACAGAACAGAAACAACACGCCTAGAAAGCCACGTCATATATGATGACATTGTACGTGGGAATGTTGGTTTTATGAGGTCACAAATTATTTTCAATTGTTATTCAGAACCTATTTACACAGTCTTGTAACATGTCTATATATAGTTGGATATATATATATATATATATATATATATATATATATATATATATATATATATATATATATATATGGCCTACTAAATCAAACGATTACATCTTCCAAACAGAAGTAGGTGCTATTTAAAGAAAACAGCATACTACATATTATCCTAACGTTATCACCGCATCATCAAAATATTATTTATATAAACATGATTTATATCATACATTATGATTAGTTATACCTTTACGAAAACGTACTTGTCATAAAGAAAAGTCCAATTATTTTGGACTGTATTATTAGAGAATATGATAAATGATGGATATTAAGAGTAAACTATACACGTAAGTTGCAATTTAAACTGCGATATTCGTCTTTACGTTTTAAAGGGTGGGGGGAGGTCATCTCTAAATGACGTCACAATACTATAGGGGACCTAATACATTTGTCCCGAAATATATAACTCTGCATAAACTGTATATGCTAAAAATATACTTATGATATTATGCACAATGCCGTGATTAATTAGCCACGTGATGACTGGTGGGAGGGTTTGGTCGGCAGCCCAAACACGTGGCAAAGACAGTTCTAGCAGACGACGTTTTGAATATCGTCTGTTCAAACAGCTGAGCCGTGACTTTGTTTTCAGACAAATCAGGAGTGTCCCCATTATTGGAACCAATCACATAAAAAACAGCAACAAATGAACAGTCGTCAGGAAACAAGATCAGACCGGTGTTAAAACTGCTGACTATGGTGTCGTTTCGACTCCCCCCCCCCATCCCCACCCTAGTCCTGGCAAACCGAATAACCGAGTTTTCGGTTGACTGACTTTATGTCTGCGGCATACGTCTCGTCTCATTGAACCGGGATCAAACCCCGGCTAGAGTACAATCAAAGACGTAACAGAGGAAGGTGGGTTCCAGGCGCGTCTTTGAACCGCGGGTTTCGTAAACAGCTTGGACGATCCAGGGTGCGTATTCGACCTCCTACTTACCCACCCCCCTCTTTCCAGGGTCGGACGACCCCATATGCCTCTTCAACCCCCACCTGGCTCGTCAATGTGAAGGTCGTGCATACATCACGTATTTGTAACAACAGTATTCATTTAAGATTGTGTTCGAGTTTTAAAAGGATTCGTTTGTGGGGATTCGCTGTGTTACATTTGTATTTATGGACTGCAGGGAAGGGAGATAATTATAACGGATTATCTGGTTAGTTTTTACATTTTCAGGTGCGGAAAAGGGGGAGGGGGTAAATGGGATTTTATTCTCGAAACTTCTGATGAGTACAAATGTCATTTGAACAGCAGCTCACTTCAGTACATGTAAATATTTTTAAATGTTGCCCAAATAAACGGCGTTTATTTGTTTAGTTTTAATACACGGACATGACTGAAACAGTACTAAAATTATCGTGTTTAAATTCACAACACAGACAATATTTCAAAAATTAATTTGTTTGTCACAATTACAATCCTTCCTCTACATCTATACTCCGTATGCGAGAAAGTTAAAGTTATATCGCATGTGTGTGCCAAGCTAGACTTTGAAGAAACCAGCATGTAGTGGTCTAGGCAGAGATGTGCTAGGGAGGACTAGAACACCACCCTAACGACCAGAAAACAAAACTTCTCTCACGTTTAGATACACCCATTAGTAACGGAGTGTTAAAAAAAGTACAGATCCCCCCCCCCCTTTCCCCTACGAGTTTGACTCATTTATGGACGACCCCAAAAGGCGCATTAAGACATTTACAAAAAACAAAACGAGTCGTATTTGACGAAGTATTGCATGAGTTGAGTCAAAATATGACAGTCGAAGTGGAGGGAAGGGGATAGAGGCGACAGACAATTAGACAAAAATATTATCACCACACAATCAGTGTTACGACAAGACGACACAAAGACACCGTCAAATTGTCACTGTTGAGACATAACAGATTAGCCCAGCTAGCTCCGATACATCTGCTCCACGGGTCACTAATTGCCATATCACAAGACACGTTGAATCCGGTGACAGCTTTTGTTGATCTGAGCGTATAGTTTTTATTTTTATGTAGGTTGTCTCGTCAGCAGGGGCAGATCTACAGTGCCGCAAGTATATTTCCAGTATATGTATATATATATATATATATATATATATATATATATATATATATATATATATATATATATATATATATATATATATATATATATATATATATATATAAACAAAAATATGAACATAGGATACTCATTTCTGGCCTGACCGGGTTTTGAAAAAAAAAGCCTTTGTTTTTTTTTCAATTCAAAACGAATTGCAACATCTCATGTGTGTGAGTGCATTAGTGTTTTTGAAAATCTGTATTATTTTATGTCGGCCATAATATTTCTTTACATCGAGTCGGTCAAAAAAAATGAAATATCAAAGCTTTGTATATATAATGGTTTCTCCTGCTATGTTTATTTGTATATCTTTTTGTATTTATGTTATTAATTTTAAATAAATTTCCTTTTATACTATGTCATTCTTTAATATGTATTTAAGAAAAAATTAAAAGAACAAATCTATTAAAAGGAGCTTATGAGCACCACTATTTGACCAACTCGGAATATAGACATGATTTTTAATTACTTAAACTTTTGAAAATAGAATAGAATCACGTAGAAAAAAATAATTGCGCACCAAGCAAACGCCAAAACAAAATGTGCACAATAGTGCGCAATATTATTAGTACTTTTTAAATTTACTTGCGTTTTTTGAGAAATCGGAAATAGCGAAAATTAGTACTTCCGGTCAACGGAAATTACTAAAATTCGACAGACGGTAGAGAATTAGATCTTTTACTTACATGTGAAATTTCATTTATCTATCTGAAATAGTCTCAAGTTATAGGCTTTTTAAAATTTCAAAGTAGAAAAAGTACCATTTCCGGTTGTCGGAAATCGCTCAAAAGTTGATACGGATCTAAGATTTTGATAAAATACTTATATATGAAATTTCATCAACTTAGCTGTAACGGTACTCAAGTTATCGTGTTTACACACAGACAGACAGACAGACACACAGGCATACGGACAAGATTGCAAAATTATGTTTTTCCGTATCAGTGAGGTGTAAAACGTCGAGATTTCTAAAAATCTCAAAAAAAAATTTCACGATTACAAGACTTTCTCTATACTTCGTATATTCGTTCAAGTAAAAATGAAAGAAAAATAACTAAAAAAATTGATTGGAAATCGCTGAAGAGTTGAACAGAAGCACACATACGATATAACACGTAAATATGAAATTTCATCAACCAAGCTGTAACGTGTAACGTGTAACACAGAAACACATCCACACAGACACACAGAAAAACAAACAAACACACCCACACACATACAGACGTACGTATAAAATTGCTAAACTATGGTTTTTCAACTCAGGGAGGTGTATAACGTCGAGAATTGTGAAAATCTCGAGTTTGATTTTTTGCACGATTACAATACCTCCTCTATACATTGTATACGAGAAAGTAAAAAAGTTAGTAGTTGTAAGGGCCTACTTAATAGTGGATTAGATAAGGTAGAAAAAGAAGGAGTTTTGAGCCTTTCATAAACAAACTCACTTTTTGTCGGACCGAATCTAAGATGGCAGACTTCATCGCCTCCAATGACGTCACGGTTGACAAACTGACAAAGCTCGAGTTTAAGGCGGGTAGGTGGACCCAGGTGAAAACGCTTCTTATCTGTAACGTGTTTACCTGTGGTTCTTGCCTCACCTGCCTGCTTGTTATCGTCTCCAGGAGAAGTGCTATTACCTGGTTTCACTTTGGGGATATTTTGCTTGAGTTTTGACTGTTTATTTCTATTTGTGTTTGTATCGTCTCCAGCGCGTTCTTTACTTGCGGTTATTTTATTGTCTGATTTTTCAAATTCGTTCTTCCGAAAATAATCGACATGTTTGTTAATCGTCTGTTTATGACTCGAATCATAAGGCGCTTTTACCGTCAAGTTATTGGTGGTTATTCCCGTCTGTTTTGAGTAGTTTTCTTTGTCTTTTAATTTCCGAATTCTTGTCTCACTTGGAGGTTGATGTTTCGTGTTGATCCCAGTTTTTCTAAGATCGTTACTGCTGTTGCTGCCGGGAGAGTCTGATGTATGTTCTACAGCATGGCCCGGCCTGAGAGCGATGTCTGGAAACTTGGTGGTGCCGTGTTTGGTCGGGTCGTGGTGCTGACTTTTTCTGTCAGATTTCAATGAGCTGTTGGAACTATTCTTGTTGTCAACTCGTATGTTGTACGTGGTGTTTGACAAACTGTTGTTCTTGTGTGAACCCACGTAGTGATCCCCTTCTCTCTTATGCACCGTATTCTCGTGTGATCCTCTACTACCATCCCTCAACTGATACAGAGTTTCCATATCTGTAGATCTTTTACCGTAGAAAATATAATAAATAGAACTTCAATCCAACTATCCGTGAATTCCCGAAACTCGGTAATGTTTCGTTGACTTAATTTAAAATCTATGTCCTGTTATTGAAATAGTTCATTAAGCTCTGAAAAATTGAGTGCGACTTTCGTGAAGCCTAAGCTAGGTGTGAATGATACCTCGCCTCACGTGTAGGAAGTCGATGATCTTTTGTCCGAAGTTATTTATAGTACAGACCCGCCTAGCAACAACCAGTCACGTGACGAACAAGGGCTAAATTAAGGTTGGTTGCTCTCTTGCTTGTAGGCGGGGCCGGACTTTGTTTTCGGTGATGATCAATGACACGGAACGACCTGGATATTGTAGTTGTGTTTGGTTCACGCCTCGCTTAACAAATAACACAGTACCGGAGACATTTGTTTTCAAAGAGACGAACTGATTGGGCTATGATACCATTGTTAAAAGTACTTTTAGAATTAGACGAATTAGAAGGGTATGATACAGTGGAACAAAATACTTCAGAACTGGCCACATTATGTGGGATACGATACAATGGTTAAAGAAACTTCTAGATCAATACGTACTTCACAGGGTAAGGGTGGAGCAAATGTCAAAACAGGGGCACACCTCATTTACATAATTTAATTCTTTATAACTAATCTTTTAGTCGTTCTCTCGTTTGCAATGTTGAAACTTCTTTCTCATTTTGGTGTTGTTGTTTTTTTAATTATTTTTTTGTTTGTTTTTTATTTAATTAGATCTGTTTTCTTTTTGAAAATAATTTTCTGCTACCAATTAAACCGATTGATGTAAGTTTGTTCTGGGGAATATTTTTGTGTTACTGTCATGTTTTCTAAGTGAATCCAACCTTGGTGTGTGTTGATATCCAGTGTAAGGTATTGATTAACCAGGCGCATAAAAGTCCGGTTTTAATAATTAAGTGGGTGTTTAATCAGCTGTGTGCATAGACAGGTTGATCATGTCTAGATGGGGGACTGCCTTTAATTAGCTGTGTGCATAGACTACAGGTCTAGATGGAGGACTGCCTTTAATTAGCTGTGTGCATAGACTACAGGTCTAGATGGAGGACTGCCTTTAATTAGCTGTGTGCATAGACTACAGGTCTAGATGGAGGACTGCCTTTAATTAGCTGTGTGCATAGACTACAGGTCTAGATGGGGGACTGCCTTTAATCGGCTATGTGCATAGACTACAGGTCTAGATGGAGGACTGCCTTTAATTAGCTGTGTGCATAGACTACAGGTCTAGATGGGGGACTTCCTTAATCGGCTATGTGCATAGACTACAGGTCTAGACGAGGGACTGCCTTTAATCAGCTGTGTGCATAGACTACAGGTCTAGATGGGGGACTGCCTTTAATCAGCTGTGTACATAGACTACAGGTCTAGATGGGGGACTGCCTTTAATCAGCTGTGTGCATAGACTACAGGTCTAGATGGAGGACTGCCTTTAATCGGCTATGTGCATAGACTACAGGTCTAGATGGGGGACTGCCTTTAATCAGCTGTGTGCATAGACTACAGGTCTAGATGGGGGACTGTCTTTAATCAGCTGTGTGCATAGACTACAGGTCTAGATGGAGGACTGCCTTTAATCGGCTATGTGCATAGACTACAGGTCTAGATGGGGGACTGCCTTTAATCAGCTGTGTGCATAGACTACAGGTCTAGATGGGGGACTGCCTTTAATCAGCTGTGTACATAGACTACAGGTCTAGATGGGGGACTGCCTTTAATCAGCTGTGTGCATAGACTACAGGTCTAGATGGGGGACTGCCTTTAATCAGCTGTGTGCATAGACTACAGGTCTAGATGGGGGACTGCCTTTAATCAGCTGTGTACATAGACTACAGGTCTAGATGGGCGACTGTCTTTAATCAGCTGTGTGCATAGACTGGTTGTTCATGTCTAGATGGGGGACTGCCTTTAATCAGCTGTGTGCATAGACTACAGGTCTAGATGGGGGACTGCCTTTAATCAGCTGTGTGCATAGACTACAGGTCTAGATGGGGGACTGCCTTTAATCAGCTGTGTACATAGACTACAGGTCTAGATGGGGGACTGCCTTTAATCAGCTGTGTGCATAGACTACAGGTCTAGATGGGGGACTGCCTTTAATCACTCGAGCTACTCGACTGAGCATATCGTAAAATAATAAATAATGTTCTTTCACAATCTGTGAATCAGGATATGCTGTTATGTTGTTTTTACCACACACCTCGCCCTGACGATATAATCCACGAGACAGACTAAAGCCCAGCGCATAGTTAAACAACACTTTAGATTAGAAGCTAGGGTTTCTTTTAAACATTTTTTCTGGTAGGCTGTGAGCTGGAAACTAAAGGAAGGGAGGGGAAGCAACTGGTTAGGTTATATATTTTCTATATTTTTTTCTATATCCGCCTGGATGCGTGAGGAGGTCAGGGGGGAGAGTGTGTGGGCAGAGATGTGTATAAAAGTAACACTGTTAGCAGCCGCTATGTGAGACATTGATAGCTTCTGGGGTCGTTCACCCTAAGACTGGCTTGACCAGGTTTTTGTTTCAAGGGTGGAATCTAAATCTTTGATTAGAACAGTATATTTGATATCTCGACACCTTTTATTATTTAAAAGTAAAACACATAGATGAGAGTTCAAATAGCCAAATAGTGATTGCGTTAAGGCTTTTGCTATGAAAACCAATCTTCTTCTTCGTTCTTAATTTTTAGGGTTGAATGGGATCGAGCCTTATCTGCCAGATGGTTTGAACTCGAGAATTTTTTCGAATTTGTCCATGAGCTTTTTGCCGACTCGACCACGCCCCCATCACAATTAAGGATACGTGTCAACTGGTAATGCGCCATAGAGGAGATTGACTCCGATTTTCGGATTTGCTTCCATAGCCTTTGTCCTACCAAGAATACTACTCCTAGAAGGGTGGCTGTCCCCAGCTAACGAGCCCCATCTGCCCGAGGGTTCGAACTCGGGACTTTTCGGTTTAGCAAACCATGAGCTTTACCGACTCGACCACGCCGACCCCTTGAAAACCAATAAGTTCATTGGATTTGGTCAGCTAATATTACACATGTGATGTAGCTTTGAAGTAAGTAACTCTGGCGTATACTCACTTGTGATACATGCAAACATAGAGCTAGATCGTCTAAACTGAAAACTAGACCCAAAGTAACATTTTAACTTAACGGCCAAGAAGGCTTACATAATAGATTTTTTTATAGGCCACTAAAATTGGAATAACATTTTTAATGTCAATAGCTTAAGGGGCAATAAAAGAAATGTTTGCAATGCATAACAGCAACGAAAAGCAAACACACACACACACACACACACACATATATATATATATATATATATATATATATATATATATATATATATATATATATATATATATATATAGTATGACATTCCAATTATGTCTGTTAATTAGCCTGTGGGTTTGTTTGATTCTCTTTCGTGCATTTCTACACATCTCATCCGACCGCCAAGAAGAAACTTTGGGTAGTTGATGAGGAAATTAATCACTGGCATGGTGAGATTTAACACCTAAAGTTCTTCAGCGGTTCTTTTAGTGATCTGTTGGGTGTGTTGAAGGGGGGTTGGGGGTACTACTTGATTTAACGGTCAAACTGAACCAGGCACATCCGCCGGCTATAAGGCTCGGAGCACCCTGGGTTCACCAGTGAGCACTATGGTATCTACATTTGTTTTAAAGCGTGCCATACACTATAACCGTCGACTAAATACAATTAAGCTGTTCTCGCGAACGCCGCACGACGACCCTAATACCGGAGCTGCCGTCGACGTGGTTACTACCTCACTACAACGGAGGCTGATTCAGCTGTGTGCTCTAGAATCTATAGACAGGTTCCGTAAACCAACAAAAAGAAAATATTTCGATTCTCTGGCCTCATACAAATATACTGACATAAAATCACGCCTTATAATCAGATAGACAATCTAGGTTTTATATCCAACACTTGGTCAGATCTACACAGCGTTGGGCGTGCATTGACCTCGTCAAACACGACTGGGTTGGTTTTAACCCTCTTTACCCTCTATCCGTCCCAATCTTTTGTATATTAACATATTTTTGGCCTGTCTATTAGAACTTGTGCTGTCCTCAATCTGTTCTATTTGCATCATTAACCAAGGCATTCAAACCCTCGGTCTACACCACGGGTCATTAGTCAAGCCCTATACGAAGAGTGCAACGACTTGAATTACTTAGTATTTAGTATGTTCATCAAATTACACGCAATAAAATATCAGCTCGCAACGTTAAAAAATATAGATCGAAAATGTTCTAGATTTGTTCTAGAATATGTTTCATGATTTATTCTAGTAGACCATCCCTGAGTCCACCCAGCTCTGATGGGTACCTAACTCACCTTAGGGAAAGTAAAGACGGCTGGACTTAGTGCTGACCACACTATCTCTTCATATACGGAGGTCACAGAAGCAGTTGAGCTCTACTTCACTTGCCCTATAGGCCGTCAGGTTTGAAAGGGGAACTTTACTCTAGAACAGGGGTTCACAACCTTTTTTTACTCTAGAGCACATTCTAAAATATCGGTAGGGTGGCGGGCACCACCTATTTTAATTCGACAAACTCCTTCCAGAGGCGTAGCGACCCTTCCCGTCACCCGGGGACAAAACTTTCGATTTGCACCCCCCCCCCCTCAAACTTTCGATGTGCACCCCCCTCAAATTTTCGATTTGCACCCCCCCCCCTTCCATCCCCTTCAACCTTTCAATAATGTTTATGAAAAAAATTCTTCCTCTGTCGAATAGTGAGAGGCGGGCACATACGAATCGTTCGGCGGGCGCCATGGCGCCCGCGGGCACGGGGTTGGGAACCCCTGCTCTAGAATATGTTTTATTTTTTAGAAACCGACGGCGGCTGGGCATAGTGTTGACCAGATTATCCCCTGTAATCCGAGTTGATTCAAACAGTTGAAGTCTACTTCACTTTCCCCATAGACCGTCAGGTTTGGAAAGGGAACTTTATTCTGGAATATTTTGTATCTTTTATTTAAGGAAACGACGGCGGCTGGGCATAGTGTTGACCAGATTATCCCCTATAATCCGGGTTAATTCAAACAGTTAAGCTCTACTGATGCAGACACCATCATCAAGACGTTTGTGTACACCATGATGAGCATAGGAACGCAACCACACCTTTCCATCTTACTCGTTTTAAGTTCTTGTCCTATCTACTTTTCTCTATCTTTAGGGATTCCAATATTAAGCCTGTCTGGTGATGTTGTTGGCAGTGCCGATGCCAGGTTATTTAGCGCCCTAGGCAAAACCTATTAAAACGCCCCCTTTCACACAAATTAATAAATAAAGCATATCCTATAAGAAAACAATTAATTAAATATGACATATTACTTTATTATCAATTGCATACATGTTATAAGTAGACATCAAAATCATATTTTACTTGCTTCATTCGTCTCAAAAGTTTATACCAATTCCTTCAATTCCAGTTTGCAAGCGTAATCACATTTTATTGAAATTGTTGCTAAGTCCACGAGTCTACTTTGTACTTTACGAGATAGCCTCCCCCCCCCTTCCCCCCCCCCTACCTGGGGGAAAAAAGTCTTGGAAAAAAACACTGAAAACTTAGTTCTTGAAGTGTTGGAATCACTGCAGTCCTCCCAAGGTGAGTTCGAAAACGAACCTTATCTGTTTTGAGCTTGACTGTCTTTAGTTATAATTGTTAAATGTCTATATTGTGTGATTATGCAACGATTGTTTTGTTTTTGAAAAAATAAAAAGTTATAAATGTTATAGATTCCAGCCAAAAATTGTTATATATGATTCCTTTAAGAGAGGGTGAAAAATAAAAAAAATAAACCGGGAGTGATCTCCCCTAAACTTTCTCGAATATTCTTATATAAAATTACAGGGAATGGGAACTCGGTCTATAGACATGATTTTTAATCCATTTTAAATACTTAAAGTTTTAAAAATAGAATAAAATCTCGTAGACAAATTAATTGCACACCAAGTGAACGCCAAATAAAAAAGCGCATAATAGTGCGCAATATTATTATTACTTTTAAAATTTACATTAGTTTTTTGAGAAATCGGAAGTAGCGTAAAGTACTACTTCCAGTCAACGGAAATGACTCAAAATTTAATAGAAGGTAGAGAATTAGATCTTTTACTTACGTATGAAATTTCATTTATCTATCTGAAATAGTACTCAAGTTATAGGCTTTTGAAAAATTCAAAGTAGGAAAAGTACCACTTCCGGTTATCGGAAATCGCTCAAAAGTTGATACGGATCTACGATTTTGATTAAATACTTATATATGAAATTTCATCAACCTAGCTGTAACGGTACTCAAGTTATCGTGTTTACACACGGACACACACACACACACACACACACACACACACACACAGACACACAGACATACGGACAAGATTGCAAAATTATGTTTTTCCGTATCAGTGAGATGCAAAACGTCGAGATTTGCAAAAATCTCGATTTTTTTTTTTGCACGATTACAAGACTTTCTCTATACTTCGTATATACGAGAAAGTAAAAAGACAATTAATTAGATGTTTAATTTACGACTTAGACTGTATGTCTACTAACATTAAGTATTGCGATCTACAACGGCTACTGATGTTTTTCAACTTGATAATGCTAAAAAAAAACCCTACCAAAACTATTTTGTTTAAAACTTAAGCTCTGTATAATTTTTACAGTTGCAAAAAATACCTTAAAGTTGTATTTATATGTAAGCGGTCAAACTAAGGTCAGGAATTGGAAATGAATGTAAAGTTAAGCAACGAATTATCTCCCATTTGAAAATCCATATTACAAAATTTTATTCAAGGGAAATAACTTTCACAAGAATTGCTAAATTAACCAATTGAAACTAAGATATGTTTAAAAAACACAATAAATTTCATTGCCTAATAATTGCAACAATTGTTTTATATTTTCTATGTAACTTTGTGAAAACAATATATTTTACGTATTAAGTACTTAATTGCAGGTTTTGTTTGAAAGTCTGAAAAATGGTAGCTGTATTATAACATACTTCTATTCAATTTTGATGACATACAATTGGTTGTGCTAGATGTATACTGTATAAGAATTGTTATAAAATTTTGCAAAAAAAAAAAATAAAATTTAGGGATGTCTTTGAAAAAATCAAACACGGGTAACTGTTTTAGACATTGCTAGAATTATAGATTAAATTTAAAAAAAAACTTAATTTGGCAAAAACAAAGTTAACGGTTAGTTATAAATTCCATCCTATTAATATATATTAATACTTTAAGAGTGGTAATATCATCATCATCGTTCCTTTGTGGACCCTGGGGAGCAAAGGGCGGCAACCACACATTTCCAGCGAAGTCGGTTTTGGGCTGCTCCCTTAATCTGTGCCCATGTGAGCCCAACTGTTTTCGCCTCTTCTTCAACCGTTCTTTTCCATGTTTTCCTTGGCCGGCCCACCCTCCTTTTTCCCTGGGGATTCCAGTCCATAGCATGTTTTGCGATGTTTTCTTTTTCTCTTCTTAACGTGTGTCCGATCCATCCCCATTTACGGGCCTTGATATCTTTCTCTATTGGCTGTTGCTTTAAAATTTGCCACAGATCTTTGTTTGACATTTTGTCTGGCCCTCTTATTTTAAGTATATGCCGTAAGCATTTGTTTACGAATGCCTGTAGCTTATCAGTATTTGTCTTCGTAACCAAGTGTCAGAGCCATAGAGCAGCACTGCCTTGACATTTGAGTTGAAAATTGAAACACAAAGCTAGCAACCGGTGCGCGGACCTTTGACCACAGGTGCTTTGACCATAAGGGGTTTGACCATAGGGTTTTTGACCACAGAGGGGCTTTGACCATAACGGATAAATAAAGGCCTAAATAGACCTAATTTTGGGGTGAGGGCGCAGAATTGATAGTTTGTCCTGGGTGCCGAAATAGATCGCTACGCCTTTATAAAAGCTATTAATTATTAGGTACTTTTTGATAATAGCGATGAAACCTTTTACGCCCCCTAGGGATGGCGCCCTAGGCGACCGCCTAGTTCGCCTAATAGGTAGCGTCGACCCTGGTTGTTTGTTGGTTGATGTCTACACCAGATATGGTTAATATAACAACACCACGGATAGATAACAATTTTCTATGAATTAATTTAATGTAAAAAACAACGTGTAAAATGTGTCAGTATGTCTAACACGTCAGAAACAGTTTTTATACCGTGTTGTTTTTATGACCAATAAATTTCGTACTGTAATAATAATGATAAAATAAACAAACTTAGATCTGTATTTTGTTGAATGGACGTTTAAAAAATAAATCTGCACATTGTAAACAACAGACCAGTACAACAGACGTGGCCTCACCAAACAGAACAACTTTAGCAAACAGGACATACGCTAAATATGCTATTTTGTATGTAAATATGTTCTATTATAAGACCTGTTTACCAGTTCATCTTTACAGTGTTCCACTGCTATGGTTCCATTGTTCTATTCAGGGTGAGGTTTTCTAAAAGCAAGCGTAGCGAGGTCGGGTGTCACCCGGTGCGGCACTTAATGGTGTCACCCCCCAGAGGCGTAGCGACCCTTCCCGGGAACAAACTTTCAAATTTTTGATTTGTACGCACCCCCTCCCTCTCCCCTCGAACTTTCGATTTTCACCTTCGATTTGCACCCCCCCCCCTCCTAAAGTTGTTCTCTATATATTTTGCTATTTTTTGGCTTGGTGTCTCCCCCCCTAAATGGTGTCACCCGGTGCGATCCGCACCCCCGCCCCCCCCCCCCCCCCCCCTCGCAACGCCTCCTGGTTGTAGATGAGGTGGTTCTTATTTCAGCAAGTCTTTGGCCACAGGAGGCGAAGGCCTATCGTAACAATCATGCCGGGTACGTGTGGGATGGGGGAGAAGAAGGGGAAGACAAAGACGTTATTAGATGGAGGACATCAAAGGTTTGACTGAGATGCATGTTGCGGGGCTACTGTGACCCGCAGAGGACCGAGACAGATGAGAGAGTTAGCTGTGGTGCCCCGACTCCAATAGTGGTAAAGTGGCGTTTCGATTGATTGATTGGTAAATTAATTATAATAGACTAGAAAAAAAATCGTAAATATACTTTGGTTGTAAGAAAGAAATGTTTGCATGTGGTGTTTTAGCCATTTCCAGCAGCTGTTTCAAACGGGTCTACGACAAATTCCCGAAAGACCCTTGCCCGAATGCCGTTTGCCCGACGGCCGATTTCCCGAATGTCGCATTCGGGCAAGTGTCCATTCGGTCATTTGTCGCATTTGGGCAAGTGTCTATTCGGGCATTTGTCGCTATCGGGCAAGTGTCCATTCGGGAAATCGGCCTTCGGACAAACGGCATTCGGGCAAGGGTCTTTCGGGAAAACTTCCGGCTCCCGTTACAAACACGTTCATCCCCCCCCCCCCCCACTCCGCACACACACACATCATATAACTAATCTAAGTCTCTGGTCATCTGATTTTACGCCTGACCAAGTTTTTTAATTTTTTTTAAAAACATCTCAAATCATTATATAATAATGGATCTTTCACAGTCAGGTTTTAAAAGTACTGAGATTATATCTGTACCTCAAAGAATAATTTCGTGATAACTATAAATGTCACATTCAATCAATACTGAAGATAAGATGTTTCAATATATTAATTAACGTTTTATGTTTGGCCTGTTTAAAAGATATCCAGTATTATTGGCGGCTCTAAAGTAAGTCAAAACTACGCACTGAAGGCTACAAATTGTGTGTTAGATATGGTCTCGTCACGATCACACACATATTATTACAGTGTGCTTAACACATACAACGTATGAGAACTAGATATAATACATGTTGTAGTGTTGAATTAAAACCTATCTGCTAATATAATAGAATATTTACCACAAAAAAATAAACCGGGAGTGATCTCCCCTAAACTTTCTCGAATATTCTTATATAGAACTTGTAAGTTTATCGTTCTTTCTCGCGTTAATTCGTGTCTGGTTAGCCAGGGAGAGATAAAAGTTTTCGAACTAAATCAATTGTTGTGAACGGGGTTTCCCATTGATAACAAAAAACATGGCGGCTATTTGTTAGTAGGTCCCGCTTCAAGATTTCAAAATCATCAAACGTTCCAGAAATGCAACAACTGTAAAAACTTTCATCGCTGTTTTGTTCATATGGATGGGAACAAACACATGTGTATGCATTTTTGAATATAAAAGTTTTGTGGCGGTAAGTATATTGATTTTATTTCTTTTGTTGATAGTTTGTCCAAGGCTAGGGGACATTACTCTGACTCTACTCAGTCTTTGCTACGAGACTTAAGATTCCCAGATCTAGAATCTAGATCTAGACCTAGATTTAGATTCTAGAATCTACCAACTAAGATCTACATTGCTTTAATCTAGTTCTAAGAGTATAAGTTCATGAATTAGAATATATTAGATCTAGATTCTAGATCTAGTATTTTAGTGATCTAGATAAAATATTAAAAATATTAAGAAAAGGATGACGGTAAAAACTAAAACAACAGGAAAATGAGGATGACTTCCAGTCTCACTCAGCCTACGACTTATTAATCGAATCTAGATATCTAGATCTAGATATTAGATCTAGATATCTAGAACTTAGACAACAATGTTAATGTTAATAGATCTAGATCTAGCTAGATTACTGAACTACTAGAACTAGACTCTAGTACTCTAGTACTGATTACTCAGTGATTACTGTTTAATATTTTAGAAGTAGGCCTATTAGTATTAGTTATTAGAAGTAGCTTGTAGATAGATGGCTAGATAGATACTTTAGATAGTATTACTAGATCTAGATAGAGATAGTAGAATAGATCTAGATTCTAGTTGCAGATGGTAGTATGGTAGGCCCTAGATCTAAAATCTAGATCGAGAGAATCTAGTAGATCTAGATCTAGATAGATTCTAGATTAGATCTAGATCTAGTTTAGGTAAAACCTAGCCTAGTTAAGTTTAGTAAGAGCTAGATCTAGTAATGCCTAGTAAGGCTAACCTGTTTTTAATTTTAAATCAATTTTTTTATATCTAGAATCTAGACTAGATCTACTCTAGCTATTTACTAGATCTAGATCAGTAGCCAGTAGAGTGATTAGAGTAGTAGTAGAGTGTAGTGTAGAGTACTGTAGACTATTGTAGACTGTAGGTACTAATAACTAGACTGAAACTAAATTAGACTAGAATCTAGGTCTAGATACATTTAGGGCTTACAGACTTATTAGACTACAGTGTTGCAATGAGTAGATCTAGTAATATATAGATTAAATTTAGTTTGAAATTGTTACAGTAGTGCTACTACTTTTCTAAGTAGTAAGTAGTGTAGACTACTAGAAGAGCAAGATGATAGATCTCCATCAAGCTACAATAGAGTTTAGTTAGTAGTTAGTTAGTCATAGTAATAGTACCAAAAGCAGTGTAAGTAGCACAGTAAAAAAAAAAGTATTACTAGGCCATCTACTATTGTATTAGGCCCTTTTATTTTTAGCAAGTTAAAGTTTGGTTAAGTACAATTCTTTTAGCAAGTTGCCTAGTAGTAAACTTAGAAACTAGATCATGTGTATTATTACTATTAGACTTGTAGGCTAGTCTTGTTAGTCTAGACCAGGGACTATAAAATCTACAATTGATAACTTTCGGCCTTTTAGTATAAGCCTAATTATTAATGAATTACAGGGTACAAAAATTAATAAATTGGTCAGAGTCAGTATGGTTACAGTTAGCTGTTAATAGAATTAAGTTTTAGATCTATTGACTACAATTTTTAGTTACAAGTAATGAAAATGAAACTAATAGTTTTGTAATAGTTAAGATATGGTTAACTGTAAACCAGATATTTTAGTTTTTAAGACAAGCTAAGTAGATAGAAAACTGAACCTTTACAATAAATTAAACCTTTTATAAATATAAATATATATATATATATGGGAGCCGGACGTTTTCCCGAAAGACACTTGCCCGAATGCCGTTTGCCCGAAGGCCGATTTCCCGAATGGACACTTGCCCGATTAAAGAATGTCTATTTGGAAATATTATTTATTATCTAATATTAACATTTTTCGGGCAAACGGCCTTCGGGCAAGTGGCTTTCGGGCATTTGTCCCATTCGGGCAAGTGTCCATTCAGGCATTTGTCCCATTCGGGCAAGTGTCCATTCGGGCATTTGTCGCATTCGGGCAAGTGTCTTTCGGGAATTTGTCGTAGACCCTATATATATATATATATATATATATATATATATATATATATATATATATATATATATATATATATATATATATATATATATATATATATATATATAGATATTTATATATATATATATATATATATATATATATATTAATATCTCATATTAGTTAAATAATTATTTTAATATAATATATGGATAAACTTAATAATTTATTATATTTAAATTCCCTAGGTACTTGGCAAGCAATTTTCTCACACTTTACTGTGGCTATTGGTGCTGATCTTGAACTAAAGGTGAGCTGAATTTTTTTTTTATAATAAGCCATTTTTCAGCTTAAGCCCAAGTTTGAAATCGATTCAGTGTTCTAATTCTTAAAGAATATGTTGCTACTAAGATTATATACTGTAAGTATTAATATGTATGGCTTGATAGTGGGACTGTCAGACAGTAGCTTTCACATTTCTATCCTAAAAGATAAGAGTTCAGATCCCTGGTTTTAGTCCTGGTATGATGTCCTGAGTCTCATGAGTACCAGCTCTCATGAGTACCTGGCTCAAGATAGGGAAATTAAAGGTGGCTGGGTATATACCTCTGAACACTCTAATTTTAAATGTCACAGAAACAGGTGAATTTTAATTCAACTGCTATATTGGCTGTCTGTTTTAATCAATGATTAATTTTTTCATATTACAGAAAGTTGTTAAAAATATTATTTATTTAATTTCTAGGTAAATGGAACAGCATGGATGTGGATTTTTAGACACAAGGAAGCTGAATTTAACTTTTAATGAAGAATTTAAATGATGATTGTCCATGAAAAGAAATATTAATCATATACATTGTAATGCTGTATTGATGCATCTTCTGTTTTAAGTAATTAAAAAACCATCCATTTATGAAATTCTTTTCATTTTTTTTTTCAATTTTAAAACTGTAGTTCTGTTTTGTTATTTGAAAACAATGATGAAAGTATACTGAACTGCCATTGAGATATTAATATAAATGCTATTGTTTATAGTTTAATTCTTTCAGAAGCAACTATATTGACATCAAAACTGAATCTTTATTGTACACTAAGTATAAAAGCTTACCCGCAAACCAGTCCATGTCAACAATTTATTGACATTCAAACATTAAATTTTTTTAAAGGTGATTTTTCTTAAATAAAACAGACTACTTTCATATGGGATAAGAAACATTTAATTTTGAAATTGATTGGTTTATTAAATTTTAATGGAGCTGAAACTAAAACACTGGGTTCAAATTTATTATTACTTTGTTTCTCAGAAAATTGCAAATTTTGAACATAAGAACTGTGGGAAGTAGGCAATGATGTTAAAATATCTCTTGAAACTTGAAGAAATTGTGGAAGGTTTAGAGATAGAAAACAACATTTCAGAAGATGATGTTTGAAATAATGGTAAAATATCTTTAGCAATTGTCACTGAATAAATATTTTCATTAGACAAATCACATTTAGATATAGAAGAATAAGGTATGTCTTCAGATTTTCTTATCAGCGAAGATCCTGGGTGATTCTCTTTGTTACCATCGGTCAAACGACAAGCCAATTCTGGAAAATTCATTGGGTTCTTTGCCTGGGCAGCTAAATATATTTAAATTAAGTTCATGCAAGGCTTTAGAAACATCAATTGGATAAAACTCTATAATTTCATTAACTTTTTATTAATATCAGCTCCAAAGAAATAATATAAACAAGTTACACATCATCAATAAATCAAATTTGCAGATATTTCCATTTCACCAAACTTTCTCTAAGTCATAATATATATTTTAAATTCATGGCATTTTGTTAGGCTAGACATGTTGAATTTTATTTTCCACAATAATCTGATTATATAAATTAGGATTACCCAGCTATCATACATTCTTCTTTTTACTGCCCTCCTTTATGAGGGGGAGGTAAAAATCATCATAAAATGTGTGATGCAATTTACAGATGAACCCTCTCTCTCTCTACCCCTCCCCCTATATATATATATGTATATCTACATAATCTCTAAAATCATGTTGGTACCTCTACCTGTTTGAATGTTAGGCCCCTTTCCTTCAACTGTTTCTGTGTGGATCTTCTCCATGGGGGTCATCTATAAATGACGTCACGCATTTTTTTGACGATTTTTACCTCCCCCCTCCCCCTACACATCGTCACAAAAAGCCAGACCCCCACCCCCTAAAATGACGTCACACAGTACTAGATTCTAGATCTAAATTACTACAGTTGCCTACACTCTAGATTTAGTTCTTAAGTTCTACAACAAGACTACACTAAACTTCGCTAGATCTAGAATAATCTAGATTCTATATATAAATTGATATTGAACATATTCTAGTCTACCTGTCTTAAAGTAAATAGCCTATTTAGTAATTTAGTAATTAATTCCACTCAACTACACTGTAAAATAAAAGAAACTAGATCTAGAATCTAGATCTCTAGACTACTCTTGAGTGTATAAATTAAAAATAAATCCTGTATGTCGTATGTTACTGTCTAAGTCGGAATTTTCAAGAGGGTTTTTTTTAAGTCATAGATCTAGATATAGAATTTTAGATCTAGAAATCTAGACTCTAGATCTAGGCTATATATATTTATTAATTAAATTAGGCTTGATTTCAGATTTAAGATTGAAATCTTTTAGGCCTATAAATATCATATTTTATATAGATTAAAGATGTATTATTATTATACAGGTTGTATTCTAGATCTATCTAGATCTATATAAAATATAATATATTTGTGTGTGTGTGTTATTTTAAACTTAATTTACTTAAAACAACTTATTGTCGGAGTTTTTTTTTATTCCAAAAACGAAAGTAGATTTCATAACTTAAAAAAAAATAAATAAAAAATATTCACATTTGGTTTGAAAAAACAAAAAAACGCCAGCTGGCAACTACCGGAGCGAGAACTTGGTAAGCTACTTTAACAACTTACAAGCCCAATAAAATAACAGGGGATGGGAACTCGGGCTATAGACATGATTTTTAATCCATTTTAAATACTTAAAGTTTTAAAAATAGAATAAAATCTCGTAGACAAATTAATTGCACACCAAGTGAACGCGAAATAAAAAAGCGCATAATAGTGCGCAATATTATTAGTACTTTTAAAATTTACATTAGTTTTTTGAGAAATCGGAAGTAGCGTAAATTACTACTTCCGGTCAACGGAAATTACTCAAAATTTAACAGAAGGTAGAGAATTAGATCTTTTACTTACATGTGAAATTTCATGTATCTATCGGAAATAGTACTCAAGTTATAGGCTTTTGAAAAATTCAAAGTAGAAAAAGTACCACTTCCGGTTGTCGGAAATCGCTCAAAAGTTGATACGGATCTACGATTTTGATATAATACTTATATATGAAATTTCATCAACCTAGCTGTAACGGTACTCAAGTTATCGTGTTTACACACGGACACACAGACACACACACAGACATACGGACAAGATTGCAAAATTATGTTTTTCCGCATCAGTGAGGTGTAAAACGTCGAGATTTGTAAAAATCTCGATTTTTTTTTTTGCACGATTACAATACTTTCTCTATACTACGTATATACGAGAAAGTAAAAACTTAATATCACAATTATTTTACTAACGGTATTTCCAGCGATATTCATATTAAACATTTCACATTGTACATTGCGGGGTTTAGAAGTCTATGCTTGACTGAACCGAAACCCAAATTATACCGTACTTTTGTCATCTTCAACAATAGAGATTATATTCAACTCAAGCACAATCAATACCCAACCTATTTACAATACAACTGGAGGTTGCAATGCTTCTCACGTTAGTAGAGTATATAAATAAACAAAAGTATGATCAGCAAAAACACTATCCCTTCCCATGCCGAGGTCCCTGAAACAGATGAGCTCTACTTCATCAGCCCCTTGTGTCTTGGGCAAGAACATGATTAGATTATAAGATGATGAAGATCTCTAATATTTATACTTTACTCTTTTCTTTGCTATTTACACGGTTTTGTTTGGAGCTATCAAAAACGAGCCAAAAATAATAATTCATAATTTAAAAATATATTCTCTTTAGTACTCATTATATCTCACAAAAAAGGGGCTAACTCTAATGGTTTAATTTGTAAACACTTCATGGCGTTTGAATCTTTAATAAGGGAAGTAATTCATAATAATAGCACATTGTTTATATTGATACACTAGCGACAACAATCGGTACCTTTACAAAAAGCGCGATGAACCTTCTATCATTCGTGCTTTAGTAAAGAGTTTTTGATCGGTCTATTCCAGCCGGCATTCTAATTTCAAAGACCGGCAAACTGCCGCTCATAGATCGAACTATCTATTAAAATCAATCGTGTTACATTATGGCTGTGAAGTGTGTGTTCAGTTGTATGAACGCCGTCGTGTGTGAAATAAATGTCTGACAACCACCGAGTCGGCAACAACCAGCGTTGAAGTACTCTCAAGTACTAACGAACTACGCGATCGTATATCAAAGCTGAGATACATTAACTAGACAATAGTGGGCTTTTGTGTTTGTCGTGTAGGATTGATTACAGTTGGGGCGGGTGTTCGGCTTACAAATGGCAACACTTACTCTACAGTCGCTGATCTTAGAATGGGGCTACTGGTTGTTCTTAAACTGGGGCTAATGTTGGCATTGAAATAGGGCTACACTAGGTGTTTCAATAGGGCTAGAGTTGGGTGTTACGATAGGGGTTCAGTTGGTATTAAAATATCGGTACAGTTAATGTTAAAATAATGGGACGGAGTGGTCTAGCGGTAGAGAGCTGGACTGCGAACCTGTAAGTCTCGAGTTCGAATCTGGGTTTCAAGTCTGTAGACCGTCCCTGAGTCCACCCAACTCTGATAGGTACCTAACTCACGTTAGGGAAAGTAATGGCGGCTGGGCATAGTGCTGACCACACTATCTCTTCAAACCGTCAGGTTTGAAAGGGTAACTTTACTTTTAATGTTAAAATAGCGGTACAGTTTATCTTAACTGAGACTACTAATGAATTCAATTTTCCTTTATTCAACTTGAAGTAGGCCTATAGCATTAAATACAATAGTATGCGTTTTTACTTTTGTCCAGATTACACCCAGAATTGAACTGAACTTGAAAATAGATCTCATAAGCAAAAAGCATTTCCGATCTTTTATTTTTATTTTGTGTAGATACATTACAAATAAATTTAACAAAACACTCGTGCAGGAATGGGGTAGTTATTTTAGTCATTTTTGAATGTGTTCTGAATATATATATATATATATATATATATATATATATATATATATATATATATATATATATATATATATACATATATATATATATATACATATATATATATATATACATATATATATATATACATATATATACATATATACATATATATATATATATATATATATATATATATATATATATATATATATATATTCCTGAAAATATTAAATTGTCTTCGTATGCTTCACTTAAAAAATATTTTTTTTATTGAAAATCTAATATATATATTCAATTGTCATGTTAATTTCAAAAGAATTTTTGTTTCAAAAGATAATTTATGTTAAGCTTAATTTCAAAACAAATTTAAAACGAAAAAGTGAATTTTTTTTCTCAATGTTTTTCAAAAATAAATCAAACACATAAGTCAGTTGACAGTTTTATAGTTAATCATGTAACTTTTAATTTTAAAAAATCAGAAACTAATTAAAATCATAAAAACATAGCTTATTTTAAAATATAAAACAATCTTTTATTGATCATAAGTCTGATTGTGTTTTTTTAAACTATATTGATTTTAGTTATTTGTCTCTCCGAGTGTTAGTCGACAGATTTGATAAGGGAAGCAACCCTTTAAATGTTTCTATCTCCGACTGTCAGTCGACAGATCTGATAAGGGAAACAACCCTTGCACACGTCACAAATGCCGGCCTCTTTGATAGCTTGAGGCTCGTAAAACACGGTCGCTTGGTTGCCTAGGGGAAATGTAAAAACATTTATTTCTTTGTCAAATTATTGCTCATTTAATAAGCCTTATTATTTATATAGTTGTGTATTAGGATTTTTAAAAATAAATGTTTTGCAACAAAATATGTGTAATTTAATTTATTTTGATTTGAATAATTTAAACCTGTTCAGATTATAGTTTGAAATAGTTTGTGTGCAAAGATAGTTGGCCTAAATATTTCTTTATCCGATTATTTAACCATATATAGGGCCGAGCAGTAAGCTATGATATTCAATGCTGGGGTTTTACACTGCAGAAACACAAAACGGTGGGTGTACATTTTCTTGTCGTTCTTGAAGGCAAGATTGTAATACCAACGAAAGTGTTCAGGCTATTCATTTAAAAAGCCGTTTGCGGTTACTGTGCCACAAGATTCCTAGTTTTTATGTTAACTGTTTTCATACTGTCCTAATATAGATCTGTTCAAAATGAAGCAAAAGCCACTGAAATAACGTGGGTTCAGCTAAACCGAATAAAAACTCAGGTAACAAATGTCGAGCTACGTGAGGAGTGGATGTAGTTCCAGTTTTCTGTTAGAGGCCCAAGCAATTTCATGCATGGCAAAATAAGAATGTTTTTGTTCTATGGAGCTGTGCATAAATTATATAAAAACATCCAGAGGCAAGCATTTCATTACTGTAATTCATCTAAACACAATCTAAATTGGATAAAACTTGTACCTGTTTCATAGTAGTCGTATGTTTTCACGTAACATTTTTGTGACCTTGCCACCTTGGCCACTCTAACCATAGAGAGGGTATAACACAGGGTAGACTTGCCAATCTGATTGTATAAATACACAGGGGGTTAAACGAAAGGTAGACTTGCCAATCTGATTGTATAAATACATTGGGGATGATTAGACGGAAGGTAGATAAATAAGCATCGGTGGTAATTAGATGATAAGTAGATCAATGACTCCTACAAATACATAGGTGGTAATCAGATGAAATGTAGTTCGGTGACATTTTATCAAGCAAAAAAAAAACGCATTGTTTGTGAAATAATTTGACATAACTGTTTACGAAAGAGTTCTAGAAAAGAAAAAAATTGCTTGTATCTTTAGTCTCATCTTATTCCAGGTTCATAACAGATGCAAAGAAATAGATGTACGTAACTTATTTCACAAAAATCCATAAAAACCTAAATGGTGGCACTATCATAAGAGCAACGAACCCACCTCATCCAAGTAGACGTCGAGAAAGTTTCCCTTGACCTCCGTCTTGACGAGCCCGGCGACGTTGTCTACAGCCGTGAGATCTGGCTGGAACCCTGAAGGTATTCCCACTTCTTGGACTACCAGACCGGCGCTTCTCTGACTCAATAATCTGGGGAGAGGTCAGCCTGGTTTGTAATGGAATCCTTTTCCTCTTCGCGCGTGATAAATAAAGCTAGTAACAGTGGAAATATGACTGAGCATAGATCGCTCTTATTTTGGCTGGGAGATCATAGTCTTCTTGTCGGCAACATTCGATACGGTACATCGGTACTGGAACCCTCATAATATTTGGTAGCGGTATTAAAAGATGAAACAGTCTAACGATCAGCAGATCATTATGTTGCATGTAACGTGCCACAAGGGCGTTTTCCCCTACCACCTTTAGAAAGGGTCGAGGGTTGACTGAAAGTGGCAACCTGCGGGATCGAGCTTGTTTTGGACCATAGAGTACGTCTGTTTTAGACTACATGGTCTAACATCTGTAGCTTATTAAAAGCCGGCAAAGATCGAATTCAGTAGGGCGCCAAACTATGTTTGTGTGGCAATACCCAAGCAGAGACCCTCTCTTTATTTCTAAAAACAAATGTTACATGTTCTCAGAGGCTCTTAAGATAGCACTGATTACTTTATTTTATAGAAATATTTTCTTAACCAATTTCAGAATAATTTCTGATACCAATACAAATAAAATATAAATAACCTTAAAGGGTTTAACTAAGATTATGTTTTCTAATTATGTAGTTCACTCCTGTGGCCTCACCTTGTGCATACCATCATCCTCAGCTTGTTTACCTCGTCATCCAGCACCACAACTTTCACATCAAACGATTGAGATAACAGCTCCTCTTCTATGTTAAAGCTGGTAGCTACCTGTTCAAAGATGGGACATAAAAAGTATGGTTGTAAGCAAGCAGAGCCTCAGCAACAAATCACCAGACATATAGAGACTGTAAAACGTGTAGTGTATGTCGATGATCTACATAAGCCATACAATAATAAATTAAAAATTAAAAACACGAATTTAAAAACTAAAAAATTGTTTCATTAATTCATAATTTTAGTATAAAATGATTTAATTAAAATGTTTTAGGGTTATAAACAATATAGAGATTCCATTTTTCTGTAGGTAACTGTTACTAATTTAATTTGTTACCTCAACCAAGGCATTTCCCTTTCCGGCGGCATTGATTACAATCTTGGCTGGCGACTCAAACAGCTGCAATAATTAGGGGAGTAAATGGACAATTCTTTCTCGATAAAGAAAACTCCAATATTATTTGTATCTAAACGTTTGTCTGAAGGTTTGGTTAAACTTTAGGCTTGTCCTTCAACACATGAACTACACGGAAACGAAGGTAACTGCCTAGTCTATACTCTAAACGTTTAGTACAAACATGTATTAGTGCTGGGTTTCGTTCAGACATTTATCATGGGGGCGGGGGTGGGGGGGGGGGAAGAGGGATAGAAGGCACTTTAAACTTTTTTTGATGGTCGCAATCAAAATTTCGGGGATGGGGATTGTTACATTACTTAAATAGACACAGTTCTATGAGTTAACTCTAGTACTTTATTGCAGTGGCGTAGCGAGGTCGGGTGTCACCCGGTGCGGCACTTAATGGTGTCACCCCCCCAGAGGCATAGAGACCCTTCCCAGGGACAAACTTTCAAATTTTCGATTTGCACCCCCCCCCCCCCTCAAACTTTCGATTTGCACCCCCCCCCCCCTCGAGTTTTTCTCTATATATTTTGCTATTTTTTGCCTTGGTGTCACCCCCCTAAATGGTGTCACCCGGTGCGGTCCGCACCCCCCGCCCCCCCCCCCCTCGCTACGCCCCTGCTTTATTGTTATATACACGAGCTCAGACGACACATCTTGTCTCTGACCCACAGAAGACACGGTGAACACTCAAGGGACGTAACCATTATATTCATAATACAAGGGACGTAACAATTACTAACATGAAATAATGTAACAGGGACTGTTAATGAAAATATCTTCATTTCAAAAATTAAAATATTTCTCTATTTCGGCTCGATCAATACACCAACAACTCAGTGATCAAATGGTCCGACAACATTGTATGATGTTATATATAAACACAAACTTATGTACCTCTCTTGTCTGGAGAGTTAGAGAGTTGTCCTGTAAACTGTGTAATATAATAACATTCATTAACACAAACTTTTGTACCTCTCTAGTCTGAAGAGTTAGTGAGTTGTCTTGGTTGACTGTAAACGTTGTACGTGTCATTGTGTCGTCGACTGTCACAGACACAGATGTGTCGGGTCTCAGGGACTGTGTCGCAAACTCTGCCAGGGCCTGGAGTCCGGTTACTGTGTCCTGGTAAACAATTTGCTTTGTGTGAAATTTTAACGTAACATTCTAAAACCTACATTAGTATATCAAGCTTTGGTTTAAATTGCTCTTTCAAAAAATATTCGTAAAATTGTAAATTTGTATAATTTTTTCTTAACTGTAAATTACAATTGGATTTTTTAAAATAAACAATACAATGCATTTAAACAAATAGAACGACTCTTTGTCTTTAGAATGGTGTCAAACGATATTGCCCAAATGGACTGGAGTCCCAAGGGAATGAGGAAAGTGGGCCGGCTAAAGAGATCGTGGCGAAGAACGGTAGAAGAAGAGGTAAAGACCGCTTGACTCATGTGGGAACAGATAAGGAGAGCAGCCCAAAACCGAGTACGATGGAGAGGTGTGGTCACAGCCCTTTACTCCCCAGTGGTAAGAAATGAATAAAGTATCCACAATTAAATATATCTCTCATACAAAAACATAAATTAATGTTTTTATGGTCAAAAGAAAATCCCCGAACAAAACGTCATTTAAGGATGTTGTTGTGAGAAAAAACACACCTGGGTGGAGACGAAGCCTCCTAGTGGGTTTCTCTGTGACGTCAGCCACGTGACTGCAGGGACCGCCTCCTCCAGACGACCCAGGGTCACGAAGGTCAACACGGCGTAGGATGTGATGATGACGTCAGCAGACCTGGCCTGCTTGTGGACTGGACGCCATCTTGACGGATGTTCTAGCTGCTCTTCGTCTGAACTGTCCGCTCTCCAGTAGAGAAAGCCGCCTAAGAGAACACGCATTAAATAATGCTGATTAAATGGATGAGACATTGTATAGGCTATAGACCTTTGAGTAATACATGAGGAGGTATAGATGTTATAGAACTTCATGTAATGCATGGGACGGTGTAGATGTTATAGACATTCAAGTAATACATGGGACGATATAGATGTTATAGACCTTCAAGTAATGCATGAGACGGTATAGATGTTATAGAACTTCATGTAATGCATGGGACGGTGTAGATGTTATAGACCTTCAAGTAATGCATGAGACGGTATAGATGTTATAGAACTTCATGTAATGCATGGGACGGTGTAGATGTTATAGACCTTCAAGTAATACATGGGACGATATAGATGTTATAGACCTTCAAGTAATGCATGAGACGGTGTAGATGTTATAGACATTCAAGTAATACATGGGACGATATAGATGTTATAGACCTTCAAGTAATGCATGAGACGGTGTAGATGTTATAGACATTCAAGTAATACATGGGACGATATAGATGTTATAGACCTTCAAGTAATGCATGAGACGGTATAGATGTTATAGAACTTCATGTAATGCATGGGATGGTGTAGATTTTATAGACATTCAAGTAATACATGGGACGATATAGATGTTATAGACCTTCAAGTAATGCATGAGACGGTATAGATGTTATAGAACTTCATGTAATGCATGGGATGGTGTAGATTTTATAGACATTCAAGAAATACATGGGACGATATAGATGTTATATACCTTCAAGTAATACATGAGACGATATAGATGTTTGACAGGAAACATTTACCTTCACGAACACCCAAGGCTAAAAGTTTTCGAAAGACGAGGTTCGCCTTTGTGCTGCCAGACTTCGCTAGCCCATAGCTGACCACTGCCAGAGTGTAGGGGTCATTCAGTGCATCCTGCTCCACCATCCGCTCCAGGAACTCTAGGGCTCTGGACGTGGCATTGAGCATACTCTTGCGGAAATAGCAGAGATTTGTAGTTCTACAAGTCTGAGGAGGATATATTTTTCGGTAGACATCCAGGCAGTTTTAAAAAAATAATTATGCAAGAAATTTTGAGTGTTCCACTTAAATTAAACACTAATATGACGATGAGTTGTGTTCATACTTCATAACTAAACCTTTAATAAATGCTGTGTTAGGTTTAGACATACTAAACATAGTACATTAAATTTGGCATTCCTCTTTTCGCGTACACACGAAACATTTTTACAACACCTAGATTTCCCCGAGGTGGTGTGAATATGTTCGGGTGAATATTGAAAACGGTACTCTTCGAAACATCTGAACTACCCTAACGTGTGATCTCTATCATTCCACCTAAAATCCCACCTACACCTACCTGTGATCCCACTTATCGCTACCTATATTCCCACCTGCCCCACCTAAAATCCCACCTGCCCCACCTAAAATCCCACCTACCCCTACCTGTGATCCCACCTATCCATACCTATAATCACACTGCACTACCTATAATCCCACCTGCCCTACCTACCTAAAATCTCACCTACCCTTACCTGTGATCCCACCTGCTCTACCTATAATCCCACCTGCCCCTACCTGTGATCCCACCTACCCCTACCTATAATCCCACCTATCCCTACCTATATTCCCACCTGCCACTACCTGTGAGGACCTACCCCTTACATATAATCCCACCTTTCCTACCTATAATCCCACCTTTCCTACCTATAATCCCACCTGCCCCTACCTGTGATCCAACCTACCCCTACCTGTGATCCCACCTACCCGTACCTATAATCCCACCTTCCCTATCTATAATCCCACCTACCCCTACCTGTGATCCCACCTACCCCTACCAAAATCCCACCTGCCCTATCTATAATCCCACCTGCAATACCTATAATCCCACCTGCCCTACCTATAATCCCACCTGCCCTACCTATAATCCCACCTACCCCTATATATAATCCCACCTACCCCTATATATAATCCCACGTGTCCCTACCTGTGATCCAACCTACCCGTACCCAAAATCCCACCTTTCCACCTATAATCCCACCTGCCCTACCTATAATCCCACCTGCCCCTACCTATAATCCCACCTGTCCCTACCTATAATCCCACCTGCCCTAATCTGCCACTCACCTTCTCATGTGTGTGATCGTTGTTCTCAAGAATACTCAACATCACAAGCGATGTCAAAGCTGGTACTGATCCCTAAGATGTAGTAAACACAATGAAAACTAATGACAATAACGTCGTTTGTATAAATTGATTAAGTATTTTCATTTGACTTAACAATGTAGGTAACCATCACAATTACCAATGTTATGCCTATAGCTTTTAACGTAAAGATTCATGACTACCTATCGTTTCATTCTTATAGATTTAGTTAAGATTTATAATTACCTGTGCTTTTTTGTCCAGAATTTTCGAGAATTCCTTGAAGGAACCGTCCGAGTTCTGTCGTTCAATTAGCCACGAGGTTGCCATCGACATCAAGGTGCTGTCCACATTGATGTAGACGCTTGCCTCGTGGACAGCACGACTCGCAAGGGCGGTAAGCCTGGATGTACAATACAGTTATAATAGAGTTATGTGCAATTTTTGGTTTATTAAAAGCACATTAGTGTGCCTAAGTTTAAACAAGACATAAATATGCATGTTTGGAGCTGAAAATTAATGGAAACACACAAAACCTAGCATAGTCTCAAAACTACAACGGTAATCATCTGTGTTACAGCAGTACTCACCTGTATTAGAACGGTACTCCCCTATGTTAGAGCAATACTCACCTGTGTTAGAGCGGTATTCACCTGTGTTACAAAGGTACTCACCTGTGTTACAAAGGTACTCACCAGTGTTACAGCAGTACTCACCTATGTTACAAAGGTACTCACCTGTGTTACAGTGGTCATCACCTGTGTTAGAGCGAAACTCAGCTGTGTTATTTCGGAACTCCCCTGTGTTACAAAGGTACTCAACGGTGTTATAAAGCTACTCACCTGTGTTACAAAGGTACTCACCATACACTTCCTGTTCGGTCTCCATCTCCCCCTCTGCTAAAACTTCCATCTGTTCTTTTGATTGTCAACAGACTTTGAAAGCCTGAAATGTATTAGCGTTATACGTAACAAGGATCGCAGCAACAAAAACAGTAACTACACTCAGGTCCATATTTGGCTAAGGCTGTGCGCGCCGTTATTAATACATTTTGTAACGGTTTGCAAGCATGGAGAACAATAGGAGATGAAGTATTTTCTAGATTTGAAATTATCCTCAGTTTGCGCTGATGTTAATGTGGCTGTTTATTCTTTACAAGTGTGAGGATAATGATAATAATTGCGTCTTCAGTTTGGAAAATATAATTAAATGATCTCCCCACCCCCGCACAATTAGCATATTTAAATACGTCGTTATAAAATCCAGACTTCCTTAATGAAGCCCTTAACCCACGCCCTTCTCTTTCCTTCATTAAAAAACCCGTTGATTTAACCATTTTTACCAAACGAGATTTGACCTTAAAAATCAAGAATAAAAATTTATTTCTTGAATCCTCTAATCCACGTAGCATAACATCACTCTAGTCTGACCACAACCCTCCCCCCCCCCCCCGGGCATGAGGTTTATGGACACCTTACACTTAAACATTGTAGCTGTTTGACTAGTACCTCACTCTATTTCAAACATCCCCCCTCCTTACTGGGCCATAGCCTAGCTTTATTTCTATAAAGAAAATCTCACATTTTTCTTTTTTTTGCTCTACTTTTCTTGAGCAAAAAAATAGTTGTTGCTCCTGGTTCAATGCGCATTCACAATCGCTTTTTTTTTAAAACGAAGAACAGAGTGTACGACGCCACCATGCTAATTTTTTAAATCCACAAGCAAGCTAACACTTACCTTCCTCCAAGCCGCGTATGGCCTCCTTGTAATAGGATGTCCTGGTTTGTTTTGTGACGTTGAGGTATTTAGCCATGTAGAGATTTGGCGCGAACATGAACAAGTTTGTATCACCATATCCGGTGGGGATCGTCAGGAGTGAAGACAAACTGTTTAAACTTGAGCCGAGCAAATCACCTGTAAACACACACGAACCGATATCGATTAACATAATCTACATATCCCAGAATTGTATTCCAAAACACGAAACGTGGGGGAAAAGGTTTATTACATATAGAAAAATGTATACCTAAATCTCTGCTATGATTGTTTAAATATGAATTTTTAAAAAATTAATTAATGACACGCCAGACGCTTGAGTGGAAGAGAGGGCGCCCAAGACAGACCTGGAGGCGGAGTCTGCTCAAAGAACTGAAGCCAACAGAGATGTCTTGTGAGATCACGAAATTAATAGCCGGGGATCAGATGAAATGGAAGGAAATGGTGGATGCCCTATGTTCCATAAGGAGCAACGAGGACTAAGCCAAGTATGTAAGTCAAGGTAGGCCACGCGTAAAGCAGTTTTTTTTTGTGTGCATGAGCACAAGAAATCAGATTTAAATTGTTTAAAATATTTTTTCTGGTGTCGTTGTTCGAGTTTTGGAACATAAAAAAAGAACTAGCCAAGAAAGGCAATACACATTCCTAAAATAGAGTAGAACTACAGTGTCAAAATGTTTCATGGCTACTCAAAGCGAAACTAGAATGATAGTAAATTTGCAAGACACAATAATGGAGAGTGGTGAGTGAATCTTCAAAATCCGACAGTTTCAATGTATTAGAATATTTTTTTGCTCAAAAACAGTACCTCGTCACGGCCAGTTTGCAATTACCTAGATTATTTTCTCTTTGGAATTATGATTATGAAAGCACAAAAAATATTGAATAAACTTGATACTACTTCTATTAATTTTTAAAGAAAACTAAATTTTTAAAACGTGTGTTCTTATGACCTAGTAATTTGGGTATAAAATAGGAATTTCTGGAACCTAGAAATGATGAATTACCTCAACCACCTTCTCCCCCCCCCCTCCCCTCCCAACACAAACCACGAGACACATGACTTACGATCGTAAATTGACGGTGACAGCTGAACGTAACAACGCCTGAAATATTGGGAGATTTACCTGTGACGGCTGCCCTGATTCTCTTGGACCCAGGTACCACACCTGTAGGAAAGGTGATGTTCAGGGACTTGACAAAACTCGTGCTGGAGTTGAGCGTGACGTAGACAGGGTTGTTGAACGTGAGTGGCGCCCCCTCCAGCTGACAGAGACATCATCAATGATTTATGAAAAACAATGGTGAAAAAATGTGTTTGTTAGCTATCTGGTAAAATTTGTTTTAAGCTCGTCATTATTTTCATCATCATCAGCAGCAGCAGCAGCATCAGCTTCATAAGCATCATCATCAACATCATAATCCTCACCATCATCATCATCATCATCATTATCATCATCGTCATCTTCATAGCCATCGTTATCATCATAATCATCACTATCATCACCATCAGCAACATCATCATCATCATTCCCATGAACCCTTTGTAGGTGGAGCATTAGGACGCAGCCACACCTCTCCATCGCACTTAGATTCTCTAAAGTTGGGTATAAGCAACTGCGGCTTCTTCTTTTTTGAGTCCCATTTTAAAATATTTAAAATAGCTGTTTACTAGGTGGGGAAGGAGGAGTGGAAGCCTTTGACTTTTAAAATGCTACTTACATGTCCACAGTCAAATCTAACGGTAAAACAATAGACAGAAATGTATGTTTAAATCAATCAAGGTCAAGTAAACGCAAACTTTTATCTCGACTCACCTTGACATTGACCTGACCTCGTACAGCGTCAGCCGCCATTGAAGATTTGGCAGACACGTCCAGGTCCAGTGCCCCAGCCACAGATGCCAGGATTGGGAAGTAGGTCACACCTTGCTGGTTGGACCCCACCTAACCACGTCACAATTAAATGAGTATTGATAAATTTATAGTTAGTTTTGTAAATTTTAAAATTGCTTTTTATTATAATTAATGTAACGTGATGGACCAGACGAGATGTCTGGGAACTTTTCGAAAGCGCATTAAATATCTTTTTAAAAATTATGTAAGATGTTATTAAAATGAATATTGGTATTGATAATGGACTGTAATAAAGATTGGAAGTGTATAATGTTTTTATATTTTCAGCAACTAATTCCATTTATTTTAAAAATCATAGACTATTTGTTTATTTTTACTTTTTTTTTTTTTTTTAATTTATTGCCCAAGTTATGAGAAAAAAATGACTAAAAATTGGAGTTTACACAAGATTGATCCTGTTGTTTCACTTTCTATGCAGCCAATCAATGCTTGTCTTCCGATAAACATAAACAAAAATAAATACATTTTCAAGTTCTCTACATTTGCAACGTTTCTATCACCGATTCTAAAATATTAAATGTTTAAAATTGTTGTTTTTTTTTTTTAAACACGACCGCTGTGAATGCAAAGTTAACAAAAAACTCAACTTATTTTATCCATGTCAACAATAAAATGTATTTTAGAAATTTTAAAAATAGTAATAACCTGACCTGGATTACACTCTGTGCATTTCCATCAGCAAAGTATTCTTTTCCATTTTTGTCAATCTTCACAATTTTAAATCTAGACGTAGATCTCAAAGTTACTGTCACCTACACGTTCGCGAATATAAAATTAATTAGTTTGACAGGAGACACAGTACGTGGGCAGCAATTAATAATGATATTAAATTTTTTAAAAAACTTTAATCACTTGTTAATGATTAAAGGTTAAGATTGCGTTAACATTAAACACTGATTTCTAAACTTTTAAATTAAAATAAGAAAAAAGAAATGGTGTTTATAAGAATTCCTATTAAATTATTTTAAAAGTGTAATTTGCTGTTTAATTGATTTGATTATAATTTGCTACGTTCTTGATATCATTTAACTGTCATTTAAAAAATACTTATATTCAGCATTGACCTGTAATTATCAATTAAGTATAATCATCATAACCTATATTCATCATTTACATGCAATCATTTTTTACCTATAACTATCATTTAGACTACCTGTAACTGTCAATTACTTGAAATGACAATAACCCATAGAAAACCCACCGTGAGGTCCTCGTGCAGATAGTTGTAGACAGTCGCCTGTAGAACAAATTGTTCATGTCTTGTCACAGAGCGTGGGTGGTTGAGGCTCACAAAAAAAGGTTTGAACACCGTCAGCTGTAGGTAAAGTTAAAGATACAACATCCGTGTGGTAGATCATTACTGCTGTTTTTAAAATATGATAATAGTGTCAACATTTGAATGCTCATTTTGTTAAATATGGCAATGCAGGAACAGGGCATTACCCCCCCCCCCCTAAAATTCCCCCCTCGGACATCCCCCCCCCCCCCCGACATTTTCCCCTGAGTAATTACCCCCTGTTAATTTCCCCCTGTCAATTACTCCCAGCCAAGTAGGACATTACCACACGGACATAGCTAAAGGTACAGCTAGGGCTAGGGCTAGGGCTAGGGCTAGGGGGGGGGGGGGGGTGATGGAGATGATAATGATCAGAATAGCTCTTAGTTCAATGTCTAAATACAACTGTACTGGGGGGGGGGGGTAATTGCTCCGGGGGGTAATTGCGGGGGAAATGTTCTGGGGGTAATTGACGGTAATGTGTGTTCTAGTCGGTAATAATGTGGCCAAGTTGGTATTTTGGCCAAGTTTGTTTAGTATGGCCACGTTGGTATAGTGCTTCAAGTTGGTATACTGTGGTTAAGTTGTTATAGTGTGGCCAAGTTTGTATAGTGTGGCCAAGTTTGTAACGTGTGGCCATGTTTGTATAGTATGGCTAAGTTTGTATAGTGTGGCCAAGTTGGTATAGTATGGCTAAGTATTTATAGTGTTAAGACATCATCAGTATGGCTGGTACTGATGACAGCAGTGATAGGTTAAAGAAACGACATTAACACAGTTTCAACACAGTAACTTTAATTTGATAGATGGTGGTCTTGTCTAAACTAGGAAATAAACATGATTATCAATAGCGGCCAGCCTTAGGGGCCAGCCCTACCATACTTTGCACAACAAAACACGACTACATGCTTCTAAGGCTAACGTTTAACTGTCCTATCCCTCTAGACCTCACCGCCCATCTTGGGGCCTATGCCCTGGCTTAACCTCGAATACAATATGGTATCTCATTACGTGTTTCCCCAAATTTGCATCCCAGGTTAGTTGGGTCAGACTAAGGTCAAAGACCGGCGACCGGTACTTCCCCTAGCCTGCAGATCTTTAGAGGGGGCGGGGATGTCTTCATATCGGGTTACGCTGTCCCAGTTCAGGGACGGGAGAGGGGGGGGGGCGTTTACCCACTAGCATCAACATTGGACTCAGTTATAACATAAAGTGTGGCCCAGTTTGTAAAGTATGGTCAAGTTGGTACAGTGTGTTCAAAAAGCTACACACACTGATGTAATAGATTCATGTTATAACTGCAACACGGCATACGGATAAAGTAAGCATTACATATTTTACGTCAGTTCTACTTATAACTTTGTCACTACAAGCAGTGATGTAAGCACTATATGTGATAATGTAAACACTACACTTAGTTGTAAGTATTACATACAATGATGTAAGTACTACATGTATTGATGTAACCACATCATGCAATGATTTTACAACTAAATGTAATGATATAATCAAGATATATAACATGTGGGGAAATAAGTTTTACGTGATAATTAAATTCAAAATAAGTAAAGAATTAAGCAACGTGCGCAGTTATTACCTTTGATACGGTAGAAGCTACACCAAGACCAGACTTGTAGTTTGTGGCAAATGCGCTGGCGACCCATGAGGTAATTGTATCCGGAACTTTGGACACGAAAGTGGCTTTACCGTATTTACTGTAATAAAATACACTTTATTTAGTTTTTTTATTAACATATAACTTATTTATGGTATTTACTGTAAAAATGTTTTTTTTACTGTAGAATTTGCATTAAATTGATTTTCTTTTGTTTCTTTATTACCAAGATATGATGTGGCCTTTTTATTATTATAACATTTTAGATACCTTATTACCAAACTATTACTGCCAATAATCACAATTAAGTATACGTGTCAACTGGTTATGC